ATAATACGTCTGATTTTAAAGAGGCACAAGATTCTGTCATTCCATATTACTTGAAATGGCTATCATTGTGATTGCTGCCGAGCAAGCTTCATTATGTATATTGTGAGTGTGGTGGGAGGGTACTGGGGCTGGAATTCAATGTGTTAGGGCTTGGGCACTTTTTTCCCCACACCTGACCATTGACTTATGTGGGGGGGGAAGTAAATGGGTAGTGGGCACAATCCTATGCATCTTTATACAGGAAAAAACACATCCTACCACTCCCACCCTTCCCCAGCCAGTTGTAGGGTGCTTTTCCCCCATAGAGGATTGCATCATACATTTGAAGATACATGCGATGGTGACAGTAATTTCTAGACTGGGAAAATTAGGTTTTTCTTAGGGTTACTTACAACTGGGTCAGCTTTTTTTGTTTTTTGGGAGGCCAGTTATGTCCAAAAAAGAGGCAAACTTGTTCTTTTCACTCTTAGTTTTAATAGACCCTAGGCAATAGGCACCAACTTCTGGACATGGCAAAAACCGTTGGGCTTCACAACCTAATTTGCTGAGGGTTTTGCCCACAAGAACTGCTGAAGTACCCACATTTGGTTTCAAGGATTGGCAAATCTCATATTTTGCTATTTTATTCTTTGCATGAACGTATGTATCTGTCCTGTTGGTCACCTTGTCAGTCATGCAAATAGTGGAATATAAACATGTATAATTTTGCATCTGAGAAGATGCTTCTTTTAATTACTAGATATCATACAGGATTTTGTAAGAATCTTCTGATTTGTAGAAAGCAAACTGGCTGGAATCAGGAGCAGAGTTGCCTAATTCTTTGCAGGAAAGTCACTAGAGTGAAGCCAGGCTGTACAGTGATGAAGTCTCCGCACTTGTGACTTGTTATTTTGACACTGTAATGATGGTATGAAATTGTGCCTCATATTCAGCTCAAGCAGTGCTGCCCCTGCTTGTTGAAAGAAGAGGCAAGGCGAGCAAACTGACACCTAGCCCTGCACAGGCCATGCCTTACTTCTATACTTCAGCCAAAGCACTAGTTGTCAAACAAAGCAGCTTCTGGGGGTCTTCCAGACCTGGCAGAAGGTTTAATTTTCCCCTTATTTCTTGGTCATCCTGGGACCAAAACCAAGGAAATTATATAAATATGTGAAAACAACTAAACCTGGGTACACTGAATAATATGCATTCACAGTGAGGAAAAAGTATCTAAGAGCAGTTACCATTTCTGGAATGCAGAAAAGCAGTTCTTGAATACTGAACAATAATCAAGGAACAGGACACACCTTTAAGTATAAGTTGCTGAAAACCTGAAGCTCCTTGATGGGAATAAAGGTGGCAGTTGTTCTTGGTACACACTCTTAGGTCACGCTAATCTGGACTCTGAGTCTGAAAAGGAAACTGAGGTTTGTGGGCTGGGGGGGGGGGCGAAGAGACACTGAGAAAATGGGCCTCCAGACTTTGAGCTGAGGGCAGCAGAGGTGCTGATTTCAAGGATATTCTTCCCAAGTGCTCAGGCAATCTCTGAGAATAACCAAGATGTACAGTTGTCACGTGGGGGTATTGGAGCAGAACTCTCAGAGACAGACAAAGCTGACATGACTCTTGACCCGATGATGCAACACTGGGGGAAGATACCTACCCAATTAGGTTGGCGTACAAAGAAAAGGTATGCTTGCTTCCAAACAGGCCTTCTCAGAGGGATCAGGCCCAGACAAACTTTAAAAAATGGTTTCTGGAAGTAATTTAGATTGGGTTCAATGAACTGCTCTATGCATTCTGTGGTGATTGAGTATATTGTGCATACTTTGGTGAATAAAGAGCTTTTTGAAAAAGAACAGTCTGTTTCCCAGAATGTGCAAAGCGAGGAACCCCAGCTTACTACACTCCTCCAAAAATGCTCAGTCTAATTGAAGGCTAGAAAGACAAGACCGTCACAATGCCTTTGTGGAAAAACCATGGACAGGTGGTAGGTTCTTCAACTTTAGTGTGCTACTAAGACTAGCTTGTAGGACCTGCAAAATCTCTTAATTTTTCTTTGTGTTAATGTGTTTCTTTATTGACATATTAAGGAATAAAAGCCTTGCAATTGTTATTGTACACTCTGCAGAATCCCTACACAACAAAAGCTTGGTATCCAAAACTATTGTGAAGTAACCTTGAAACATTCCAAGATATGGATGAGGCTTGGTAAAAACCAGGATCTATGAGAACAGGCAGCAATCCGTTGTTGCCAGCTCTAGTAGACTAGAAAACTTGATGGGAAGTGGGGGAGAGGGTGCTATCTCATCATGGAATGGTCAAACATAAATGTGGTTCTTAAAACTATTTAGCATTCTTAGCAACTTAGAAACCAACAGTGTTTAAAACCCAAGTAATTTTTGGGCTAAGACTGTGGAATAGTTTAGGCTTTAACTTACAGATAAATATAACATGGAAATACTAGGACAAGGGGATTGACATACACCTGAGCCTACACTTAATAGCCACAAAGGACTTGGAGCATATTAGCATAATAAAAGTCTTCATAATATCAGTGGTGCCTGGCCAAAGTATTTCATCTTCAAGAAGCGGGTTGCTTTCTGTGATACCTAAACCAAACTGACTACTACAACAAATGCTCCAAATTCTAGGTTTCTAGATTGTCACAAGAACCTCAAGTTTCCTTTTCCTGCCTGGTGGGATGGGATTATGTTTGTTTGAAGAAAGTATTCTAAATAAATCTTCAGTTCAAAAGTCTAAAGTGTACAGAAAAGGTAACACTGATTAATTCCCAGTTGCTGTTAATCACTGAAATATAGAAAGCCTAAAAAAATCTAAATGTTTTGCTATTTCAAAATTCAGTTTGCTTTTTAAAAAAATTCAAAGATGGAATAAAATAGGTTATTGTAGCAATAAAAGGATACAGTTCACTGAAATCTACAAAATACGTTAGACATATTTAAAATCCAAACATTTACTAGTTGTTGAACATTATTTCTGAGCAGTTAAGAAAAATTGAAAGACTCATAGTTGCTTTATTTATTAGGCACCTTTAAGTGGGTGAACTCTGTTTATTTCAACCATGGAAAGAGATAAAACTCCTGTAAAATCTCAAAAGCAAAAAACTACATAACAGTTCTTTTTAAAATAGCCAGAAAACACACCATTCTAGGAATATTTTTTTAAAAAATAAACAAGTTAGCATATGAAATTAAATTACATTTCAAAACAGTATAAGCTACAAAGAACAAAAGAGCATGCACAATTACCACTTAAAGTAGTACTGCTTAATATATTATATAAATTTCAGAGAAGGTTAGGAACCATTAGGAGCCCAAGAACAATCAAATAAACTATGGTAAATGCCTGTCAATTTTACTCCCAAAAGATCACTCAAGCAATGCGAGCAAAGACACAATCCAGTTGAAAACATTTCCCGCAATTATCACACACCCATTAGCTGGATCAAATAATTTTCTTAAATTCTTTATTGATGGTAAAGTGATGTCAAATGGGATCTGCAAAGAGAGAGGAAACATTAACTAAACAACAACAAGAAGCTCTTACTGTGTAATCCTGTTTCAATTTAGACAGAAAAGGGCCTACAACTCCCAGCATGCCCCTAGACAACTATAGGAATGCATCCATAATTGGATTATATTATTTAACTCCAAGAAAGGCTGTGAGGAATATTCTAATTTATCAGCTTCCTAAAACATTAAGGAAGGATTCATGGCCAAAATCCCTACATAGGGTTTAGAAGAAAAACCTCATTGGTTTCAGGAACTGTAGGAAAATGTCAGTGTCAAGAAAGTCCCAAGAAGTATAACAGTGATTCAGCTGTGGGAAAGAGCCAGGCTCAGAAGCAAGACTCCCTGTGCAGAGCCTGCTTCAGGTGTGCTAGAAATCACCGTGTCTTCACACGTTGGGAAGAGCTGGAAAACTATCCAGCACACAACAATATCTACTCTTTTTGTCTATTTTCAACTTCTAATCTCAAAGCTGGATGTGTTCTCTCCTGATGAACAAACCATCTATGGGAGAAATAGTAGAAAGTGGAATATTCCATGTTTCCATGAAGAAATGTCATGGTTTGAAAGGGGCACTTCCACTAGCTAGCTACTCACAGGAGAAGTGATTTTGACTTATCCAACTCTCACAGCTTCCCCACGCCTGCTCTCAAGTTTGGGGACACTACCCAGAAGATGGGAGATGGCACAGGGGATTGCAGGAGGAATGGAGACTCAAGAACCACACACCCTTTCCACTAGAAGATAAATCCACTGGATCAAAGATCCTTCACCAGTATGGAAGGGTGCTTTAGGATCCAATCCCATGTTTGTATAGGTTCATAGCAAAAAAAAAAGTTTGGAACTCATTTAAACTTTGAAAAGAAATGTAGAAAGGTAGATTGCTCACTTTTATTTATTTGATTTATATCCTGCCTTTTTCTTTTAAAGAACTCAGAGCAGCTTACATTATTCTCCTCCTCCTGTTTTCCATCTTATCCCTACAACAACAATCCTGTAAGGTAGGTTATGCAGAGAGTCTGTAACTGGCCTAAAGCCACACAGTTGACTCCATGGCTGAGCAGGGAACAGAACCCAAATCACCTGAATCCCAATCCCATGTTCTTAGCCACTACACCACAAGTTTCCCTGCTGAATAAATGGCTGAAGGGAAAGTCCATCCCCACTAAGGGCCATAACAGGATCCTTGGCAGATGACCTTCACCCACACCTCCAGCCAATTTTCTGCATAGGGGCTTTTGCCCCCTATGTTCAAGACAATGGACAGATTAATTAATTTGCCCATTTACTTAAATAGGGGCAGTGGGAAATGGGGGAGGGGAGTTGCTAGAGAAGGGAAAGGAGGGAAGCAGGGAAGCAAAGAATAAGGGGTGGGATGGAGGAGGACACAGAAAAAAAGGAAGTGAGAGAAGCAAGAATGAACAGGATGTGCACATGGTACACATGCAAACATTCATCTTTATATTCCAGGCACTAAAGAGATAGAATTTATAAGTTTGCTATTAGAAATATTTTCTAGTGATTGGAATGTGATTGCACATTTTCTGAAATACCAAAAGCAATGAAAAATATTGTAAAAGAGTTACACATGTCTTTCTTTTGAAATTACATACCTCGAAATTACATACATACCTCTGTGAGTGGTGGTGGCTGATCTGGGCCAACAGACAGTAATACTTTTATTTCAGAAAAACATTTTTTGACCATTTTCTGAATGTATCAAAGAAAGAGAATTGAAAAGTTTATTATATGGCTTTAGCTTTAGAATTTTTGATAAGGTAGTAATTTATGAACAACCAGCACAGTGTCTGACTCATGAGAGGGTGGGCTTTGCGGAATGGAGTACTAAATTGAAAAACTGCAAGGCATTTTTGCGCATTCAACAGCAACACTGGGAAAAAACAGATGGGTGCAATCATGCTCACCTCTCAGCAAACAAAAACAGAAAGAGGCCTTGTGGAATGTGTTCACAGTGGAAAATGATGCCTCTGGTGATGTTTATGGGGGCCATAGGTTATGTTCTTAACACCAGTCAAAAAGCATCCTTCAGTTCAGTTTTGGGACAGATTATACTGAATTTGGAATTGGCATAAATGGGATTCTTCCCATTTAAGAGCTCATTAAATGACAGAGAACCTGGGTTTGCTGAAAATGAAGTTCTCAGGCATTTGTGGATTTATCTGCTGCCTGAATCGAAGCAGAGGAAACTGTTATGTCTCTTGGCATGAATGTAGACAGGTTGGGCATGAGATCTGTAGCTTAGTTTGCTTCTCAATTCAACTGAAGACACAGAGAAAAGTTCACATTCTAATCTTACTTTCTTCTTCCTCCACTAAAGTTCATCCTAGTCATTAATTTTTTGTTCAGATATATTTCAAAGTTCAAGAATGACATTGAAATCATAGTCTCTACTCATATCATTAAACAGGAATGAGAGGTAGGAATGAGAACTATCTTTTCCACTATGCCCAGTGGACAATGTTGCACTCTCAGATATTTATTTCATTAATTGTCACTGTCGTGAGTCACTGATGTCTATTAGTTTATAGGTATGTGGTGTATTCCCATTTTAGCCAATGAAATAGAAATTAGAATCCCCACTACTTGCCTAAGACAAACTTTCTGTAAGAAATACAACTCTTCCAGTACATTGCCCTTCAAAATAACCTAATCATTTCCTTTGCAGCAAACAAAATAATCAAAATAATTGCATTTTCATGTGGTCAGTTCCATCTAATAATAATCAGACAGATATCACAGAGCAGAAAGAAGCACACAAGGTTTTAGATTTTCATGAGTACCGAAACTATAATGAAACAATTATCAAATGTCTCACATTAAAAACAAATGTTGAACTCAAGAACAAAATATAAGCTACCCAGTAAAAATGAAATCTCTCTGTAAAATCAACAAATCTGTGCTTGAAGTACTTCATATGCCATTCCCAACTGGACATTTGAATCCATTTCATCATATTTGTTTCTGTTTTATATTTTTACTGTATGAAGAGAATCTACAATTCAGTAACTAAAATTTAAATGTTCCTGACTTGGCAACTCAGTTCAAAATATTTGTACCCACACAGTCGCCATCAATATGTAACAGTCCTACAATACTATTGCCCACAGTGCTTGCAGTGTAAATGTACTTGAAAAATATGTATTTCACAGGGAATCAAAATAGTCTTTAAAAATAAAAGAGCCATTTAAGAGTACTGTACTATACTACTGGTTGAAATAGTTGCCATCCAAGCCCCTCGGAATACAGCTTTTCAATAATGAAAGCTGTTGTCTGTGCTGTCACAATATCCGTCAGATGAAATGCCAGCACATGCATCATTAATCATTTATTAGAACAAATATAAAAAAACTGTCACATGATAAATGTCTCCTACTTTGAAAATAAATGTCTACTTTTCTTTGGCATTCATCAAGGAGGAACTGTACTGACAGTACTCCACCTCAGTGATATTATCACAAAGAAATTTCTGGGTCTCTCTTGATTTTTTTGGGTAAAAAAGCCTAATCCAGTCTTGTTAATAAAAAACAGGACTGACCCCTCCCCCCAAAAAAAACGCTCTTGTTTTTGCATCAAACTTCACTTCTGTCAGTGAAAAAGAATCCAATGCCCATTTGCCACTAATGAAGGCAAGAAGTTTTTAATTAAGGTGAATGCATTTATTCTTAATAAAGTTGTTCAATCCTTTTTGTTGGTTGATGACTCTGATAAACTTGCAAAAATTATCTGTAACCTGTTTCAGATGGGACTGTACTCCCCAAAGCAACAGGTTTGGGAGCATTCCTAGTTCTGGTGCTCTTCCTAAGTTCTCAGGTGTGGTGGATGCCACTAACCATCAGATATGTCAACTGTGCCCATTTCTGAAGAATTCAGAACCAAATTAATTTGTTTATGCGCTAGTAATCTCCATCTTTTATTAGTGTACATTAGGATGCCTTTGAAGACATTCCAAATATTTCATTTACCTTATAATATGGCCACTGAGGGGTTTTTCCTGGGCTCAGGGGACTTGATCATAGTATGCCACTTGTCTATCATTTCAACTGGCTAGCAATTTTCTGGTTCAATTCAAGATTCTGGTTTTGACCTTCAAAGCTCCAAATAATCTGGAATCAGGTTATGTCTGTACACACCTACCCCAAATGTCATTTACACTTCTGCTGTCCTCCTCCAATTCCCCCATTGCCAGAAGTTAAGATGAATATGCACCTCTTTCTCCTATAACACCTTGATTATCAAACAGCCTCCTCAAAGAAGTTTGCCTGGATCTATCATGGCCCACTTTTAGAACTATACAAAGTATTCCAAGTGTGGCCACGCCATAGATTTGTAGAGCGGCATTACTATAGTGACAGTTTTGTTTGATCATTCTTCTAATACCTTCTAAGTATGCCATTTGCCTTTTTCACAGCTGTCACACACAGAACTAACATTTTGATTGAGCTGCCCACTATAATTCAAGATCTCATCTTTGGTCACTGCCAGTTGAGAGCCAATTGGTATATATGGCCAGTCTTTCCTGGACCTTGCCCGCCTGCCCCTTTCCCCAGTGAACAGGAGGTAGGATGGTCCAAGCTGAGATGGCTGAGTCCCCATCACTGGCAGAGAAGTGAAGTGAATCAACTTGGCTTTGCTGTGCTTCCTTTATCTCTAATCTGTATCAGAACTAACAGTTGGATTCTTCCTCCCATCCCTTCCGAAACTTCCAGTGGAAGTGATGCTTGCACAACTCAGTACAGGGCCTGCAACAGTGGCACTAGCCTCACAGGCCTGATATAGAGTCTGTACAGGTCAAATTAGGATTAAATAGGAGATTCTGAACCCCTCCTCTAGGAGAATCCTTTTTTCATGTGTGCTAATTTTATTTAGGACCTTTGGTGAGTGATTCTTCCAGATGTTTTTGAAAACTCAAATATACAATGTCTACTAAAGCATTCCTACCCATATAATTGCTGAAACTACAAAATTCTTGGTAAGTTGTAAAGTAACTTTGCAGAAGCCACACTGATGTTTCTTCAGCAAGACGTTTGCCTTTTTTTTCATAAAGAAAAAAGCAATCTGTATCCCTAGCATGGAATTCAAACAGGCCTTTATAATATAATGTATTCTTTGCCCCTCAACTAAATCAAGCATCTTAGGAAAGACCTCTTCTGTATTTAAAAAGCAATGCAGCAATGCCCTTTGTCAAGGCAATAGTCTCTCAAATGTAGTACTCAAATCAGGATCAATTCTGAGAATGAATGTACCAGGAAAAGTATAAAAGTGCATGCATCATTTATGTGAGAAAATCCCCCAATAAAAAGGTTGACGCAAGCAAGTGAATGGAAGATCATTAAATATATAAAAGCACTAATTATGACTTGAAGTAGATGCAAATGTAACATGCATAAGACAAAAGCACACAGCATATCTATGGACAGTCATGAGTCCCTTCTGAACAATGTGTCTTTACGTACCTTTGTTTTTTCATCTAGTGGCACCTTTGCCGAATGAGTTTTGGATCCTATTGAAGCTAAACTTCTCTCTTTTTCAGTTGCTGTCTGGGGAGTCATCACTGATTGCATTAGCAATTCAATTTGTTGTGTCAGATCAGACAACTGCTCACGTACTGCAATAACACTAAAGGAACAGAATGATGTTAACACAATAGTATTACAGATATTGTGCAAGTATGAAGAAAATTTATCTCCTTCAATAATAAAATTAACTTCAGACTTTAGAATTTCCTGTTTTATTGTTTTCTGAACTAGGATGGTTTTCTTGGGTGCTGGAGAAATCCATAATGTTAGTCCCTGTGTTCCTTGGCTGAACTGACCTTGGGAATAAAGGATGGGTCTGAGTGGTATAACACCCTGTCTTTGTGAAAGACATACAGGTCTCTGTTAGAAGAGAGAGACTCTAATTTCAAAACTGTTCTAGCTACCAGGAAAATGGCCCTGAAGCTTAGCACCTTTAGAGTGGCAATCCCTAGTGGATTAAAAGAGACCCTGCTCAGAGCCCCAAGCACCATGTTCAGTCTCCCAGTTGGAAAACTTTGGACTGGAGGTGAGCTGAATAATGAGGCTACCTTAAGGAATCTCTTGATATGTGGGTAGTAGCCCTCATCAATGTCTTCCAGGACAGAGTGTGGGGCTGAGACCTGCCTCCTGAGAATATTATCTCAGGACAATTGATAGAACCACCTAGAGCAGTGATGGCAAACCTTTTAGAGACCGAGTGTTCAAACTGCAACCCAAAACCCACTTATTTATCACAAAGTGCCAACACTGCAATAAAACCTGAATCCTGAGGTTTTAGTTTAGAAAAAGCAACTCAAAGCCAGTTCAAGCAAATGTATATATATCCTTGGCAGCACACTGACCAGCCATGCACAAGCTTGGACAAGTTGCAACTAATGAGTCACAGGGGTGTGTACTGGCCACCTTATTATTCAATCTTTACATAATATTGTAGAGAGCTTAGCAGGACCACAATTTACACCCCCATCATTGGGATAGCTAAAATTTTCAGTACTATTATACGCTGATGGTATGGTTCTGATCTCCCAAACTAACATTGTTGTAAAAGCCTTCTTAAACCAATTAGGGCACTATTGTAAAGAAGAAGAGCTTAACATAAATTATGCTAAGACCAAAGTAATGGTCTTCAGAAAATAACCCAGAATTTCATCTTGGAGCATCCTTGGTAACAATGTTGCTTTTTTAAATATCTGGGGGACACATTTGGGGACACTTTAAACTGGAAACTCCACCTTGAAACAGTCAAAAGCTCAGCTCTTAGGATTGTAGGGTTAATATCACACTTTTTTATATACTAAAGGAGGATGCTTGATAGATTCTGCATTGACGCTATTTAAGACCAAGCTTGTTCCCCATCTCTTATATGGTACTGAAGTACAGGATGGAGTGAAAATATACTATCTTACTTGGAGGTAATTCAAAATCTATTTATTTATTTATTTATTTATTAAAACATTTCTATGCCGCCCCTTGCCGAAGCCTCGGGGCGGCTCACAACATCCTTTTTTTAGAGGTGTATACTTGCCCTACCAAGGGGTACCCTGGCTGCTCTGTTAAGAGCAGAAAGAAGGGACCCTTCTCTTAGGGTTTGTGTACAACTTGCCTTATTAAAGCATTGGAACAGGAACACCTCCTCCAGCATCAATTCCTTAGGGCATAAATCATTTAAATTGTTACCATAAAAAGACCCTAAATGACTCAGGTTCCTTAATTCTATCATTGACAGATATTCCATCCCTGATGACCTCCTGGGGGATACAGCTGACAATTCCCATCTTAGGGATTGGATATATCATTCAGATGCTCTAACTGACCGATTTTCAATTCTGCATTCCAAGTCTGCTCCTGGGTTTAAAAAAATTAAACATGACCATCTAAGATCTGATTACTTGGTTTCCATCCCTAATTATAGCCTTAGGGTGGCCTTTACAGCCTTTCGTTTCCAAATAGGGTGGCCTTTACAGCCTATCGTTTCCAAACCAAATATACAGTTTTACTAACCAGTTGCTATTCTCATATTCCAATGGAGCAGAGTGTCTGCATCTGTGGATCACCTGAAGTAGAGGACCTCTTGCATTATATTCACTGTTGGTTATTCTGTGAACCTAGGGAAAAATTTTTTACTAGTATACTACCCGCCTTTAATGCCTACTCTGATTCAGAGAAGTTAGTGTTTTTGTTATCAGATGCTGGTGCACATGTGTCTTATCCCATATCTCTTTTTGCAGCTAAAAAGATAAGAGCTAGGGAGGCTTTGAAGGGGAAACTGTCCTGAATTACACCTGGTCTGTCTTTTAGTATTATGTTTTAATAGATTTGATTTATGGTGTTATTTGTTAATTCAATGTTTTACCTTGTTAACTTGTAATGGCCTATGGCTATAAATGCAATAAACTGGCTGGCTGACTGACTGGCAAGTGGTTATTCTATCCTTGGCATTAATCACTTGACCAACATATTTACACAAAATGCCCATAAAATGTACACCAAAATGACCCATATATGTGAATATAAAATGCAACAAAATTATTGGATTAAGTTACCTATTCAGTGGGATCCACAAATAACCACAATATACATTGGCTGAATTAAAAGAGTTGATGTTGGTTATTTTTACTGCTTTTGTATTGTAAGCAAAAATGAACAAAACCTACAAACAAAAAAGAAATATACAAGATATAACAATTTCTATATCAGTAGCAAGATAATAACTATAATGATAATGGTGGTTGTAATAACAACGTATAGTTTAGTGTGTCCATATATATTTATAAACTAAAAATTAAAGGAAAGGTATCTGTAGAATTAGTTTATACGATTTGTACTAAATGAATATATCATCCATTAAACTGACACAACTGATCTCACAAATGAATCTGCAAAACAGTATCTAACTCTGACAACCATCCTGAGTCCTCTCCCTCATTATCTGCTCCTTGTTTTTCCTTATTGGTTTATACCCAATCTGCAGCCAGTAATGCGGGACAGGCCTAAATTTTTAACTAGTTCACCATACGTGGTTCTGGAACCAAGGGGACAAAGATGAATTAAGGAATTTCACATCCTACCTGAATTTAGCACGCATGTTTGGTTCTTCTTTATATGTGAAAGAATGGAGGAAACAGCATCACTTGCAATCATATTTTTCTACATATATACAATGTTAATTAAAAATACATTTCATATTAAAAGCAAGCATAAATTTTAATCATACCATAGTCTCTCCTTCTTTTGATGACTTTTCCAAAGATGGAAGGTACCACTGGACACAAAGTTCCCTGACAGGAGTACTAGTTGCCTTGTTGTCTGAATGTATATCCATGGCAGAAGTACAAGTAACTGTGGGAGATATTCTTATTGATGATGATTTTTGATATCCTGAATGTGATTCTGAAGCTGGCTATATATAAAACCAAGCATAAAATTATTGTTAAATAATGTGTCTTGCTTTAAAAATTTATTTTTAAAGCTTACAGGTTTTTTAGTCAACCTGCATTATATTTTATGGCAAGCACAACTATGAAGCAAGCTTATTTTATTTACTTATTTGCCTAAAACTCTATGTTGCTGGAAAAAATATCTTTTTAGCAACATGAAAACTATACAAAATGTATAATTTCAATGCTAAATTTAAAAAGATTGATAATGAATTTCTAAGCATCCAAGGCTTAATGTTTACCTTTAAAAATACTGATGACAATAAAAACAGACTGTGAAAACATTACCAATGGCAGAAATTATGGTCCCAGCCCCTTTTAGTGAGGCCAGGACCACTCCATCTCATAAAGAGGCATTCACAGCCTCCAGGATCCAGAGGCAGACCCCCTACTTACCTTATCAACCAGCCACATACAAGGGTCAAGCATACAGGTAGTAGGCTGAACCAATCCACGTACCTTGTTCACATCCAGGCCCCAACAACTAAAACTCATCCAATAAACTTGGACCAGAGAGTGCACTGGACACCTCAGCCAAAGGAGCTATATCAACCATGGAATCCAACTACTGATGGATACGAGTGATTTTACCCCCAAAGTGCTGTGCAAATTCCTTACAGTTGGCCACCAAGGGTGCCACCATTTCTTTCAATGGGTCAGTTTGTTCAGTTGGATTCATCACAAGTTTTTCTCCATCTGTACATAAGGCATCTTCCCACCCGTTTCATCAACCTCAGCCCCAGTGTGTACCTAAGAGGTATATGGGCTCTACGTAGGGGAACAGGGCACTTGGGTGTAATTGTGTCAACCACCCAGGCCATCTCCATATTCCACAAAGAGACCTGTGCCATGCCATGTCTCCCACCATGTTATCCTGTCTGAGGTACCTGCATCTCTATTTGTCCTGCTGGTTATTGACCGTGAGCTTGTTCCTGACCATATCTTTGTTCTGCCTTTATGCATTCTTCTGGTCCCTGAGACCTGAACCATGACTATGATTTGGCCTTTCATTAAACCCTACTTTTGGACTGTGTCTTGCTTGAAGTTCTGTTGTCCTGGCCCTGGCCCCTCTGTTGCTCTCCTCTTGTCTCAGGCTGCCCACATCCCCGCTGTGGACCCTGACACAAGGGCAGGAATATGACCTATCCAAGATGTTGTCCAGGGGTCAAAGTATTGTTCCTTCCCTATATTTTAGTCTTTCAGTCATACTATTGTTGGATTTTTATTTATACTTGCTTTTTATAATGCTTTTTATTGTAAGCATCTTGTATGTTTAAGAAATACAGAAAGTATAAGTGTTAAAAATGATTGTAATGCAATTCTAAATATAAATTACCTTTCCAAGAACAGTCACACTAAAATAAGGCTTTTCAAAACCATATAGCTGTTTTGGAGACTCCTGAAGGCAGCAACCAGAATATACAGGCAAATAGGTCTTTAGGAAGCAATGCAGTTCGCTTAAGCGTAGGGCAATAGTTGTGTCAAACACTGAAGTGAATAGCGCATCTTCTTTAACAAATAAGGCTTCACCTGCTTTTGGAACAGCTGTGGAAAGAGATTTCATAACATTTTTAAGTCTTTACTAAAGTACAGAAGATTCATAATGCAAGCATTATGAACCAAACAAGTTTGGATATTGAACCAGGACGTTTCAGGCATTACTAGCTGAAAGTAACTGATTGAAATGAAATCAGGTGTTCTAGGGGCTTTAGCGATAGAACGAAACCAGACCTGAGGACCCTTCAGAACATTCATGTTTGGAGCAAAAACTAGCTTCGTGTTTTTTATGAATATTGGTAAGTCAATATTAAGTCAAATTTTAAAGGGAAGTCATATTGCTCTATTGCAGGGGGGAAAGCTGCACTTCATGACCATGTGTACCTTTAGTGTGATAGTGCTGAACTGAATGGTCTGACTTACCATAGACAACAAAGTATCTTGCTGAATTTATTTATTATTGTGTGGGCTATGTTCCATGAAAATTTGTGCCAAAGTAAATTCATTAGTCTTTTTTAGTCTAAAGTGCCACAAACCTCTTTATGGTGTCAGACCATTTAGTCAAATTAGTTTAGCACTATTTACATCAAGACCATAAGGGTGCAGCTGGTCTATGCCAGTGGCAGTACATGTACACACAGACATACACATATCTAAACCTTACCAATTTGAGCATTTTCACCAATTTTACCTAGCAGAATCCAACTCCATGCATGTCTACTCAGAAGGAAGCCTCTGGACACAACTTCCAGACATGCAAGAAACAGCAAATTCTAAAATGTAAAACTATTTAAACTTGGAATACCCATCAAGACATTTATAGTTTAAACATATTTTAATTGCTCTAATCGCCAATCACTGAATTAAGAACAGCTTTCTCTGCTTACCACTGAAAGCATCATTTTCTTTATCCCTGAGAACTTCCTTTCTGTAGACTGCACTTTTCTGCAGAAAACCTGCAGGTGTTGCACTGCTGGTCTACCCTAAGTATAGTGGATTTCCACAGGAGCAGAGGGCAGTTTCCCTGCTCTACCTGAAAATGCTAAACCTGGGTTCTTCTGCATGCAGTGCAGGCACTCTGTCACTAAACTACAGCATTTCTCCTCTTCCCACTGAAGTCAGAGTAGTAAGATTAGCAGGCTAAATATAGGTAGGAATCTACAGTTTTTTTAAAGGGGCACAATTTTCCTTATTAGTGAGATTAGGAAGTTGATCATGAGTTGACACAGTTGGCTCTCCTCCCTCTTCATGCTACATTTATCAAGCTACTGATGCTAAGCAAGAGCTAATACTGTTGTGATAGTTCAGGTGCTCCAGAGAAATAATAGTTCTATGATGAGGTGCACTGACAAAGAGATACTAGTCCTACAAAAGGGAAGTGCTACCTACCAACCAGGGGACTCATATTCAAGAGTCTGCTTAAGTAAGTATTGTAGCGAATTACATGGACCCAAGGTATCTTCAATTTTTCTTGGTCTTCTTCCGAAGGAGCACTTTCACCTGCATCACCTTCTGATCTTCCCTCTTGTACACAAGACATCACTGGAACTTTATACGTAACATCATAGCCATCTGAAAATTATAAACATTTTAATATTGTTCCAGTTCTTAATAATATGCAAGAATACACTGCCATCAATTATTTATGTTTATTTATAAATAAGATGTGGGGCTTAAAGGGGCTGTGCTGATGTTTGTACACAAAAGCTGGGGTTTAAGGAGGTTGATTTACATGTGCTAATTTATTATTTTCAGGAACAAAATAAGATATAAAACACAACTATTTCTAATCCTCCCAGAGAACTGGATGGATTTAAAATGTATACGTGGGCAAACAACTAACTCTTCCAGCCTATTTTTTGTTGCTATGTGTCATAGGTGACCCTGTGAATGAATGCCCTCTAAGATGTCCTATCCATGACAGCCCTGCTCAACTCCTGCAAACTCAAGGCTATGGTTTCCTTTATAGTCAATCCATCTCATACTTGGCCGTTGTTTTCTTCTTCTCTGGTGAGTCTTTCCTTCACGAGGTGCCTGAAGTATAACAGCCTCAGTTTTGCCAGTGTTGCTTCTAGGGAAAGTTCTGGCTTGATTAGATCTAGGACTCACTCATTCATCTTTCTGTCAGTCCAGGGTAACTCTCCTCCAGCACCATGCATCAATTTTTTCTGTCAGCATTCTTCACTGTACTATTTTTCACATACATAAGGATTGGAAACACAATAGCTTGGATGATCTTGGCCTTGATCTCCAATGAAACACCCTTACATCCTTTAAAACATCTCTACCCCCGTCCCCCCAAACCTTAATACTGCTTACCATACATGTACTGGATTGCTCCCCCTCCCCCACCTTCTCAGACCTTGGTTTCATCCAGCAGGACTCCTCTTCTTCATGTATTACATTCTTATGTTCTTATTCCCCACCCTCCCCTTTCACTCACCAATACCTCCTTTGCACCAAGGACATGCCAGAGAGATTCCCCTCTCTCTCTAACCTTTTGCTTCCTCTCTGTGGTGGTGGTAATTTTCTGCAGAGCATGGGTTACTACAAACCATTTGTTCTTAACTTCAATTTTTAAATAACAGGCTTTATGGCAGTTCATTTGTAAGTATGGGTGTTCATAACCCAGACATTCATAACCTAGGGACTGCCTGTACTGCAATGACTTTGTATGATGTCTATATATGCATGCCTAGCAGGGAGGAATAATAGGTAACTCTTTATATTGCTATAAATATTTTACATTATACTCAATGTCCTGTGGCAGTTTTTCATGTGAGTGCTGTTTGTAGCTTAAATGGTATATTTAATATATTATGTACAGGGGGTGCCAAAAATGTATACACTTTTTAGGGGTGTTATCTATGTATTACTTGTCAAAGTTGAATTGAATTAGTTCCTTGGCCTGCAAGGCGATCAAACCAGTCAGTCCTAGAGGAGATTAGAAGGCCAGATACTGAAAATGAAACTGAAATACTTTGGCCACCTAAGCAGAAGGAAGGACTCACTGGAGAAGAGCCTAATGCTGGGAACAATTGACGGCAAGAGAAGAAGGGGATGGCAAAGAATGAGGTGGCAAGATGGAGTCCCTGAAGCAGTTGGCGTGAGCTTAAGTGGACTCTGGGGGATGGTGAAGGCCTGGAGGAATGTTGTCCATGGGGTCACGATGGGTCGGATACGACTTCATGACTAGCAACAACAAAGCAATGTGTAGTATGATGTTCATTCAAAAGATGGTGCTAATCAAAGGAATGTTAGTGTCACCATGCAGTGGTTTTTAATACAGTTTTTTCCTTTCTTAAAATGTGTGTGTGCGTGTGTGCGTGTGCGCGCATTTGCACCCTCTGTATATACATGACCTCAGGCTTTCATTATTTTAAAGATAAATTAGATATTTATCTCCACTACAGTAATCAGAAGCTATGCAGGAATTCCTTACTTTGGCAAGACAATCTTATTTCATGTGCATTTTAGTTATTGATTTACTTTACTAAAAGCTGCATCAATTATTCTCATTCTGTATTACTGAAATGGGCCTTGCACTGTGGACTAACACCTGCAAAATCTGGGATTAGGAGCATATTGGTACTTCCTGTATACCATTTGGCAATACTCTGAAGAAGTAACAAGTGAAGTAATATGGATTAATTCACTTAGGAAAATGCCTTACCTACCTTATCAATGAAAACAGTGGTAGAAAACATGGATTTAGTGTGGAATGTTTGATCTTGGTTACATTAAAAGGCAAGGCAGAGCTTTAATGTTACTCAAGTATAAAAGACAAGATAGAGACCTGTTTTCAATGTTTGTTGTCTTTGTACAGCTTGGTTTTTGGGTGGCAGGGTTTCACCCAAAATATAAATAGGAATATCAATGTCAATGCTAATTTTCTGTTTAATAGCATTCAAACCATACAACAAAGCAAGGTTATTATACAAATACCAGATAAAAAATCCTTGTAGGAAGAACTGAGGTCCAGAAGAGCAAATTCTGGCATGTGCTGTAGTACTGTCTGTCTCACATGATACAGTTTAACAGCTTTCCTTCCACTTAATTGTTGGGAGGTCAGAATAGCTTCACTGACCTAGAATTAAGATGTATATAATAATATTTAATTCACATTAATTTAAAACTGAAAATTGGAGAACAGCAAAAACCCAACCCCTATAAATGTAATTAAGCAAAGTTCCACATTTCTCTGACACAGCATACACAATTGCCAGTAATAATTTAATTATTACAGAAGTCATTTCAAATCAGACAAACCCATATCAGACACACTTAGTCTAACCCACATTGCTCATGTGCCTAACTTCATGGTAGAAAAATATGTGTAATTATAGGATGCTGAGAGCACAATTGTATGCATGTTGAGACAGAAAGTCCGACAACTCTCAGTATTCACCAGCAAACAAGGCTGTCTAAGGGACATTGACAATTGCAAGACTTTTCTGTCCAAATATACCTAAGACTGCAACCTTAGTTTATATTGGATTGAAACAAAATAGAAGCAAACAGTGTAACTATATGGAAGTTTTACACCCTCTTTTTACTGTATGGTTTTAACTATCAAAGGACTGATATTGGCAGTATAGAGGCTTTCCACTACATAAGCAGATAACAATACTCCCACAAGCACCACATCTACCTGTTTCATATAATAATGTAAGCCAACTTCCCAACCTAGCGCCCTCCAGATGTGTTGAACTACAACTCTCAAATTTTTCAGTCAGCTTGGGAAAGCTTATGTAAATTTTGCAATGTTTGATGAATCAGATCCTTTTAAAAAAAGAAAGCACAAACCTGTGCAGCAGCTCTTACTGCAATCCAGGCCTGAACTCTGTGCATTTCCAGGGCTGTAAGTTCCTCAGTAACACGGAGAGTATTGGTAGGCTAAATTTAACAAAAGTTCTGGTTTAGCTCAGTTGGAAATGATAAATACATTCTGGAAAAGAACTTATACAGATTTTTAGAAATATCGCAACTCTTCATAAACTTCTGAATAACCATGTAGAAACAATTATCATGACTACTCTGCAGTGCAGAGTACTCCTATACATATAAATAGCACAATCCAATGTGCTGCCTGCAACCCCACAAATTCAAAGGTTACAGGCACCCTATTGAGGGTGAGAGCAAAGTGGAGTCAAAGATCATCTCCACCCTTTTCCTGCTCTGCAACATACTTAAGGTACACTCATATAAGTGTTTAGACAAAATGTCCTACAAATTGCAGCATGCCCTAGAAAGCATTTTGTGCAAACCTTTTATGTGCAAACATGCAAAGAACTATACCCTCAGAAGGCTGATTATGCTGTTTAAGGGTTTTGGCCCTGCTCATGAGGAAGAGAGACTGAAGCCCACTTATAGATCTATAGATCTAGAACTAAGTCTATTTGACATTCCAACAGACTCTTCGTTAAGTACTCTGAACAGAATCAAGGTTTTCCTGTTATCCCTCAAAGGCTCTCCAAATGGATAGTACACACCATTACTCTCTCCTATCAGTTGGCTAAGATAGACTTGCCTACAACCCCGAGAGGACATTCCACTAGAGTTGTAGCTGCTTCCTCATCTTTTGCGTCGAGAGTTCCTCTTGACAATGTCTGCAGGGCGGCCACTTGGGCCACTCCATGTACATTTGCTAACCATTACCAACTGGATGTCCGGGCTAGTCAAGACTGCTCCTTTGGCAGAGCCGTTCTTTCAACTATTCTTCGATGATGACACGTCCCTCCTCCAATTAGGGTAAGCTTGTTCCTCTACCCATATGTGTGATGCACAGAGGCCACGACGAAGAAAAGCAGGTTGCTTACCTGTAACTGATGATCTTCGAGTGGCCATCTGTGCAGTCACACAACCCACCCGCCGAACCCACTCGGTGTCAATGGGTGATGCTTTTCAGTACCATGTTATTCTCCCTTCGGTACCGAGTCAGTATGCTTTCCCTTCTTGTTGGTTCGACAATGTTAATTACTTAGTTACACTTGTTCCTTAGAGAGCGAACGTCCGGTCTGTCAAAGACTGGAAAATGGTGGACACTCCGCTCTATATATACTGCTAGGGGGGAGGGGAGCGGATTTTCCCGCCAAACCGTTAGCTATCAATCTTCCGGCCACAGGCATTGCGCAGGCGCAGTACCCATATGTGTGACTGCACAGATGGCCACTCAGATGGCCATTTTCAGAAGAAAGAATGAATCCATTCGCAGAACTTTCTCCTTATGAAAATTCAGGTACGGAGGGTCTACCCTGAGGGCGCAGAGCTCGCTAGCTCTCCGAGCCGATGTAACTACTACAAGGAATGCTGTTTTCCAGGAAAGAAGATGTAAATCAATCGTTGCCGAAAGTTCGAAGGGAGGTCTTGTAAGAGCTTGTACACTTTAATGGATGATGGCTTCAGCCCGGAATGGTAGAGTTCTAGGAGAAACTACAGAATGTGGTCTATAGATGTTGACTGTGGAAGAAATGAATGTGACTCTGCAAAGACAGAGAATCATCGCCACTTGGTCGCATATGACTTACGAGTTGATGGCCTTAGCACAGAATCGAGAATACGCTGAATGTCCAGGTGAAAAGGTGTCGGACCCAACGCAACATTTGTTAGATCCGAGGGCGTAGAAAGTGCTGAAGGATTCGAAGCATGGAGTGGCATGTCGGATCCGAGGACAGGATCCCTAGTAGGTATAGACGACATCAGTACAGAGTTAGACGTCGGCTGTTACCAAATTCACCATGCCGTCAACTTCAATGATGTCAAGTCCGGGTGGCGAATTGTGCCCTCTCGCTGGGAGGTTTTCTGGCCTTGTCCTTCTTAGGCTTCTTGTGCTCAGATGGTTTATCGGAGCCACTGTGCTTCCTTTTTTCACTCTTCTTCCTAGTTGGGGAAGCAGGCCGATCGCCCAGAGCGTACAGAGTTTCCTCAGAAGGGCCTGAGGGTGGAGCTTTGGACGAAGAGGCCAGTGGAGCAGGTGGGGCTGGGCGGGTGGCCGCAGCCGTGGTTGGAGCAGGATGGGAGACTAGTGGGTCCGACTGGAGAAGTGCACGGTCCCACAGAAGCCTCCGGAGGCGATTCTCACAATTTTTCCTGGCCTGCTTCGAGAAGGCCAGGCATTGAGAACATTTATCTGAACATTTATCTGTCCTATGTCCTTCCCCTAGGCAGAGAAGGCATAGGTCATGCGGGTCTGCTGGGGACATTTTAGACCTGCATTCCACACTTGCGAAAAGCCGCTCATTGCGCCATTGTGAGAAAAGAAATAGAGGAGATAGTGCAGAGGGTAAGAATATATTTTTGGGGGGTTTTTTTTTTTTGGAGAGAGAAAAAGGGGTGAAAAACAAGAGAACAACAAGAGAGACAACAAGAACTATCGAAAACGGGGTTTGTAACTTGGAAAAGAGCAAACGTAGAGGTTTATATGGACGAGAAAACGGTCAGAGTGAGAGCGAAAGTGGCATGATGCACAATGAACGGCAGTCGAAAAGAATGGAAAATAGCGGACACTCCGCTCTATATATACTGCTAGGGGGGAGGGGAGCAGAGTTTTCCCGCCAAACCGTTAGCTATCAATCTTCCGGCCACAGGCACTGTGCAGGCGCAGTACCCATATGTGTGATGCACAGAGGCCACGACGAAGAAAAGCTTTTTTTCCCCCCATTAGCCAGTCTGTGTACCATTTTGCACTTGGATAGGTTTTAGCAGCAGTTCTCTTGCTCTGTACGTACTTTCCAGAATGCCATCTCCAGACTCAGTTGATCCTAACACTGGGACCAGGAAATAAACACTGCCACATTTTATAGTTGCTGTTTAAAACTAAACAGCAGTCCAACCAAGCCAGGACTGGTAAAAGAGGGGTGCCTAAGCTATCAAGTCATCCACGTTCCTTCTCCCTTTGGAGCCTTCTGTGGGCTATCACACCCTATTTGAGGACATAGCAGTAGTGTTGGGAGGAAAAGAACACTCAATTAGCAGAAGTAGGCTTTCAGGAAACCAAGATAGCTCACTAAACAAACCAGAGAAGCAATGAAGCCAAGTACATGCAGAGGACTATTCAGAGATTGAGGAATGTCCTTCAGGACCTCCAGGAGAATAAGAGGAGAAAGAAATGATATGAACATAGAATAGATAACAATTCATGATCTCTGAAAAAAAGACATCAAGAAGTATCATAACAAGGCAGAAAGAACCAGAAGTACTCATTTTTTTACTTACATATTTTCTTAATATACTAGCATTTCTAAGTGGTTTACATAACAGAACTTCCTTAAATATATTTAGATAAATCATTACTTTTGAAAGAAGTTTTATGCACAGCTTCAAGGAAACAAAGGTGAAAGAGGAGGGGTAACCAAACTGTTTTATTGGGTTTTATAGTTCAGCATATCATGCTGAAATCATCTGCTAGAGTCCAAGACCAGCATTTAGGAACTGCAATAGCATTCCGCTGCTTTTATTACTTAGGTATTTAGCCTCTTACCTGAATTTATCACAATCATAAATCAGGCAACAGTCATTATAGTAAAAATTATCAGCAAGCCTACATGAGAGCATGGGGGCAGGGGGTGGATATATTGAATGGTAGCTCTGATTTGGACAACCAAGCTGATCTACATGAAGGTTTGCAGGAATCAGCATGGGTTGTACAAATTATAAAGGGAAAAGTTGTGTGGAGGCAATAATCCTATGGGGCTCCTAAACATTCTCTGAGACCACACGGGATAGTTTAGATTCTGAGTTCACAGACAGCACTTTCACCCTAAAACTGGGAATTGGAGCTCTGCCCCCTCCTCACTTCTCTCAGACGTCCAGAAAGTGATTGCAGAGAGGGGAGGAGACTGGAGCAACCAGGACACAAGACATCCTGAAGGTTATCTGCCTTCCCCTGTGAAATGCCCCCACTAGACAGGTGATAAAGCATACATACGCTTGGTTTAAATGTTCTTCCCTTCACTATGCCTGAGGTTGGTGATTCTTCCTTATTTGTAATTAGATAAAAATACAGCAGTGCTATTTCCATGTATGATCTTCTTATCAATCTGCAAAAATACAATACAGAACCCTCACAAATGTTTAACACACACCATTATTACTTGGAAATTTCATGTCATGTGATGAAAGTTACAGTCACTGAACTATAATGGTGGTTTATATAGCGACCACTCTACCTCAACTTGTTCTGCTTTTAGCACTGTTTATCTAGTTCTTATTTTATGAATTTGTTTTGAAAACTGACATCCATTTTTTTCAAAAAGAAACTCAATACAATAGTTTACATTGTACAAGTCAATTGGATAATATTTATATATTAAAGTACAAAATAAAACCAAAGCCAAAACCACAACAAACCATCAGCAGGAAATACCATTATAAAAATCAGAACCATCACCACTGCAACACATCCAAGATATATTTGAAGTCTGATTCAGATGTTACCAACAGTGGTATTATAACATGACATTTCCCACTCCATTGCTGTTTGAAGAAAGCAGATTGTGTAAACTGAGGCAGCAATGCAGTTATCCTGACCTTTGTAGATGACCTAAGTGCGTGGGTGATGTGGATTTTTCACACATAGTTTGGATCATCTTGTTATACAAACTTTCTGAACCAATATTCTGAATTTGTTGAATGAATCACCTGTTGCTGAATACTAAATTCAGGTAAAAATTTTAAAAAGGTAAGTGGACAGAGCTCCCCCATGTGAGCTCTGCTCACCTGTCTCTTTCCAGAAACGAGTGTCTCCCCTTGTTTCCTCAGAAGTGCCCAAGTGCCATTGCACAAGTGGTGGGGGCCACTTGTGAAAAATAATCAGCAGGGAAGAAGAGAATAATGGGCCACGTAAGATTGGCGGCGGAGGCCCTTCTCCGGAAACCCTCCTTGAAGGATATTAGGAGGATGAGTACTCGGAGGAGGGCTTTTCTGCAGTGGCGCCCAACCTATGGAATGCGCTCCCCAGAGAGGTCCGCCCAGCGCCGTCGTTATTTGTTTTTCGGCGCCAGGCCAAGACCTTTTTATTTAAACGCTATTTTAACTGTTAATGGTTTACTTGTTGATTTTAAATTGACCAGGCTGTTTCCACTATTTTATTTTATGTATTTTATTTATTTGATGAATTTTTGCATTTTATATGGGATTTTAATGATTGTAAGCCACCCCAAGGCTCATGCAATGGGGTGGCATATAAGTTGTCTAAATAAATTAAATAAATAAATCATAAAGTCATAAATACAGTACTCTCAATTAACCAGCACTCATGGGGATTGGTAGATGCCGGATAAATGTAGTTTCTGGTTGCTTGAGAGTTACTATTAAAAATAGGCCTAACTAATACTATACCCCATACTATACCATAAACTCTGTATTGACTTGATACTATTGAAATGCAGTAATTAAAAACAAATAAAGACAAATAAAAACAAATTTCTATCTTCTTAGTTGAGCCTTAATATATTAGAGCACTGTCAAACCGACATTACATTCTTCCAAGAGCACTGCAGAACTCTCACCTTTCTCAAGCCTCTTGCATATTTCCATCTTCTGCTTGAGGGTAAGCACTGTGCTTTTACACTCATTTGGATCCTGTTTTGGCATACTTGGGGTTGTATGTTTACACACAGTGAATTGGTGGGAGTGGGAGGTTTGGCTGCACACCAAGTTTAAACTTACATTTCCACTGGAAATTAATGTTATTTTAATTTTTATTTAAAGTATTTCTTCGATTTTTTTGTGAGTTGCTTGAAAGGGCCAGTTGTTTGAGTTCCAGTTAACCAAGTGTCTACTGTACTTGTTTAATGATACTGGTGAGTAGAGCGTGTGAGCGATATTCATGTTTTTTCCATTTTCACAGGGGTCCTGCACCCCTAACCCTTACGAATGTGGAGGGCCAACTATATGTATTCCAACTTACATACTTAAGGATTAATTTCCATTTTCTCAAGACTGAAACTCATTCATAACCCAGGGACTACCTGTATTGCATTGAAATACCATGTTTGTTCTTTAAGTTGCTCACATATTAATATAATAAATGAAAAAACCAGTGCCAATAAATTGGGAGAAATAACAGAAAATAATGAATGCAAATTAAAACTAAGTCTAAAGCTACATATTATATGTGCATTTATTTGCAGTTGACACCTTACAGCATGAGACTAATCCCTGCTGAACACTTCTGACTGACTGACTGACTTCTGGGTAAGTACACATGGGACTGAACAACACAACTACCAATGAACCTGTGACTTACTATATATCTCATTTATTTTCAAGTCTAGAAATACCGAAGGCCAGTGACATTGTACGAGGTTCTGCACATTACTAGGTTCGAAGCTATCTTCCTATCTTGGTGCCATTCTGCCACACACAAGCACACTTTACAAAGTCAGGCAGCAATTTTTTTAATATACTTACCTCAGACTAAGTTCTACTGAACTTAAAGAGTGACAGTGTCACATATATACATGACACACTGTGCACACAAGACAAATGCTTGTTATATTGAGCAATGTTTTGTTCAGTAGGAAATCCAGAGCTTTAATGAGTTATTAAGAAAAGCATGATACCTTCTTTGGGAATGGAGCCAGTACTGTGTCAGAACTACTGGATCAAAACACTTGGAAATATATTGCAGTGTACCATAAGGCAACAATCACAGACTTATTTATGGGGGAGAAGGTCCTTTTTGAAATAAATGTTACGTGCTTCTGAGTACATATGCACAGGATTAAGCTGCATATTTGTGTACATCAAAAACAAAGAAAACCATGTTGCCCTGTGATTTACAGGAAGTGTGAGGAAATCAAGATATCAAGGCAAGAAACACTGACAAAAGAATCAAAATAGTTGCTCACCCATAATTTTGATAACCTTGTAAGCTTAACTGTATGGCATCCAGAAAGTTTTCAACAGCTGTTGTTGATTTATTAACACTTAGGGAATCAATCTGTCGCTCTATCTTCCCTTAAAAAAGCAGACACGCAAGTTAAGACTCATAGCTAGCAAAACTCTGTATGGAAGGTTTTTTAGAGCCAGGATGCTAATAGCATGACTGGTCTGGCCAAATTTAAACATGAACAGATCACAAGTGATGAGGGATTGGACATGGAGGCTTACAGGAGCCTGACTCAGTATAGTAGTTTCTTTACCCATGACCATAGGAGAAATGGCATAGTAACATTTCCAATGTTAAGGGTGTGAAGAAATGCCACATATATAACTGTTGTTTTTCAGTAATGTTTACATCTGAGCTATAAAGTATTTGAGTACACATGAAGCTTTTCTTTGTTGCTGTGAATAGCCTGCATAGTAGCTGCAGGGTATTATTCTGAAGGGGGGAACAGCAATTATTGCTTTGAATAAGAAAAAGATACTTCGAAAAAGCTGGGGACTGGAGGCTATCTATGACTACTAGCCTTACTGGCTGTGCGCCACCTCTGTTATCAAAGGCCACATGCCTGCATATACCAGTTTTTGAGGAGCTTGGACAGGCAGAACACTTGTACCCTCCTGCTTAATAGGGTTGGGATGAACCCTTTCGGAATCTGTCCCTCCAACCAATCATGGGCTTCCTCTTGTGCTTGGCCCAATCTTCTAAAGAAAGCTGGGCTAAGAGGAAGTCCACAAATGCTTGCAAACCCCCAGCTGCACAACCAGCAACCTTCTTCCACATCAACTGCAGCAGCCCAAAAGGTGGTTGTAGCTGGCGTAGAAAAGGGATGCTGCATGTGCAGTGGTCATGAGAGCTGCTTTCCCAGAAAGCAGCCTTGTTTGGCATCTGTTGCAGCTGCACAAACAGTGAGCGCTCCTGGTGCAGAAGAGGGGTTCTGCTACCTTTCCGAAAGAGAAGTTCAGCTTCCAACTCTAAATCTCTTCTCACAGATGCTGTACAAAGGTCCAGTGCTGTTTCAGTGTGCTTCAGAGCTTGCAGCCATTGCAACTCACTTTGGGGTTCAGATGTGCAAGATAATTCTATGGTCAATATATGTCCTAAAAATCAATTTGCAAAAAAGAAAAATCCATGAGTTTCATAATTCAAAAAGAAAAGCAAACATTGTAAAAGTAAAAGTTATATAATTACACTATTTTTTAACATTTCAGACAATTCAAACAGAAGTGAGGCACAACTAAATTCTGCCATATACAAAGTATCTGAGAACACATACAAAAGAGTGATGGCTAGGCAAACCATTCTGAGCATTCATTCATTCATTCATTCATTCCCTACCCTTCAACAGATTCCAGATCATGTGAACCTGACCTATCATCACAAAATTCACATTAGATGCTAGTAGTACATTAGATAATGTACCAGCTCTGTGCAAGTGTGTATACAGGAATGAGAAAATGAATTTGATGTATATAAACACATGTGCACTAAGAACATACTACTATGGTCTCACTGAGGTAATACCATAATAGTTTCAAATAGTTTCCCTTTGAAATAATGGAAAACTCTAATATTACTTAAGAATATCAAACATTATCCATCTTTATAAATAATAACATGTTTTATACATTAATGTAAGCTTCCTTACCAATTCTCATTTTGACTTTTGCCAGTAATCTGACATGTGGCAGATAAATGTTTTTCATAGGTACCCTTAAAGTTGTCCTTGTAGGGTCTTCAGCATGCTGCTCAAGTGATTGTCCCAAAAGAAATAACTGTTGAGAAATGTAGTTTGATAACACAAATTATACAATCTATATTTCCCTCTACTTATAGTTCGTACCTTCCATAAAAAGCTGTAGTTAAAATGCCATCCGACACATGAGAGATATTACCAACTTAAGATAACTAAATGATTTGCAGGTATCTAAAAATCTTTGGGGGGGGGTGGAAACTAACAGGAGAAACCCTCAGAATCACCTCTGAAGAGGGGATCTCTCAAGTAACTAGGTAGAGAAGAGAATGCAGTGGGTGGGATATTCAACAGAAGCACTTTGCACTGCAACATTTCATTGTAGGACCACCAGACATACACTTGCTACTTCCATTTATCTTATAGATATTACATATCATAATATGCATATTATGATTTTAATGGTTTTTAATGCTCTTGTACACTATTCTGAGAGCTTCTGCTAACTGAACAGTTTATAAACTGGATGGATGGCTGCTTGTCGCTGTAACAAAGGCTTTTTTAAAGGGGGAGATTTGCCCCTCCTTTTTGCCATACCACCAAATTTCAGCAGCAAATTTGGTGGCACTTAAACATATGTATTTCATGGGCCGTGTGTTGCCCACCTGTGCATACATAGATCAAATGTGGTGCAGCAAACAGAGTGGGAAATGTAGATCAGGAAGGCCTAGTTCAAATCCTGGGATGTTCACAGGGTGACTTTCATATCATGTTGATTTTCCTTTTCTTGCAAAGTTAAAGTGGGAATACTTTTTAAAACACTTATGTCCCTCTGAGTTCCTTGAAGGAAGGGCAAAATATAAAGGTGATATGATTACACTCACCTGTTTAACAACAAGTTCATGTGCTAGAATTAATAAATTCAGTTGCTCAATTTTAGCCATGGGATGTTTCGAATCATCCTCTGCTTGTGTTCTCATTATATCAGCTAGCAGTAGCATACTTCGGACTAGTGTTAAAGAAGCTGTGGGAGAAATCAGTGTCCTTTCTTCAAGTAACCTGATTATATCCTGTATGGACACAAGAACATAAAGATATATTTATATTTACAGGTAGATCAGTGTTTCTCAACCTCTTATTACATATCTTTCTTCTGAATTTACTCTATTGTCCTGCCTCTTACCCTCACTGTAGTTCTATCTATGCTTTCAACAGGGGAATGCAGATATGCTTACACACAGTTCTGTGCACTCAGGGATCTGTGGATTATAGTATTAAATCAAAACTGACATTAGAAGAGGGACAGAACAGGACATCTCTTTCCTGTTATTAAAACCATGAAAAGAAAAAAGGATCAGAACAAAGCAGTTACTCTTCTCTCAAACTTAATTTGAATAATGGGATTGTGGTGGGAGGTAAGTAATTGAAGGTAATTGAAGCACAAATCCAATCTAACTTAGGGTCCACCTTCCGTGACATTCAACCTATCCATTCCTTTGGTCAGGATTCTATCTCTGGATGTTTATCCATGCATCTTGAACCTCAGACAGCCCATTCCACACATTCAGAGTTGCCAACTTTAAATCCTTGACATCTAGTTAACTAAGTAAAATAAAGCTATGAATTGTGTCAGAACTTTTCTAGGAAAAGTTAATCATTCACATTTGTGTTCAGACCTGTAGAGAAAGCTTAATGTCAGCCACTGGTTGTTTTTCTTGCAGGCTAAGCATAATGGCTTGCATTGTAATTTCAGCAAGTGTCTCAACATCATTGAATGCCTCAGCTTCCCGCTGTACCTCACTGATCAGACATGAACACTCTGTCAATTCATTTTCTTAAAGAAAAAAGAATACACCTCAATTAACATTTAAAATACATTCTCAAATAATTGCACAGACAACTGTAATATTTATTTGTATATTCTAGGAGTTTTAGGATGTTTCTCTGCTTAAGCTTACATAGGATTGTGCCCTTGGAACACAGTCCTCCTCTTTGTCCCATATTGCTGACTGGAAGGATAGCATGCAGATCCTTTCCAGCAGTCTCTGCATGTGGGGAGGAGCACCAAAGGGGATCTTCCTCATGGCAGAGGTATCCAATGCTCCCATTGCAGAGTTCTTCCATTGGTGGAAGCAGGCAGAAGTGGCCAAAACAGGAAGCTCCTCAGGTGGGCAGACTCCTTGGGTGGGCTGCAGAAAAGCCAGTTTTATATCTACTTGATGTAACATAATTCTGTTACATAATAGTCAATTTTTTTTCTTTTGCCTTGAACAGGGTGGGCTAGGGGAAGAAAAGATCTGCCAGACCAAGCACTGAAAACAGGAGCACCCTCTCAATCTACTACATCGACCAGCACCAGTTGACAAGGCTAGGAGACAGCGTGTCTACCTTATGACTCCCTACTGGCCACACTCAGGCTTGTTCTGCCTCTACAGATCTGCAATGTTAACTGATTGCCTGAACTTATATATGAATCCTTCAGATTCTGGAGGGACAGAAAGGGTTTTTCCCAACTCTAGTGGTAACTAACTTGTTCAAAAAGGTTATTCCTCCTGAGTTGGCTGTTGACTTTAGCTGCACCTTGCCAGGACTGTACAAAAATATATAAACAGAAGCAAACATGTTAACCCCTTATATATAAGTTCAGGAAATCAGTTAGCAACGCAAATCTGCTTGCACAGTACATGGAGCTTGATTCCTGGCAAGCACCCCATGAATGCTGGGCACACTTGCCAGGAACGTGGACTTCTGGCTGCTACAAAGTGGACCAGAGTCCAGGAAGCTGAAACCAGGTGACTGATGGATTTTCCCCATGAAACAGATTCCTTGCACATCCCTAGTTAGCATTACAATGGAAACAGATTTAGAAGATTAGCTCCAATAGTTTCTGGATTAACTATTACCTTTCATTGTTTCAATGCCTCTTGCCTGTGCTGTAACTGCTGTCACTAATGCCAAACGACATCTGAGCCATATATGTATATTCAAATGTTCTTTGGCTATTGCATTGTGAAGCAGTTTGGAATCCTCAGCATAAAACTCATCATTTTCCTAAAACACAGAAAAAACTTACTTGGAAAATAAACAGATATTAATCAATTGTACGGCAATTCTGTAAATATTTTTTAAAAGATGTAGAGTTATTTGTATAAATCTTCTGAATGTGGATTACAGTGCATCATAACATGCTACTCTATTAATTTAAACCTAATACAATTCTTAATATATAAGAATTATAGAAAACTATTTTGAATGTTGACTATGCCCTCAACATATCTGCACTATTTTTATCAGCTTTATACCTGGTCAACCAAAAACTTACAACTTATACCTCATCTTTCTCTGTATGTTCTGGTAAATTAGATCCCTTCTTGAAAATCTTTGCATCCTGAAGAAGTTTTAATGCAGAAAACACCAAGGCTGCACTATGATAAATAAACACACAATTAAGCATTAGAAAAAGTTTATGTATTTTATATTTCATGCAATAATTCTTGTACACAGATCAGTGGCAATTAGCTGAGTTTTGATTAGTTCACCTAAAAAGGAATATATGGCCTGGATGTTTTTAATAGATATAGATAATAAAATATTTTTATATTTTAGATATAGATAATAAAATATTTTTTGGCAAATAATGACTTTTTACAGAGAAAAGTTTACCATAGGATAATCCACATGTCCACAACCTGTTCAAGAGGAATGTGCCTTTCCACAGTGTGCATTGTCCAGAATGATGAAAAGATCAACCTGAGGCATTCCCCTTCAGAAAGATCTTTCTTAGCATGTTGGTGTATAGTTGGCACTTGTGGGACACAAGAGTTGTGAGGCTCAAAGTATCAGTCAAGGTGTTCAGCCAGCTACTGGATCACAGTAAAAATGATACCCCTATTGACACACCAGTCTGAGATCCTCACAGCTAGATGTGAATAGAGGAATAGAGAGGGCTTCCCTGTTTGTTGAGATGTCTGTTGCAAGAGTAGATTGTGCCTTTGGAAGAGTGGTCCTTTGGTTGTCTGAAAAATTGTCCCGTTTTGAATACACCCAGATTGTTGAAAGTTATTAATCATATTGTATTACGACAGTGACACTAAGAAATGTTTTCAGGTAGTAAAACTTCAACAGAAACCAAACATCAAAAACAAGATGCCAGTATACTTACTCACCCATAAAGCATTGTTTTCAGTTACTTTTTGGTTTTCTGCTTAGTTAACTAACATAAGTGATAGAGTCAAACAGTAACTGGTCTGCTGAAAGCTGAAATAATTTACCTGAATGCTGTCTGAAGTCTCTGCTCAGCAATGGCTGCCAGTTGAAGCTTAGCTTCAATTACAATCTCTAACTCTGAAGCTGAGCATACATAAAGTGATGTGCCATATTTATTTTGTATCGTTTCAAGAATTAAACTAATCCTTTCTTCAGCTTCTTCCAATAAAATGCCCTAAAATGATAAAAACACATGTGCCCAGTTAATAAAAAACCAATGAAAATACAGTTTTAAAACACTAGCCCCTTTCATTATAATCAAAGAGCAAAATTGAGAAATGAAGTATTTATTCTGCACTGGAATCAATAGAACCTGTTTTCTTCAGGTTTCTATCACAGTGTATAGCATGGGTCCTCAAACTATGGCCCAGGGGCCGGATCCGGCCCACCATGCCCATCTGGACCTGCTGCACCCACCGCCGCCCACCCTGCCCCGCGCGGTGGGAGACAGTGGTTTGCTCGCTCAGAGAAAACAATCTCCTAGCAAGCAAGCTGCTGCCTCATACGTCCGTCTCACGGTGCTGCCGCCCACGCCTCACCTCCCCTCGCCAAGGGCGGCCATCCACATCTCGCCTCACCTTGCCTAGCCACACACCCCGCCCCCATGCCGGCCTGCACGCACCGCCCACACCCAGCACCAGCAGCTTTCAACTGGCCCCCTGGTGGAAAGTTTGAGGACCCCTGGTGTATAGGATGAAGGATCCATCCTCTCCCAAGCATTCCATGTAGAAGATCTAACGCCATCTCCACCAGTACACATTCAGCTATTCCTTCTGCTTTACAATCATGTTGTGCATCATGGCACAAATCATCATGAGTGTAGCTGCTTCTAAGGTGCTTTCATCACTCATATGCCAATGTGATGGAAAAACTGGAAATGCACCTTCAGCATCTCAGCTTCATGCTTCTTAAACAGCTGCACCCAAGTGCAGTTTCTGACAGGCCTCAGAGCAAGTGGGGTACGGGTAGCAGTGTGTAGGTGCACAAGTGACTGTGCAGTGCAACAAATGGTTTTACCAATGATCTTTTGGTGTACTTTCCTAGCTTTATGTTCCATTTACTGCTGCTTGATCAATGTGTCATGATGTAGGCTATTCTTTGTAGAAAAATCTCCAACCTTCCCAATAAACCTTTCTCTGAACCAAGAGAGCACTGTGACTCCTGGGTTTGGTTTCCAGTATAAAGAAAGCAATGCTCCCCTTTTAAATGAGGCTTGTGTTTGCAAAAGGGCAACACAGAGACCTCTCCTGTAAAGCTATCAGGCAGGCAATGGTACTACTGCTTCTACTACTAGGCAGAACTGTGATATCCACTACTAATTAGGGCTTGTTACCTGGGCTTGTCCAGTAGTGGTAGGATCCTGAATTTTCTTTTTTATCTGGGAAATTGTCTCTATAGCTCTTTCAAACCTCTGGAGAATTCTGATAGACATTCACACAACTATGGCAAACCAATTATCCTTGGACTAACAGTGAGTTCTTGCAACTAAAGTCCTAGATATTTTGGAACAGCAATATTTGTGGTGAAACAAAGCCCCAATTCATCTTCCTTCACATAAGAAAGTGCCTGGTATGGATGTCTGTCTCCTTCTAAACATGTTAAGAAAGTGAGGTTGAAAAAACTGGAACATTCTGCAACAAATGGAGCATATTTGAAGTTGTTGGCTATGTTCCAGAATAAAAGTCTGTGCATTAAATTATCATATCCTGTTCAATTTTACACCCTACCCTTGCCTTGGAATACACACATTTTTGGAATTCGGCTTATAAATACAAAATGCACAATCTGGTTATTTATTTATTTATTTAAAGCATATGTGACAGATCTGCATAAGATTGTTCCCTTGGTTTGTTTCCCTTCTCACTGAGAGAGAAAGCATACAACCGATTAGCCTTGCAACAAGATGGGGTCTCTTTGGTACACAGAATTTACATATGAAAAAGCCCCATGTATGTGGGTTTCCAGAGATGCATCTGCCATGTTCTTGCAGGTTTTGTATTTCTGGGATACATTTTTTCCTCTTCCTTTCATGCTAAATAGGTTTTAAATGTGGCTAATCTTTGGAGTAGCACTTTAATGTCTCCAGTCCTAGGGTAACCTAAGTATACAATTGCTCCGCTTGCCAAATAACAGCCAAGAAACCAAAAGCCCAAAATAACAGGTTCTTTAATTTATCTGGAATGCATTGCTACTTAAACTATAAAAAATGTAATTAATCAAGGTCTGTATATTTTCTTATTTTAATACTATTATTACCTTTAGCATGGCCATAGTCAAAGTATCTTTGTTTCTTTCAAGTTCCACAATCATGACAATTGGGTCACGCTTTCCACTTGTAAATGCTGAAGCTACTATAAAACCTTTGTAAAAATAAATACATTGTCAAAGCACTGAAATTAGCCTATTGTGTCCTTCCCTGTAAGTAGTTCCCTTTGAATTATGTCCTATGCAACTCCCAAATACACAGGGTACTCTTCTCTAATGATGCCATGTAATAGTCTGGCTCAGGGGTTGGCAACCTGCAGCTCCGGAGTTGCACGTGGCTCCTGAACCCCTCTGCTGTGACTCCCTCGCTCAAAACATGTGCCTTTGAGCCGGCACAGCCACTGATCTGCTCGAAGCTCCACAGGGCAAGCTAGTTAAGTAAATCAGCTAGTTAAGTAAATTGCTACATTCCTCTGCTAAACAAGCTTCCTGCAGATTCTCTTTGTCCCAATGTAATCTCCTTCATCTGAATGTTAAAAATCTCTAGGTCTGTTCTAGTAGGCTAGTAATCCTTAGAAAATTCTAGCCAAGACTAACTCCCTGCTGTACAAGCAGCCTGTTACTTTCTAACGGAACAGAAAGAGACAGGAGGACTGCAAGAAAAAGTGGAGCAATAATAGAAGTGGCATTTCTTTTTTCTGAATATCTTCTTTATATTCTCAGCTGGGATCATATCCCATACAATTGTGCTTGGCATAGGAGAGAACTTGAGAATAATGAAATAAAGTTGAAAGGTTAATTTATAATGATAAAATCTTAAATATTAAAAACAAAAGCCACATCCAATAAAGGTGCAGCACATTATAATTTGAATACGAAAAATTAAGCATGAGACTTTAAAAGTCCTTGTATTTCATAGGACAGGTACCTTGTAAACAAACAGCTTTTCAACAACTACTAGTAGAAATATTATACTAAGTGAGGCAACTGAATCATTCTAAATTAACATATATAAGCCTTATAACTCATACTGAGTTACAATACAAGTTCCTTATTAATATTATTTGCTGTTAGAAGTACCTTTTAAGAATGCATCAGTGTTTTTCCCTGTCTTTCTTAGAGAATCGGAGTCCACACAGTATGTTGCTTTCATCACTTTTTCCGGAATACAATTTAATGTTGCAGATAAGCAAATAATGAAATGCATTTTGGTTAACAAGAATGTATCCAGGATTCGTGGTTCACACAATGAAGTCCAGGCTGAATGTAGCGGCCTATTAAAAACATCTTCTAATGCCTTTGAAGTAAAAAGGAAATTTCATTAAAAAAATATATCTACTTCTATGAAAAATAATTTTAATTAATTTTAAGGAAGATGCAAATAATACTGCATAATGTAGGCATTCTGTAGAGGAAAATTAGTTTATCTTTTCCAAAACAGAGTGCGGCAACCACATTTCTCTAAGGCCAAATTTAAATGTAACAAAGCCATTTAGAATGCAGCTCTTCCATGCAGTTGTCATTTTGTTTAAATAGCATTTGCACATTCAGTTCAAAATTTCAACTTCAAGCAAACACTCAAGGCCAAACTACATGGTGAAATCCAAAGATGGTAGGAATGTGAATACTGGCATCTACTCTATCCAGAACTGTTTACCCATAGCAAAACTGTTAAATTCAGAAATCAACATAACTACATGCTTCCATAATAGCATCTAGCTATCAAAGAGGGGTTATCAAATTCCAAAGTGGTTATATCTCTTTTAAATTACACAAAGTGTACTTAGATTTCAACAAACAGTTACTTTGTGCAGGATATCTCTAAGTCAGAATTTGCACAGAAATAAGTAATGTCTGAAGAGCCTTTTGTGATCCTGTACCAGAAATCCCAAAAGCCTCTCCAATTATTATTCAGATGCCCCCTCACATTTCATATAGGGTGCTACAGAGCTTAACAGCACACATGTAAGAGTGGTACATGTGAGCCACACAGTTAAGTGTCTGGGACTAGCAGGTAGCTTCAAAGTAATGCTGGTCAGAGCAACTCACTTCTGCTATTCTGGAAAGGACTATAGGTTTCTCTCTCATTAGCACTGGAAATATTCTCTCCCCCTGTGTTGAGGGAACTGCTTGCATCAAAACTGTAAAGGTTTGTGTGATTGGTGATGTGATGTCTGTGGGGGGAATGCACTCCCAAAAGAATTTTTGTGATGTCTGTGGGGGGAATGCACTCCCAAATTCTTGACTAAGAATTCAAATCTACGGGTTGACTAAGTTTTTCCTCTACAAACTGATTACATACTTTCCTTTCCGGAATGATCAAATGGAAGAAGAAATAACCTGAATGTTCGTAAGTATGATTCTGCTCAGCCTGAAATGGGGCCATAGTCAATGAGATACTATTGTGAATGAAAAGTATGTTGTGCTAGCATAAAAAATCTGTGGTGCAACACCAACCCTGCTCTAGGACCCATGGCTTTTCCTAGGAATCCCATCATGCCAGCAGGCACTATTGGTACTCCTTTATACACTCTTTACACTATGCATTGTAAGTCATTTAGTAACAATGTCATACTGAATATTGCCCAGAAATTTAGTTGATTACACATACTATTTCCTTACCTGTAGATTCTCACTAGTCAAGAGGGATTTTGACGAATCAAACTGTGCAGAGACCTGAATTTAAAAACATGTAACAATGAACATTATATAGCAATAAATATAAATTTCAAAAAGAAATGAGTAAAACAGGAAAGTTAGTGCAATTGTTGAACTCTGTTTCAACTTGAAGAAAATTAACCAAATATCCAATCTGTGTTCTGTCTCTACTCCACGCTTTGCTTAGCAATCACATCATCATTTCCTTTTGCATGAACTCCCCAACCCATATTGCTTTGGCAGATCATGGTCTGAGAAGAAAACAAAATGTAATTCTATCATCCAGACTATGTAATGAAAACACTTAATGAAGATCAAAAGGAAAGGAAAGATCAAAAGTAGACAAGACCAAGTCCTGCAAGTCCTTCACCAGAAAGATATTTAGCAAATCCCACAGACCTCTGCATACAACCCAGAACAGTGAGAGAGCCCTAAACGTAAGGGAGATGTTATTTCCTCACAGATTACAAAATAAAACAAAGTTAGCATTTTTACCGGAAGTTTAGGAATAAGCCTGTAGACTGAAGGTAGCTTCCAGGGGATTTTCTCTCCACGGTTAAGTATACATAGTTCATTGAAAGCATCAGAGAAAAATCCTAAATCTGTAAGCACTTTAATCTAAAAAAGTTGGGTATTAGAATTATAAGAAGTTATTTGTTCATATTAATATCCACAATACTAAGAGCTGTACATTATGTGTACTACCAGAGCACACCACAACATGTGCCTCAAATATTTTGAGGTATAAACATAATCTTTCGTAATATAAGCATGCTATCATGTGCTCTTCCCTTTCCTCTTTTCCTTATTTACCAAATTCAAGATGAACACTTTGAAGTGCAATTCATTTATTGAAACTTCACAGATTACAGAACAGTATGAACTCTAAACAACCTTCTACTAAACATGAAGAAAAAGCATCTGCTCATGTAAAGAGTTCACGCCAAACCAAAAGTTTCTCCTCCCTTTCAGTAAAGTTTCTGACTGTAACCTCAGGGTGGCTCTTGCTGCTGAAGGCTATACAGCTCAAACATGGGAGCCCTCCAATTTAACCATGTGCTCATCCAATCACCTCTTTACTGAGTCAAGGACTGGGTCTTGCACCTGCTCCCCATACCCTGAAAACCTTTTCACACCTTCCAATTCTCGTGCTCACCCAGGGAAACTCACTAGGTACCCCTGAATCTCTTAACTCCTGCTCTTCCCCTTGCTCCCCCACCTTCTCCTCAGAATCAGATAACTGGACAGCCTATAATGAGCAAGAGGTGGGCCCACTCTCTAGACATGCTTCTTCCCACTAAGCCTTGTAGTGACTCAGGAATCATAAGATTCACTCCTTTTGCAGACCAGGATAGAGGCCTTTATTCTTTTAAACTACAAGGAATGCATTTCCTTTCAATTTGCCCACCATTTCCCCCATGACCTTCTCCCTGCCTTTCTAATATTACATGTCTGCCTCTGGGAGTTTGCTAGCAACGAAAGGTCAAAGAGAAAGGGGGAAGGGCAGAAAGAGTTCCTTCTAACAAGGCAGGGCTTTCCTTTGCCTCCACTAATATTTGATTTGTGCTTTGAAATCTTGACAGTGCCATTAGGTAGCATACAAATATTCTGAAATGATCACTAAAATTTTCAACTTGTTGCTGTCATACTGGTTACATTTACCTTGAGAATCCTTCCTTCAATACATTTAATCGGATTGCGACAAATTTCAGAAACAAAATATTGATACAAAGTGAATAGTGGCAAAATCTGCAAGGAAACAAAAGACTTCTTTAATTCTTTTTATTATTCAAAGATTGGTTTGTTACTTTATTGTTGCTCAATATTGGAATATGCTGAAGATTTTGAAGAAATGTGATATACAAAATTCAAAACAGTGAAGATGCACCTAAGTCTGGCAGATTGTGCAGTTTATGCTTTTAATGATACAGCTGCACTTCCAGTCAGGTACAAGCTGTTGAGCTTGGCAACTCACACAGAAAGTGCATCTATTTCTTTCTCAGTATTTCCCTCATCTCTACAAGCTGGTAGTTGACCGAAAAAGAAGAATGGCTTTTAATAATGCCAAAACGTGCAGAGTACAATACTGTTTTATTATTTTGTACTGACAAGTTCAGAAAGAGGAAGCATGTGACTTGGCCTGTTCACTTTTAAGCCATCAGGTTTCCTTGACTAGGAAAACCACTGACACTAAGTTCTCTGCACCTGGTCTTTGTAGAGGTACATTAGAAGATGAACTAATGTGGATTAAGCAAAGAACAGCTTATTTTTTACTGAGCATCACAGCTAGTGAATGAAAAGATCTGTCTTGGAGTAAAGTACTAGGCACTACACCAATCTTTCTAATCTGTACACCTGCACATACTTGGTAATAAGCCACACTGCACTCAGTGGGACTTACCTCCAAAAGAACATCTATAGAATCAGATCCTCATCTAAACAAGATTCATAACTTTAACTGAATGCCTGCTCTGTATAGTCTAAGTATGAAAAAGCAGATTCATCAAATTGAAAAAGTACGGCTTGCATTAATTTCCCCTTCCTCGTGGAACATCCCTGCCCCATGACACAAAATTTTGCTTTAAAGGGTTCAGGAAAACTCTGAAGCAGCTGAAGGCATAGAGGGCTACAAGGGAAAAGTAAGCAAGGAGGTCTATTTGCAAGCGGAATCTGCCACACACCACTTTTATCCAACAAATTACAAATGATTTACATATATATCAGTGGTACTTACTATTAAATTCTGCTTATTACAATGCAATTCATATATAATAAACTTCAAACTTGCAACAACTGTTGCGACATCAGCTCTGTAGTAATCCCCAAATAGATCAATGCCAGGAATTAACATGTCTGTTTCATATCTCACAAAATCACAATCAGCTTTAGGATGTGGTAGTGAAACTCTAAACAGGGACTAAAATTATAGAATCATTAAAACTTATAACATTTGAAGTTTGTTCTTTATTTTCACTAGCTAGATCTAAAATGAGGCATAAGTTTTTAAGTGGCTGAAATAACAACTGAATTGTCTTTCTACTACTGCAATGCTATTACATGCCAGTATATACAATTAGAAACTAATTCATTTGCAGCTATTCTAGTTCAAGATATTGGGTAAATCACAGCCTCATTATACTAGAATTACTAACATGTAAAATACTTGGCTAGACTCTTGCTTCTGCAAGAGCGATAGCCCAAGAATGTTAAGATCCTGTTGGATGGAGGTAATGACTCTTGACTGAGACTTGTTCTGCCCTTGAAGGCCAAAAGCAGATTGAAAAGGACTGCAATGGAGGAGCGACTTATTTTATATTGTTAATTCATTTTATATTTTTAGTGTATTATATTTTAACTGATGTTTTGTGAGCTGCCCCGAGGCTTCGGCGAATGGGGCGGCATAGAAATTTTCTAAATAAATAAATAAAATCTTTCTTAAGATTAGAAAAAAAGGGATTTTTTTTAAAGGAGAGTGAAGAAAAGGGAAAAATGAAGAAAAGGTAAGGAAGAGGAGAAAAACAACTATGTTTGATCCAATCTGGCATTGCAGTCAAAAAGAAACTGAGGAAGTGGGTTGCAGCCCCCCTTATCATACACCCTGGAACGGAGGGAGGGCAGCCACTTTGTGGCACTGAGCTATGGAAGTTTCTTTCCAATCTAGGACTTGCACTTCACGACAAAGCCCACATATGTGATGCACAGAGACTACAATGAAGAACGCAAGAAACCCCAAGTAAATTCCCCTGCCAAAGACATTAACATGTGATAAGAACTCTCTAAAGAACATGTTTTGATAGCCCATCCAGTTTCAACCACTTGTCTAGGGCCTTCTTTGGAAATGGGGTGTGTGCGTCTGACACTATCCACAGTAGCAGCCTCTACATAGATTGCTGTGAACCCTGCCCATTGTACAATAACCTTACATGACACCAGACTCCCCAAAAAAGCAAGTTTTCCATATACAAATCCCCCTGCTGGACCAAAAATCATGAATATGAAAACAACGTTCTGATCAGATGGTCCATTTTGATACGGCTGATCATCTGTTTCTGTGTGGTAACTGATTCCAGGAACATTTCCACTAATACAGGGATGATCACCATGTAGCCCCACCAGCCTGCACATTATTTAGATACATTTACTACTTTGATAAAGTATAATAGTATCTATTACTATGTAATTCATTCTTCTGTGATATAATCATCTATTTGTACTTTAATACCAAAATAGTTTTTATATATAGTTAACTACTTATGGAAGATAAAAGCCTTGAAAGTATCCTTCATCATCATCAGATAAGGTCTTAATTAGAACATATTAATTAAAGCATATTAATTACCTTGAAGAGAACAGCAGATAAAATGCAGGTTTTGGTTCTTAATTTCACATCATATAACAATATGTACCTATATGCAAAAGGAAGAAAGAAAACAAGTAAAAATTACATAGTCTGTGGCTGTCTCAAGGCAACAAAAATGAAATAGATCTTTGAACATGAAAATAAATATACAACTTTTTACAGATTGTGTAAAATAATGACCAGGCAGTATATTTTTCTATATATGATTTATTCAGGGTAATTAAGATCTCTGAATGCATTATACATCAATTTGGGGATGCTAACTGGTGACCCATGATCCATTTGATCCATGGCAGGCCAATAAGTGTCTTTAATGGTCCAGGCGCATGTGAGTAGAAGAGCTGGAGAAGGGTGTAATACTCCTTCTCCTCGATGCCAATGTAAGTCACAGCAACAACCTTTTTTTGGGGGGGAGGCTTTTATATTCATGCCAATGGGCGTGGAAAGGGTTAAATTGGAAAGGAAGATGAAAGAGAAATCAGCTGTATGGTTGCTGAGCAACCATGTAAACATTCTTCATTAATTTCTGATTCTCAAGAGCATTAAGAGGTGTGTGCTGCTGCCATGGAACCATTTAATGGATTCCTTCCAAATGTTCTCTCCACAGCCTTTCCAGTTTAATTTTTGTCACCCCAGATGGAAGCTGCTGCCACCATGACCACAGCAGCATTCCACTCTCTGTCTAGTAAATGTATCATCAGTTCAATGTGTAAGCAGTAACAGCAGCAGCAGATTTATTTTTTACTTGAAAGTGTTCACAATTCTGCTGAGTACAGACTTTTAATAAAAAATAGCATACTTGGGAGTGTAACCATAATTCCAACTGGCCTCTTATTGAGCAACCTAATATAACAAGGGCAAAGCGTATGTTGGAAAAGATGCATCACATAGGCATCGCCTTGCTGGGCTCAGTTCCATTTATGCATAGAGTAAGAATATTCACATCAAACACAGCAGCAGCTAGTGTGGGGGACACACATAAAGAAAAAGGAAACCACCTAGTGGTGCCTTATATATTCAGTGTCCCAATCAAAAAACTCAAGGAGCTGGTAGAGGCAGAAGGTGTTCAGAAGTAGCACTACGAAGAATAGGTGAATTATTATTGCTTAACCCTAAGGCATGGACTGTATGATTTTTGTGTATTTCTGATTTAATTTTTAAAATATAGATCAGCAATTGTAGGAAGTAATCCACTCCTAATGATATATTCATGAATTTTTTAATGGGAATTTGTGCAAAAACCTTCAGATCACTGGCTGAGACTAAATTATAGATGAGTAAATTGATAAAATACTCACTGAGCTATTTTCGCTGCTAAGGTTGCTCCTTGTAAGCAACCCCAAATTCCAACTCGAGAAACAAATTTCTCACAGTAACCTTGAGTTCTATTTGCCAAATTGCCAGTGGCATTCTCTGACAAGCCATCTAACTCTGGCCAGCGATTAAGTGCATCAACTATTTTGACAGCTCCATCAAGGCCTTGACACCAGGATTTGAAAGCAGCTCTATGATACATTAAAATATACATTATATTGTTGCTATTTGTTACAAAGGAAGATAAAAGACAATGCATTGAATCCAGACTTAACCACAAGCAATTCAATTTGAGGAAATGGACTGAATTTCCCTGCCTTTCTTCCCCTGGCAGTCCATCCAGACCCTAAAATGCTACATAGCAAGTCAGATCTATAAGGGGAGAAAGGATCCCCAAATATCAGGCAGAGGGACCTCCGACAATAGAGGCAAATTCTGAATCCAACCTAGTATTTTGCATAATATTCCCAAGTATAATGGGCTCAGTAAAAATGCTGTGAGTTGCAGACTATAAAATTACACACAGAAGGCAGATAAACAGAATTTGATCTGGATTAAGTTCTGCTGGTTTCTAAATAAACTGAGAAAGAGTTAAATGGCTGAAAATGTCCTTCTGCACTTCTCTTCTTGGAAGTAGTAAGGAATGTTGTATATGAATTGGTTCCTTGGAGAGGATGCTAATCAAAAATCTGGAGAACTAGTAACTGATGTACTCCCTCTTTAGCAAATCATCCCTGAAAAATGTTAAAAGGAATGAACAACAGATGAAAGAAGCCAGCTGCTTATCACTTTGTGGAGTGAGCAAGAGACCTAGTAGCATCAAAAGGAGAAGCTATCTCAAATGCCCTCTCAGGTACACAGCATAGGTTCAAACCATGTTATGAAAAGTTCCATGTTTTCTTTTCCATTTTTAGACAGGCTGAGAGTCAGGATGCAGGAAGGACAACCAGAGAAAAACTGCTTAACTCAACCATTCCCAACCCCTGTGCTGAGCAAGCTCAACAATGTAGCCTACAGGTGGAGCTAAGGATGGTCTGGAATCCCATTTTTTTTAAAAAAAGCTCCCATACCCTTCTACTTAAACTGTTCCCTCACATCTCCAAGGTAATTGTTAATTGTATTACAAAGCTACATGCTCCACTGACTTGCATGAACACTGATTGCACTTTTAAATGTAAAAAATGCACATAAAATCCTCCATTAGAAGGGGGACTTTTTGTTATCATTCACTTATCATTCAAGTGAAAGGAAACCATTTGTCAGTAACATTGGCCCTACCTGTTAATCTCTGCATCACATAATTATTCTGCCTATGCATCTGGGACGCACTCAAAAACATAATCAAAACTATAACATTCATAGGCTCAATGCTGGATTTATTGGATAATCTCCAAACCTATTTGCTAGCAGCCTTCAGACATACATTTTGCTATGCAGTAAAACTAAGAATTTAAGAGAGCTACCTCTATATAACAATGTAAATGTCATGCTGGATCAGATCAAGAGTCCATCTAGTTGTACCTTCCATTTAGTTGCCACCCATGTATCCATGGAAAACCCACAAGCAGGAAATCAATGCAACAACAGCCCCTTCAAGCAAGTTCTCTAGAAACTGGTATTAGGCACACTGCTGCTGATACTGGAAGCAGGAAACAACCATCAGGACTAGTAGCTAATGCACTATAGGTACCTTTTGTTTCCTGTGTAAAAGTGAAGATTTCCAAGTTCATGGAATGCTTGCACTGTGAGGCCTTGCTGATTATTTGTTTGAAGAGCTTCTGTTTGTCATCAATTTGAGGAGAAAATATTAAAACATTTAATTGTTTATTGAATACATGTATGTAAATAAACTTATGAGTTCATAAAATAATGCATCACTATTTTAAATAATATCACTACTTATATTTTTAGTAATTCAGGATTTTACTTTTGTGAAAAAGTAGAACCAGCAAAAACTGCTCAGGTTTCCAGACAGGATAACCCATCGCATAGGGCAAAATCCAATCTGTCCTACTTAGCACAGACCCACTGAAAGGACAAACTTGACCCTCATTTATTTCCATGGATCTACTTTAAGTAGGATGTATGTCAGTTCACCCACAGTATCAACATTCCAGGTTTACCTTCAAAAGATGCACAGTACTCCATGGGCACTGAGTGTCGCTGGTTTGTTTCAGCTTTCTCTATACTCAGTATTTTTTCAAAAGTGTGTTGTGTTGTGCCCAAGAAAGCCAATTAACTCCCCTTGTATTTTTCTGTGATCCCATTTGGGCTACCATTTTGTTGGCACTCACAAAGCTATTAAAAGAAGTGATTTTTATGAACCTATTGAGAGCCACTGTGAAGTACACATGGATTTCTACTATAGAGAGAACATGTGGCTATATACCCACTTCTACCAAAAGGAAAACTGAGGTAAAAATCAGAATGGGTAGGGAAGGAGGGCCATTCTAGTAGGTCTCCTGAAAGACCACATCCTTTTAGATTAAAAGATATAGTGGGACTTGAAAGAAGGGTAAAAATGCTGTGCATACATTCTCTCTCAAGCTCGCTCTATACACACATTATCTACTGCAAGGAAAATGGATTATACTCTTACCAAGTGTTCGCTCATATGAAGAGATAACCACTGACAGTTTTGACCGTGGAATGGAGTTGTTTTGAACCATACTGAGGCAATTAAAACCTTCTTCTGAAAGATCAGGTGGTTCTGGTTGATATGACAATTCAGCCCCCATAATAAATCCCACTCTTCCATGAGAAGACGTCAGTCTTCCTGTTGTATTTAATCTTCCAAAATATTCTAGATTAGAAAAATGAGTTACTGAATATCTATTTTGCAAGAGATTCTGATTCTGAACAGTGAGGTGGAATTTAAGTGGAAAAGACTGTTTCACTGTGCTCCCAAGCCTAATGTTTTGTATTTACAGAAAATATGCTAAATTCAGAAGAGGTCTGTAACCATCCTGAAGGGTGGCTAAGAATTCTGTATCTAAAATTAATACTAACTTGCCAAAGATACTCACACTTAAGACAAATACAATGAAGGGTCTTGGGATATTTTAAAAATCAACCAAGTTATTCTGACACAAGCTGGACTATGACCCACTTCATGGATATAAAAAGAAATTTTGAAACTCAGATTCATCTTCATTGAGACAGGTTTTTAATTCTGCTTGATTCAAACATATGGCTTTTTGTTTCTACTTTGTTTACTTTTTCCACCCAGCCCTTTTTAGCTAGCTTTCCTGAACTTAGGATAAATAATAATTTTTCAAATAAGAAGAAAAGGAGTATAGAATGCTACAGCCAAGTAAAGTAATTTAAATAAACAAGAAAGGGATATTTCTAAAATACAGAAAGGTCAGCGTAATCACAAAGGTGAAGAAATTTAAAGGAAGGAAATAAATGACTGGATCATGACTTGGGAATGTTTGACAGTACATTTTGAAAGAGTGTGGTTTCAGATTAATGGCTCCCTGCAAACTCATGAGGAGAAACCATATAAACATGAGAGAGCATCCAAGCAACAAGCAGATTCTTTCATCAGAACCTCTGACTCTTCCAGAACAGTACTGGAAAGTATGAAAGCAACTCCTCTAATTACTTTTAAATCTTTCTGGGCAGTTTATAACAAAGTATAAAAACAATAAAATATAACAGATAAAATATTAAGAATTACCTATTAATTTAAAATAACATAAAAGACGATTAAAAGGCAATTTAAAAGAACCCTCCCAAGAGTAAAAGAAAGACACCTGGTTAATCATATCAGGTCCCCGAATTATCAAAGATGGTCTTTAAAGGCTTCTGCAAAGAGGGCTGTCATAACCTTGCACTGCAAAAATGGCAAATTTGGCACCAACTGGGCTGCAGCATGGTGGTTGTTCCAAAGATGGAGGGCCACCAGCAGAAAGGCCCTCCCCTAGTTGCCACCCTCCAAGCCTCTTGAGAGGTTGACACCTGGAGGAAGGTCCCAGAGGCTGAGTATAGTGGCTAGGCACATTGGTGTTGGGAGAGGCACTCCAACAGGTATTGTGATCCCAAGACATGTTGGATTTTATAGGTTAAGACCAGCACCCTGAATTGGGACTGGAAGCATACAGGGAGCCAATGCAGGTGGGGCCAGAACTGGTCTCATATGTTTGGACCTCCAGGCCTCAGTTATTAATCTGGCTGCCACATTCTGCACCCTTTGCAACTTCTAAACCATCTTCAAGGGCAGCTCCAATCAGAGTGTATTGCAGTAATCTAATCTAGTGATTACCAAAACATAGATTGTAAGCCGCCCCGAGGCTTCGGCGAATGGGGCGGCATAAAAATGTTTTAATAAATAAATAAATAAAATAGATTACTGAATCCAAACTATCCCTGTGCAGGCTGGGGTGCAGCTAGGCCACCAACTGAAGCTGGTTAGAAATCACTCTGATTCATGGAAGCCACCTGAGCCAATTCCTAATCATGATTTGCAAAGCCCTATATACCTTGGAATCAGGCTACTGAAAGACTGCCTTCTCCCTATGAGCCTGCCCTTAAGATCTTCAGGAAAAGTTCTTTTCATACTGCCACCTTCAGAGCAGTACTTGGTAACAGCATGACAGGACTTTCTTGGTGTCTTCTCCCAAGTTATGGAATAGGCCAGCAACAGCAGCTCAGTGAATAGCCTCTCTGCAGTCCTTCTGCTGGCAGGCAAAGGGCGTATCAACCGCTGCCCATCCTCAGCCCTCTGACATTACCAACTGCTTCCATCTCTCTGCCTTACTGACAACTTGAAGCTTCTAGAGGCCTTATTCAAGTAGGCCTACAGTGTGTAGATGGTTCTTGCTTGGATGGATGCTTTTTTAGTTTGTTACTATTGTACTTTACTATGCTTTAATAAATTGTGCTAACCAAGCTTTATTCATGATAGTAAGTAGCACTGAGTGCAATAGAAGGTAAAAATCAAATAAATACAAAAACTATAGGAATCAGTTACCTTGTGTATGAGCAAGGAATAAAGAAAATAATTTTCTGCTGTATTTGAGGGATCGGCTGTGGTACTTTGATTTTTCTAGGCTTTCATGGAAACACCTTAATGTATCTGCCACATCCAAAGGAACAGAAACCAATGATCCTGTTTGAGACACATCAAAAAGGAAGCAATAAATAGATTTAAAACCAAATATAGATAATAGTTGAAGTATAAGAACAATGTTTAGGTCATTTCTTAGTTATAGAAGCAAAATATTTAGTTTTTTATGTTTGACAGCACAGGTTTGTAATAGGCAACAAGCACAACTGGTGATCATATGTTGCATGTATTGGTAAAAAGCCTGGGCCTTGCTTTGCAGGGTCTCAGCAGGCTGAGACCCTTTCTGCTTTATAAGACCAAATGCCATCTCCTGAATATTAATAGTCATTTGTACATTTGTTTCCCTAAGCATCTGAACTATACCGTGGCATAGTTTTATAAAGCTCATGTGGATGATGCTCTCTCTAAAGTGGATCAGGAGTTGCTACAAAAGAGTGTGCTACATTCTAGAACCAATGTCACAAGAAAGGAAAAAATATAATAGGTGGTAAATGTCAATACAGATATTCTCCTGTTCCTTGTTGAAAAGAAGCAAGAGCTGACAACCTCACTGGGTTCTTCTAAGATGCAAGGAGTTACAACTGAAACAGATCAGATTTTTTTCTTCACTAGCACACTATTAGAAGTATTTAGAGCAAAATTTATGAACAGTATTTATGCAACATTTACAGTGAACACTGTGGTTAATATGACTTGCATGTAACTGAAGCATGGCCTATACAAGAGGAAAATACAAGGAATCCGAAAAGGTGAGATCATTAAACCTTTCGAGGATAAATAGGACTTATATCAGTATGTGTTCTGACCTGAACTATGCAAATGGTGTTCATCAGTTGTTCCATTACATTTGGCAAAAGCATACAGATTTTTTGCGACAAAGTCTCTGCAGCACACCTAGAAGAGATTTTTTTCTGCATAGTTACATCTATTGTTAGCATATTCAAACTACGGTGAATAAACTAATGTTCTCGCTAATAGTTTGTTATCTAAAAATCTAACTTCTGAAAACATTAAGATCCTCAATTATGATTGAAAAATACTTTAATTGTGCAAACAAATAATTAAAGGTCTTAATAAAGGCTTTATAATCAGAAATGGTCTTTCTTCTAAATGTGTGTCTGGGATATGCATGTGAAATAAAGCAGACTGGTAGCAGGGTTGCCTGCAGATTCTGGCATGAACTGACTTGATCTGTATTTCCCAGATGAATACTTTAAGCAGAGTTCTATGCATGTCTAAGTCCCACAGTGTTCAATGGGTCTTACTCTCCAGTAATTGTGCACAGGACTGCAACCTTGCTTATCCTCTGGCTTTTCCACATCCTGAATGTTCTGACACAATTTTCTACTCAAGTGACACATGGAAATAAGTTTAAAAACACACATTTTGAGAGAACAGCCATTCAAAATAAGAATTTAAGTAAACATTTTAATATGACTCTGTGCATTATTTTTAATTGCAGATTAATAATAAAACAAGACAGAACAGACTTGCAAGCAAAGACATGAAAGTGACACGGAAATGCCAATCCTGAAATGGGAGCTTTTTCCAAACACAGAACCAACAAAATAGTACTGCACACTGTGAAAACATTCTTTCAGTGTTTTAAGAACAGTTCGTGTTTCTCACATCTAACATACTTTTACCTTGTCTCCAGTATTAGTAACAAGTTGTTTAAAACAAGACTGCGTTCTACTAGAATCACAGTTTTGTATTTCCTTCAGCTGTCTCTGAGCATATACCAGCAGAGGAGTCACTTGTTCTGTATACTTCTCACTAGAAAAAGCCAGACAGATTTTAAATGAAAACCTGTTGATATTCCAAATAAACCACTCTTCCCTTCCAGATGATATCAGATAACTTACTGTGTAATTGTGTTAAACTGCATGGCTATGTATACTAGTGATTCCCACTTCTTCAAATGAAATAGATACTCAAGAGTGCGCAGAACCATTCTACGTAATCCGTGCAAATCAACAACATTCACATCATCAAATGGACATTCAAAGGACAGATTAGAACCACCTTCATCATCAGAAATGCCTCCTACACAACTTGGAACACAAAAATCTCCTTCAGCTTCAATAATCTATAAATTGAAAACAGAGTATTGTAACAGAGATTTCATTTCCTTGTTCATTTGTCAAGAGCCAATTTCAGATATTGAGGTTGCACTCAAGATCCTACTGCAAGCCAAATTTACTGTCCGATCATTTAGCTAATCTTTCTGGATATGCCAAATTCTCCTTCAAATCAATTAAATGAGTAGCACAGTTACTCACATCATCTACTTTACACTTCCATAAATACACACATTTTTTCAATTTTCAACAGCAACATTGAATGTTATCTCTAATGTTTCATACAAATTCTTTTACAGAATTTAAGAAAATGAAAGAACAAATTAAGTGAAATGTAATTAGAAGTCATTAAGACCTGAATTTGTGATAAATATCATGTACAATTTGAGTATCTTTTTAAAGTTTCTGTTTTAGAAGCTATGTTGTAACAAATAATATACAATGTACAGTAATTTAAAAGTGTAAGGGTGAAGTGCATGAAAAATGAAGGAATGAATGCTTTTAACAATAAATGTTGCTAACCCTTCTTAGCTAACTGTACAACAGAAAATAATACATGAGGCCACGTGAGTAAAAAATACTAATTTAAGGTTAGTATTACCTTTAAAAATTAAGGTTCAATTAAGGTTAAATTTACCTTAACAGAATTACTAGCTTGGAGATCAACTATCATGTCAAGCAACATATCTGATGCCACGAAGTATGGTAGCCAAACAGTGTTAAGAAAAACTTCCTTGGTAATTGGAAACGGTTCATGAAAAGATATGGTATATTTAATAATTGACTGTAGTTCCTGAGTATGGTTCCAAAGTTCTCGGCATGCATTTTGAAGCAATGTCCAGTGCCCACCACGATGAGCAAAAACCTGGATCATAATATATCCAAACACAGATTTGAAGAGTAGGAGTTAAGAGACTTCTCAATGACTTCAATATTAATCATTACATTCAAATATTCAATTCAGTTTTAAGCAAGCTTACTTGAGCATAGCCCTAGTAAATAAATGTACACTAACTTCAAACTTAAGATCAGGCCATACCTTTTGAGATATTGCTCAAGAAACTGTCTATTTACATAGCTTTCCATTAATACTGATATCTTTATGAACCAATGAATTCCATGCAAACACCTTAATAAAAAGTATATATTATCATATATATACTTCTTCAATATTTCACTAAGAAAGGGAACAGAAAAGCTGATAGCAATGTCCTGAATATTCCCAGAATTCATTCAAGTCACTATTTGCCATTATGAATCCATCATTCTGCAATTTCTCCCCAAAATCTTCATTCCATGTACATCCAAGTGTGCAGCCTGGCAATATCAAGACAAACATTTTATTTCATTTCTGTCATATATACACTACTATCCTGCTATTCAGGACCATTTGCAAAATGGTTGGCTGTCATGGAAGCTGAAATATTTTATTCATATTTTAAGAACAGAGAAGAAATACAAGCTTCCTTGTATGGCATGGAACTGTCAGGTAGATTAACACATAATAACAGCTATATAAAATCAGAGGAGGGTAACTGAAAGGAAGAGTTACAGCTGAAGAGGAACTACTGGGAAAAGCACCATTAAAAAAAAAGCAGTAAATGAGTAGGCAGGCAGTTAACACCTTTCTACAACTAAGAAGTCAGAAGACAATTCAAACTATGGATCTCAAATTGTTACGATTTTAATCAAAAGCTTCAAGGTATGTTCTGCAATACATGTTCTGATATGTATTACATATCCCCTACCTGAAAATTCTAAATATGTTCATATGTGAATAGGAAGCTGCCCTACATTGAGTCAGGCAATCAGTCCATTTAGCATAGTACTATTGACACTGATTTGGCAGCAGCTTACCAGGATTTGAGGCAGGACTAACCCTAACTGAAGACTGAACTGATGCAAAGCTTCAGCCATTTCATGGTACAGGTTTAGTTTCCAATAAATTTACCTTCACCTTGTACAACATGAAAGTAGGATTTGTAATCCTGTGTGGATTAATTTGTGCCTAGCATGCATTTATGAGACTGGAAAATGCTCAGCAACATAGAAGTTTGGGCTTTAGAGCACTGTGCTAACTGAATAAGAGAATCCAAAATAAAAAACAATACATAATAGCACAGCACTTAGTATTTCATTTATTTATTTACTAAGTAAAGCAAGACTAGTGAGACTCTATAGTTAGCAAAATGATCCTGATTCTGTATGTCTGAAGAATTTATTTACTGCAATAAGCAGGATCCAATGCTGTTGCTTGACTAACACAACAGCAAAGTTGTGCTGACTAGTACAAAAAGAAATTAGCTGAAACAACTACTTCTGAAATGGGACAAGTCAGTGGAGCTCATAGAAGTAAGCTGCATTGACTGTCCTGTCCTGTCCTGTCCTGTCCAACTAGTTTGTGCTTAGTTGCCTGGGTCATACCAGAAGGTACTAGTTTCCTGTTGTACCACCAGGTAAGTTCCTGCTTTGCTTTCCAAAGCTCCTGCTTTGAGGTCAAAAAGGCTGACTGTGGAAAGCCAGGAACACTTCCTCTTGGTACAGTTAGATGCTTTACAGCCATTCTTCTACACTGCCCTGACGACACCTGGAAAGAAAAAGCGCAGTCACTACAAATTTAAGAGATTGATATGGTGTTACCCACTGAAAGTGGTAGTCTTTTTCATAGAGCAAATATATTTATTCAAGAAAATATTACCACAGCTCTTCTTAAATGCAGAAAGGTTTTAGTAAAATGTTCCAGCACAGCAGCATAACATAAAACTCTTTCACGTTCCTTGACGGGAATATACCCTTGAGGTAGTCGAGGAGTGTCTCTTTCATTCAGCTTAACACCGGACGGAAATGAGACGTCCGGATCTAAAACACGGAGAATTATTATTGCATTAAACTGAGAAAAAGTTCTCAAAAACACTGGAATTAACAGTAGTTTCCAGTTCTGTTACCAACAAAAAACCTATTTACAAATACCAAGAAGTAAACTTTCTAGTCCATAGTTATGCTGATCTGTTAACACTCAATGACCAGATAAATTTTGGCCTAACATTCAAGAAATATGCTACAGAACATATAGGTATCACAGAGGATTTAGTTTTAACTGAATAGCTGGCAAATATAAAATTCAATGATCATTGCAAATTTGGAATCAATTAATAAAGGATGTATTTTTATTATCTAAACCACTTTGATCACCTGACTAAATTAGTCATACTTTCTGGGAAAGTATCTTTTGATCCATAATTTGCATAGGAAAGAAATGTTAGATGCTTTGGAGCTCAAACTGAAAACACTGCGAATTGGAACTGATGGGGCTATCTCATCAAAAAAAGGAAACTGGTCACAACAGGACAGTTTGCAGAAACCTTTAGAGAGAGTCCTCCAGATTTCTGTGGGAAAACAACTGCCTTCTCCTTTTTACTATACAACTTCCAGGTCTGACTGCTATCTGAGCTCTCTATCACAGAGAAAAGCTAAATCCTATTTCCTATCTTTCTGGACATACAGCTTGTTTTATTTTGCTTTACATATACTCTAACATCTCTTCTGGTTATGACAACTGCTCTGGCTTTGACATTTCCTCCTCCCAGAGATTTTGCATTGACTCATCTCTATCCACATAGGACTCAGAATATGGTTGCATTAAACCCAGAGATGCAGCATTGGAATATATGCAGGGAAGGTTTTGCTGTGAACTCTTAATATTCTAGGAAATATGAGGGTGAATTTGTGGAGAAACGCTCCCACCTTGGATTACAGATCAGCTCAAAGATGGTCTGACACCTGACCAATATCCACTAACCCACCTGAATCAGACACAGAAGATGACAGTTCAGACAGAACAGTGGAATCCATCATGGCATCAGTTTCAGGGGTGAGACTATTACTGTAGTCAAGTAGGCTTGAGCTGGAAACAGAGTCTGAAGAATAATTCTGTAATGTAGGGCCAGAAGGAGTCAAGGAAGGACCAGAGTCGGAGGCAGGGGAAGTAGGGCCAAGTGAGGCTAAGCAAAAAAGAATAAGAAGTCTTGACTTGCTTGTTAAGCTCATGCAGCAGAATATTCAGTGAAAGAATTTCCTAGACTTCAGAATCATGTAAGTACTCCAAGGTTATTAAACAATAGGACTCAGAAAACAATCTGAAGTACCAATGAAAGTTTCTAGTGCTTTTCAGGGCAACTTTGATGGCTGTATGTCTGAAACCACTATTCTTGTCTTATAGGACTGGGATTGTGACTTCCTAGCTGCTGGTACTTGACCAGATGAGTGGTAAAAGAGGCATAAAAGGCTGCACCTGCTATAGCTGACATCAAAAGATATGGAAAGGCTACTTTACCCTAAGAGATGTACCAGAGAGCAGCTAGAATCTGCTTGAGGCAATCCTTGAAAACCTCAAAAGCACATTCAGGGCTCAGCTACAATGCCATGTAGTTAACAGTAGAAACAAGACTGGGAAAATCATTTAAACTAAGTATTCCATAGGTATGCCTGTTTAGGGTAGCCAGAACCTATTGAATTATTTCAGAGCGTATCTTTAAGACTGGATATAGACTAAGTATGCTTCCTCAAAATGCAATAAATAAATAAATGATCTATTTTCTGGAATCAAATGCAACATTGTTTGCTCAGAAATTAAGAGTGCCCTTAGGAATTCATTCTATTAAGTTAGCCATTGAGGAAGGCTGGCTCATGCCAAGCAATGCTTTCTCAGATTCTGAACAGCAAATAAAATGATGTTGGATATCATTTCCCTTATTCCTACTTTATAAAATGCTCTCAACTACCAAATTATGATGTTAGCAAAGCAATACCAAGAAACCTCTTTTGTTTTACTAGCCTTTGCCTTCTTATATCTCCCAAGTAGACAATAAACTAAAGAACTGTTCTTAGTGATGACAAATGTAAAATGCAGATAAAAAGAATCAAATGCATATGATTAAACAGATAGGCAGCAAAACTTCTGAAAAAGAGTAGACATTATATGAATATCAAACCAGATGAATCAACAATGTAAAGCTTTTTCCAAGATGTGTGACACACTACTACTTTTGCCCTATTAAGCTAAGACACACAAGATTTCATGCAGAGACACAGTATTTAAACTTGGTACATCACCTCCCACAAAGAATGCTGACCAGACAAAGGCAATGGCATAAAGAAATGAGCATGTTCCGATTAAAGAAAAGCAGTATTCAAGTTGGAGAGGGAGCAAATATGCATACCATTTTTAAATATTTATAAAGATGTCAGGAAGAAGATAAGTTAAACAACATAAATCCAAAGCTTTAAAATGATTCTAAAAAGTTGAGAAAAACCTAACAGTAAGAGTACTTTGACAAAGGGAAAACTCTTTAGGGAGTCAATAGAAACCCTTCTATGGATGTTTCAATGCAATATGATCAACAGTCTGCTTATAAAACACATATGATCCATTTGGTTCATACCCACTTGGATTAATGGCTTGCCTACAAAACCTATGTCCTATATGTTGTAACAAAAGGATAATTACCTATCCTGGGGCCCATCAGTATCTCTAAACTATACCTTGGGTTGAAAACTGTAGGCTAGAGTAGATCCATGTTTTAAAAAAAAACACATCAGATAGGTAGGCAGAATAAAAGAAAATAATTGGGGTGGCTGGGTTGTACCAGCTTTCAATAAGAAGCTGCAAAACAGGTAATCATGACTGGATCAACAACCAGAACTCATCAAGAAATCTAGCAGTGGCTTCAAGAAAACAGAGAAGACCATAATTAGAACACCAGGCATCTCAAAATAGTGCATCTAGGAACACACAAAGTTGTAGTAGATAAGTTACAGCTCAACTCCAAGGCATCTAGACAGAATGAATGCAGAGTTAAGTTCAGGCTTTTGAGTATGTAGATATTCTGCATACAGAACAGATAAGGCACTGGCTGGCTGAGATGCACAAGTAAATACAATGGAAATGCTCCCTAAGGACTCAATTTGAATTCATGCTAAATATAAGCATTTCTCCTCTCCAAAAGCCTAATTATTTTTGGCATACTCAGTTAAAGATGTGCCAACACTGAGAAATCAAGATCCTTTCAGCTTGATGGAATTCCTGTCCAGTTCAGGAAAGGGCCAAGACTGGAAAGGATTGTAGACTCCTGTCTCTAAGATGCCTGCAGTTTGCACACTTAAAAAATATGTTAAGGAAGTATGCATAAATTACACAATTTGTATTAACTGTACTAGCATGATTCACACAAACTGAAAGTCAAAAGATTCCTTAATAATTCTAGCACTACACTAACTCGTAGAACCATGTGAATCCCTCAGTAACATTAAATGCTAAACCATTAGCTCCCCATGGGTTCAATCTTGTCCAGCAACAGCCCATCCAAATAAAAAAGAAATTTGAAAAATCATTCTAAAACAAGCTGAAAAAGAAAAAAGAATCTACAATGACAGCTGATTTTTATTATTACTCATAGTAAAACATTTGAGATAAAACAGGGCAAAATTTAAGAAACTGAAAACATTATGAATACTTCATTTATTGACCATTTATATCCATTACCATTTTTTCTTCTGAGTTTTCCTGATAGTGTTCTTTTAAAAAAATGAGATTTAAAAGCCTTCATTTGCTCTTCCATTGTTGCTGTCATCACTATTGTGCCTGAATTGTTTAATGAGAATATTTCAAGGTCCAGTTCATCATAACTGCAGAGCAAAACATATAAAAGAGGCAGTGAGTAGGAGACAATAAATATATGTAAAATACAATTGTTAAAACTGTATTAATCTGCAAACTAGAAAGTTATTTTGAGGAAAAGTAAGGTTAAAGAATAGAAAAAAATGAGTGAGAACATGAGTTTTAGGTCAAAAAATGTAGATTTATAGGCTGAGGTAAAGGCAAGGAAGTGCTAGGACAAGATTTCTGAGGAACCCAGAATGGTGGTCGAAAAGGAACTGAGAAAATGGTGGGAGTTCTGCCCTTATATACTGGGAAGGGAGGGGCATGGCTTCTGTCAAAATAAGCTTAGCTAGGAAAATCTTCCCAACAACAGATCCCACACAGGTACAAAGCCCGTAAGTGTGATGCAAAAACCACAAAGAAGAACCAAGAGTTGGGAAATTAACCTTCTGAACTAAGCATCATGTTTTCCACTAAAATATCCTAAATATTAACTTGTGAAAATAAATGCTGAGAAAACAAGCAGGACATTTCTGAAGGAAGTAGAATAGCCCACTAGAGCACTGGTAGATTGTGCCACAAGGGACTAATAATCAATTTATCCAATTTTACCTGTCCAGATTTTGTAAATAATTTATTTCAATATTACAAAGTTCTTCTACATGTTTCTTAAACAAATTGGCATGAGCAACTGCCAAGTAAATGTTCAACTGTGATCGCCATGGCATCTCTTCAACATATAACTGACGGAACCTTCTTCGTTTTATGTAGAGGTTAGCATGTAAATTTAGTCTTTCTATCAGCATTTGAAAAGCCATTTTCCGTGATTCTTCTTTCCTAAATAAAATAATATAAAATAGTATTTTAGAATACAGGAATAAAACTTCACTCTCCAAAATATGTTTAAATCATTCAAATAGAATAGCTGTAAGAAGAATAAAGTTCTGAGTATATAAATGGAATCACATCTGTTTCCTTGAGTCCCCACCTGGGAATCACACCCACTGGTTCTTGAGAAAATTATATTTGCTAGATTAATTTGCACTTGCCATGATGCAGAACAGCCAGTAGAAGTATAATAGGGACCAGTCATCTCCTATACACAAGAAAGGTAGGTAATCAGGAGTTAGACATGGCCAAAAACATTTAGAATGCTCAGATAGCATTAATGTCTTAATTGAAGGAAAAATAGCTGAATTAAATCCAAGCCAAGCTATTCCAGTTTTAGGAGAGTTCACCAATCACTAGCAAATCTCACAAAGAAAGTTATCACAAAATCAGTTTTTAATCTCTTAAAAGTAACACATCACAAATTCAGAAATAAAGACACAACTGAAATCCAAATAAATCTTACCTATATTACATAAAATGATTAAGTTACCTTTGTTTATCAGCACCCTTGTACTTGCCCTTGTATTTCATAGGTTGTTTAGAGTGCCCTCTTTTCTTAGAAATCTTTGATATTTTCCCAGGCATTGGTGACCCTGCTGTCTGAATAAAAATAGTTTTTCTAAATTACCATAATTTCAGTACACCACAAGAACGAAGCAACACCTATCTAAAATCCAGTCAAAGCAAATAGCAGAGCAGAACAAAACAAATTACTTTAAACTTTGTATTGTATGTACAAATGCATCATAAAGAGTATACCTGCACTTTACCTAGATTGTCAAAAAAAAAAAAAAAAGAATGAGTAGGTAATCCCTACAATGGTGCTTTCAAAACTACATTGGTGCTTTCAAACTTCATGAGTTCTTCACTTGGAATATGATCTGGGTCTAGATCAGGGATGGCAAACCTTTTAGACCAAGTGCCCAAACTGCAACCCAAAACCCAGTTATATATCGCAAAGTGCCAACACGACAATAAAATCTGAAAACTGAGGTTTTAGTTAGACAAAACAACTCACAGCCAGTCCAAGCATGCGCATATATATCCTTGGCAGTGCACTGACCGGTCATGTGAAAGCTCAGATGAGTTATGGCTAATGAGTCATGGCTTGTGACGTCATCACCTGGCACTGCTACTCCTTTCCAAACATGTGCATGGCCCCTATGTGTGCTGTTATCCAATGCTCGGCTTGGGCAATGCTGGGGTGACTTGGCTCGCGTGCTGACACAGAGAGCTCTGCATACCTGCTGTGGCATGCGTGTCATAGATTCACCACCACTGGTCTAGATGATTAAACTGTGTGTGCAGAGGTGCATGGATATATGCACTCTTAACAATCCGTATCTATAAACAAGCTTCCCTCAACTGTACATGGCTGAGACACCAGGCAGCAAGTCTTTCACTGTACTCTGTATTAAACCTGTTACAATGCAATCCAATGCTCTCAATGCTAGATGCACAAGCACCAATGAGCTCAGAAGTTTATGTGTATATCAAGGTTCAGTGGCAGCAACCTCTGGCACTTTGTACCCTGTATTTCATCTAGATGGCCATTTTCATATAGAAGTGCCTCAGAGAAGGAGAGGAGGAGGCTGGAGTGTTGTCTGGATATGGCATAAGCTGTTGGCCTCAGCACTCCCCCTTTCTGGGGGGTGATGGAATAGGCATTTACATTTGGAACTCCAGCTCTGAGGTCACAAAACTTTGCTGCTGGGGCTCTAGATAATTGTAGGAGCCCCCTGAATATGCCAGCAAGCTACAGGATTGCATATTCATTGTATCTTAAATTCTTATATGTATATTTTATACCACGGTTTGAAACATTTAGGCAGTTCACAATTTTAAAGGTACACAATTAAAACATACAAAAGTTAAAAATACAATTAAATTAACAACCTAATCCTGCCCAATATTGGAAGCTAAATAGGGTTGGGCCTGGTTGAAAACTGGATAGGTTAAATGTTGTGAACCATCCAGAAAGCTTCAGCTACATGTGGCATAGAAATATAGTAGTAATAATAAAATGAAATCACAACATAGTTTTAAAAAGTATGAAAAGTACAAACAATAAGATTAACCCAGGGAAAACTCACAGGTCATTTCCAAATGCCTACGGAAAGTTTTAGCCTGCTTCCAGAACCATGGCAGGGAAGCAGCCAGCCTTGTCTCCCTAGAAGTCTATTCCAGAGACTTGAGGCAGCCACCATGAAGGCCCGCTCCTGCATCAGGTGAGCCTGAGAAGGTGGTGGGACCAAGAGAAGGGCCTCCCCAGAAGATCTTAGAGTCCACGCAGGCTCATACAGAACAATATGGTCTTTCAGACCACCTGAACCCAAGCTGTATAGGACTTTATAGAGCCAATGAAACTATTTCAACAGAACAGTTGGACTCTCCCTTTAGCCAGGCCCAGTCAGCAGTCTGAACACAGCTCTCTGAAGCAGCCAATGTTTGTGAACACTCTTCAGAGGTTACCTACATAGAGCACATTACAGTAATCCAAATGGGATGTAACTAAGGCATATATTACCATGGCCAAATCAGACAGCTCAAGGAACATTCCCCCTCCATGGAAAAACTACTGCAAGGGACTGACTCCAAATAAAGGATTATTCTGACAAATAATGACTTATGAGTGCCTTTAGGACTCTTGAGAGATAATTCCCTGAATCCAGTGAGAGACTCTCACTAACTGCAATGCTGGAGGAGCCAAAACACCTGTTTATGACACCACCAATGGAAAGGGATAAGAGGGGCCCAGAGACAAAGCAGCACCCAGTAAGGTTGATGAGCTGGTGTTGATTATACCAGGAGGTCAGTCAGTTCTGGACAACATCTCAGTACAGTTACCAATGACCTATAACAGTGCCTGTCCAGTGAAAGGAGAATTCTACAACAGCCTAAGAACCTGTAGATATTTCTACATTTGTCAATGCTATAACATAATAGAAGATCCTCTTGGAAAGACCTTCAAGGAGAAGAATTTTAACAAAGAGGAGGCCAAGACATGAGAAGATCATGAACAATGCTGAGACTCTTCATATCATGATGAATCGCAGCTTCTGCAAAGTCAAAAGATTTTGAATAGGATAAACAGAGAGCTTCCCCCACCCCTGAAAAGGGGGATCAATCTTTTGCCTGTTTATTGACTTACCAACAGATTTGCTTCTCAACTGCTATAACACTGACTATAACCCAGCCTAAGTAGAGCATCATTCCATTAATCAGTATAAAGCATTTTGTCCAGTTGTAATTTGTGTATCAGAATTCATCTAATACAGGTAAACTCCATCAGAGTGTACCTCTTGGCATATCAAGCAGAAGTCCTTATGCAGAAAGTAAATACAATATATCCTATGTGAAGTAAGATACTATTAACATACCATTTTAATACATGCATGCACAAACACGCACACAATAGTAGATATTAGGCTTGTTGGTACACTGGACCATATTCAAGATGTTAAGCTATAATTATGCATTTTTAATCACAGCAGCCTCAAGTTAAGAAATAGTATAACATTTACTTTTTTAGAATCCAGTGTTGGAGTCCTCTTTCCATCTGGAGACGCATGAATTTTCCCTCTTCTTTTTGTGGTTTTCTTTATACCAAGGAGGAATCTATTTCTTCTGATAAATATGAACAGTGAAAATTATACATGTTTCAGAAAGTAACCTTTTTGTCATTCCATGAGGACAACCATTTACTATTAAATTTCAAAGCATCCTTATAATATAAGCCTATTTCCACAAAGCACAACGGCACCATTAAATGGCATCCAACTTCAATAAGAATTCTTAATTTCACAAATGTGTATTTCAAAGCATTAGAAGTCAATTGTGACAACACGCCAATACTAATCTGCTGTCTAGGTTGAAAAGTCAGACGAGGGGAGTCACAGGGTGAAATGTAAGACAAAGAAGCCCTATACCCCACACTTTTATTTATTCATGTTTAATCACAAAAAAACATACACTTCTCTTGCACATTCACAAAAAGCTTTGCACTTATTCAAAATGAAACCAGAGTGTCTCTCCTATGACACGTTTAAGGAAATAAATATTGTTTTCATTGATCACCACTGGGTGGCAGCAAAGAGCTGCCTTTACTACATAATTATGCTTTGCGTTTCCCCCACCACCTGCTATGAGGTGCAGGGACAGAGCTATGCTATATATGCAGTGTTACTATTAGTGGACTCAGAAGAAAAGTCACTAAGATCTTTTGCTTATCTGGAACCCTTGGACAAATGTTATGAAAAATGAGTAAAAGATAATAAGTAAAATGAGTAAATGCTCATTACAAAAAAACGAGTAAATGCTAATTGTAAATTATGGACAAAAGATACCTGAGCAACCACAGTAATGTATGAATATGCTTTAGAGCCTACTACTAACAGAGCAATTTCATTACAGACATAACTTCTCCAGCTGCATGATCTACAAGACACATGGAAGACTTTCTGTGAAATGTACAGAGAAGAAATAACTAGTTATTTATTCTTACATTTTCTACTTACTTTTTAAGATATTCCTGTATTTCATCAGCCCAGTCTACTATTCGTGAAAATTTCTCTTCATGTATTGCTTTGTACAGAAAATTAACAAAATATTCAAGGAAGCGGGGATTCTTTTTGAATTTTAGCACTATTCAAATATAAAATATATTACGCCATGTCACCTTTAGCATTCAATCAGCATTTTACTATTATTTTTATTTGAGAACTTCATAAAGCAAACTCAATTATGCTATGCCAGAAAAAAGTAAGACTACAATATAGGAAACTAGTAAGAATCTGAAGGGCACCCGATTCAGTTCAAATAAGGGTTTGTGGATCTCATTCAAAATATTCTGTATGCTGGAATGAAGCACATTTTGGCAAAGCACAAAGCTGCTTTATTTATTGTTTAAATCATGGGTCCTCAAACTACGGCCCACGGGCTGGATCCGGCCCACCATGCCCATTGATCCAACCCACCATAGCTCGCCATACATACATATGCACACGCATGCGTGGCGAGGCACCAGCTTGCTCGCAAGATCGTTTTGGGCTTGCTCAGAGAAAAGGATCTCCTTGTGAGCAAGCCAGCGCCTAGCCAGGAAATCCTTTTCTCCGAGCAAGGGGGAGATCGTTTTGGACTCACTTGGAGAAAAGGATCTCCTTGCGAGCAAGCCAGCACCTTGCTGGGAGATCCTTTTCCCCCAGTGAGTCCAAAACTATCTCCTTGTGAGCAAGCCGGTCCAGAGGCACCGGCTTGCTCGCAAGGAGATCGTTTTGGACTCGTTGGGGGAAAATGATCTCTGCATACGTATGTCCCTGCCTTTCTGTGCACATGCGCCCCCCCCCCAGCCCACACACCCCCTGCACTGCCTTGGTGGCAAAAAAGTTCAAAAAGTTTGAGGACCTCTGGTTTAAATAAACCATTTCACATACACATGAAATTGCTTATTTAAAACTGGCTGTCCCAATTTTATCAGAAATGCTAAGTTCTATACTGAATTATGCCAGTCCTACAAGATACGATCTTGCCATCAATTATAAACATTGAAATCCTATTGAGTTCAATCAAATACATGCATGAATGATTAGATACAACATTACAGTAAAAATACATGGTCCAATGAATGAGCACAGTTAAGCATAAGCAGAATTATTCTATTGTCAGCTATGTACTATGAAGGTCCATAATTCTTTGGCCTTCATACCTGATAATGGGATCTAGTTGCATGTGTCACAGTTCCCTGAATCACAGCCATAGTTCTCTTTGCTCCCTGGGGCTTTGTTTCAGGGTAACATAACTAAAATATTTATTTCCTTTCTTGTTTTTTAGAAAGCCATGTGAAACTGACGTGTTATAATTAGGTATAAATTTCATTACATTTGCAAGATCTCTGTGCAAATACTGCACGAAAAATAAAATCAATATGCTATGTATATTTTAAAAATGATTACCTTCCCTATAGGCAGTTTTTGTTTGCCAGTTTGTAACAACGGGGTACAAGAACAAAACATCTTCTTCTCCTGTAAGTTCCTGTCCTAGATACACCAGATAAAACAAAATCCATTTTAAAAGGCCAAAAATAACAAGTTACATATTGGGCTCAGTTCAGAAACAAGCACTTTTAAAGTGGCACTGATCTTAATGCCTGCACCCATCCAAACTCAGAGCATTATTGCCCTTCTATCTAAAGCAGGAGGGTCATGAAATGTTCCATGCATCTCCAACTAAGAAAAACAGCTAGATGACTACCTGAATCTTCCTTCCTGTTTCCTGTGGTTCCACATCTCCCATCAGTTCTCCCCCTTACCTTCTCTCCTTTCCAGTATTTATCTTTTATTTCCACATGCAATGTCACCTCCCAGCTTTTCCATCCAATCTCTACCACCACTGCCAGTTGCAGTAACGTTTGACAAGCAACAGCCTGTCACATTATTAGTGTGGGTTCTCATTATCTACAGTAGCCATTTTCAGCAGTGCTGGGGCTTAAAAGGGAGCAACAACTCCAAATATAGTGTTAGCCTGGTAAGATGCAGCAACCTACCACGTGGATGCATAATAGGCTATTCAAATGTATCTTTCTTGGAAGAAAGTGGCTGTGATTGCTACTGAAGATGTAATGTTGTGGTAAAGCAAAGCATTAATAAAAACAGGCCAAAAGATTTTACATTTAAAGATCATACATACAGTGAATTAATGCCAAAATAGGACTAAGATTAATCTTAAATTATCTTTTTTGTATTCAAAAAGGAAACAAACATTCTAGTGTCAATATTTAAACTGTTTAGAACATGGGCAGTGCAATCCAGTGAGTCTGCCCCATAATCCTTTAAACTCAAAAGATTACAGACATCCTATGTATGGTGGGAAGATCACAGAGATGAAGGATACTCCCATACTCCAAGTTCCGAGTCCTATCTCTAACCTCACAGCAAATTTCCAAGGCTAGAGCTGGGACTCTAAATTATACAGTGGCCATCTAGATTCTGTCTAGCAGCTACAGGATGGCATCTTTAATAAGTTTAATAGACATGATATAAGAATAAAAATATACATTAAAGTCTACCTGGCTTTGTCAATTTGAGCAGGTTTGTTTCTAGAGCTTCTAAGTTTTCATTTACTTTTTCAGCTGCAGCTATTTGTGCCTTCAACCTTTTGCAAGGAATCTATAAAAATCAGTTAAATTTATTACTATTACTATTATTGTTATATTACCATTTATACAGTACTTGACTAAGTTCAATCACCATATACAGATAATTAAGTTACAAATAACCAAATGTCTAATATTTCTGTTTTTAAAAATTAAATCATTCACTCACATCTCATTTCAAGGTACTAGTCTGTACTGCAAAATATAAATTTCAGCCCTGTCATATGATTACTTTAGTTACAATTAACTGAGATGATAATGAAATAATATTTAACAATCTTTAAAAAACCAAATCAACCTCTCTCTCTCTCTCTCTCTCTCTCTCTCTCTCTCTCTCTCTCTCTCTCTACTGCTCCATAGATAAAGTTCTCTGGGCAGTTTATAACAATATAAAAAAACTAAAAATTAAATACTATTCAAATACAATAAAAAACAATAATTTAAATTACAGTAAAAAGAACCAAGAAAGAAGAAGAATCATTCCCCTTGGATCTCTGGATAAACTAAAAGAATTTTAAGGACATCCACATAGAGGGTTAGATGGCAAAAGAAGAAGGGGACAGCAGAGAACAGAGAATGAGGTGGCTAGATGGAGTCACTGAAGTAGTTGGCGTGAGCTTAAGTGGACTCTGGGGGATGGTGGAGGACAGGAGGGCCTGGAAGAATGTTGTCCATGGGGTGGCGATGGGTCAGACACGATTTTGTGACTAACAACAACAACATAGAGGGTTGTCTTGACCAGGCACTGAAAACATGGCAAATTTGGCACCAGGCACAGTAGGGAGGTTGTATTATTAAAATTATAAATTACAGTAATTTTTAAATTGATTATACATCATTTGGTAGGTATAGAGGAAAAATGTAAATGCCGAAACCAAAGGGATATAAAACACAAATGTTATAAGTGTAAATCCTCTAGTACTTCTAATTACACTTGTACATGGATAGATCCTGTTATCATTATTATTATCATTAAAGCCAGAGGTGACAGAATCGAACAACTTGGTAAGTTATATTTCAGGGGCTCCCTTTGATGTTTCTTTTGTTCAAAAGTAGCCACTTTCGGTGCAGCAAAAATATATATTCTTGGAAGTTAAAATATTCTCCCACTGAAGTGATGCTTTTGCATTTGTGATAGCTTTTAGCTTGCATTTCATAACAAATTACTGTTTTCCCTGTTTTCTTGAACATGATAAAAGCCACAATAAGAAAAAATGAATACATTATTGCTATTTTAGAGAGACAAAAAAGCTTACAACATCTCTTGAGACTCTAAATTATAGCTTTCTAAAATCATTTAAATTTTGTTCAGACTTGCAGAGTCTGTGACCAAGTCAAACAGACTCTACCAGGTACAACAGACCAAGCTTCACTCACCATGAAAATGCCTTCTTCTTTTGAGCAAATGAAGTATCCACAATGGGTCAAGCCCCACTCTCACCTCCCCCAATGCAAGGCAAGAAAAATGTGGTCAGGCTTTTACCTAGTCCCTCCACCTGGTTCCTTCTCTCTCCAGATGTTTTATAAGCAACAGTAGGTAGAATAACTTAGAAACCTAAGCACTTATTTCTATTAGGAAGAAGGAAGAAAGGATACAAACAGTTTGAGGAGTCCCCCTGCTCCTGAGAGGACATGGACAAATAGTTTAAGAAATCCAACATACCATATGCCTCAACATCTGTAACTTTGGGTACAGTGTAGAAGTGTCATTTATTCGGAACAAAAAGGAAACTTCATGGTGATGTTCCATGCCCCTCTCTACACAGGGGGTGTCCACAATGCAATGCACACAAGCCAATCAGTGAAATGTGGGAGAAGTGAGGTTGAGTCTTAGAGGTAGCACCTGTTGCAACATTCTCTGTCTCCAGGTGGCCTCTGCAGAATCTCCAGTCTCAATTTGTAGTATTTCACAAAGTACTGAGCTGGACCAGGTGATAGTTTTACATATTTCTATCACTGGAGCATTTGCCCTGAATGCAGCAGGGTAGTAACAGCTCTAGGTTTTGGCAGTCACTGAATTTCTTATGACATGAAGATACATGTGCCTTTTATTCAATGCTAGATTGATCCAGATGATTTATTTCAGGAAATAAATGAGTACATATGTAAACTGTTTGCCTGATGGAATTTTTATGGTTCTACCCACATCCAACTTATGCCAAGCCAAGGGGAGAAAAGACTTGGAACTGAAGAATGGCAAGAAAATGGCTTAAGTCTGATGATGAATGATAGATTAGGCTGGAGCAATAGATAATTAAAAAAAAAACTCCACCGAGGTAATCTCTCACAGAGTTTTTAGTTCCTTTTAGCAGATGTAATTGCTACTAGAAACATAGCCTTTTGGGAAAGATTAAGACAGAGAGACACGAAAGTTTTGTGAGGTGGTTTGGTAAGAACTGAGAGTACTAACTGCAAACTCCAAGTTGGCAACTAATTTATGAAAAGGAGGCACAGTGGAAGTAGCTGGTCTGAGAAAATGTTTAACATGGATATGAATTTCAAAGTGTTCAACACTAGTGAGAAAAATGGAACTTAGAGATGCCTGGACAGGGGTGTCAGCACAAAGCCCGACTGGTGAAGGCAAGGAACAAAGTGAAAAGAGGAGAAGCCAGATGGAAGAACTTGACAAAAGCCAGGTCACATATTTCATATACTGCCATGGGCAAGGTGTATGTGTGTGGCAAGGGAGCATGGGAGGAAAGTTAAGCTATCATGGATGCCTTCTTACTAGAATAGTGATGGTTAAATCCTTGGCAAGCTACAGTACATGGCTACCGAGTTTTATTCAGCTTGGTAAATTTCAAACTTTTCAAGCCTGTGTTAGTTAACATTTTCTGAACAATGGCATGTACTGATACTACTTTAGTGTACAGAAGCCTATCAAAAGAAGAAAGGAAAAGCTAGAGGAGTTACCTCATCTTCTAGGACTTCATCCATTGCTTCTTCAGGTACAGCCATTTGAGATGGTGCCTGTGAGGAATCCAGCAATCTTTTCCCATAGTTAATAATAACTATTGCCAATTCATATTCTTTCCATGAATGCAAAACCTATTGAATATATATTTTGTATTTTCAGACAATATTCACAAGTTCTTCTATAAAAATAACAGAAACCTGCGCCATCATATAAGCCCAACCTTAAACCTAAAGAAGTTTCTGTGTATTTATAAAGCACTTCCATATGCACACAAGAGCGGGGTGTGAATACGTTTTTTTCTCCTGAGTGTCCCATCCATTTTTGCTGCTTTTCAGAGCTACTGCTTGGTATACACCTGAATTGCGGGCGATGAAGCAGGTGGGAAGACGGCTAGAGCATAGGTGGAGGAAATCACGGGATGAATCTGACCGAACACACTTGAAAGCCCACTATCAGGCCTATACTGTGGCGGTGAAGGCGGCGAAAAAAGTTTTTTTCCACTTCCATTGCCTCCTCACAATGCCGCCCGGCGGAGCTTTTTCGAGTGGTGCAAGGCCTGGTTCGCCCGGGTCCTAAGGAAGATACAGTTCCACCCTCAAAGGCCCGCTGTGACGACTTTGCCAGGCATTTCAGGGAGAAAATCGCTCAGATTCGTCACGAGCTGGACTCCACTAATGAATCAGAGGTTTCTGGGGAGACGCCAATGCTGCCGTCTGGTCCAGAATTATTGGATGAATTCCAGTTATTGCGGCCCGATGATGTGGACAAGGTGCTTGGACGAGTACGTCCCACCACTTGCCTATTGGACCCTTGCCCGTCTTGATTAATAAATAATTCCAAGCACGGGATTGGGACCTGGATCTTGGAAGTGGTTAACGCTTCTCTGAGGGAGGGTCGGGTGCCTGCCCCTTTAAAGGAGGCGGTAGTCCGACCGGTCCTGAAGAAAGCGTCACTGGATCCAGAGATGGCCACTAACTATAGACCAGTGGCCAACATCCCGTTTCTGGGCAAGGTATTGGAGCGGGTGGTGGCGGGACAACTCCAAGCACTCTTGGATGAAACTGATTATCTGGACCCATTTCAGTCCGGCTTCAGACCCGGGTACGGTACTGAATCTGCCTTGGTCGCCCTGTACGATGACCTGTGCAGGGAGAAGGACAGGGGGAGTGCGTCTCTGTTGGTTCTTCTGGACCTCTCAGCGGCTTTTGATACCATCGACCATGGTATCCTTCTGGATAGGCTAGCGGGATTGGGGGTCGGAGGCACTGCTTTGCAGTGGTTCCGCTCCTATCTCAACGGCCGATTCCAGAAGGTAGTGCTGGGGGACTATGGCTCTGCACCATGGCAGCTATGCCATGGAGTACCACAGGGGTCCATTTTGTCCCCTTTGCTGTTTAACATCTATATGAAACCGCTGGGAGAGGTCATCAGGAGGTGTGGGCTACGGAATCATCAGTACGCTGATGATACCCAGCTCTACCTCTCATTTTCCACTAATCCAGGTGAGGCAGTGGCTGTGCTCAACCGGTGCTTGGCCGAGGTAATGGGCTGGATGAGAGCCAATAAACTGAAGCTCAATCCAGACAAGACGGAGGTCCTGTTGATTGGCGGATCGGGCTTCGGAGAGGGTGGATTTGACCTGGCCCTGAATGGGGTTGCACTCCCTCTTAGGGACAAGGTCCGCAGCTTAGGAGTACTCCTCGACCTGGAGCTTTCATTGGAAGCTCAGGTGACAGCGGTGGCGAGGAGCGCTTTCCTTCAGCTTCGGCTGATTAATCAGCTGCGCCCCTACCTGGAGTACGACTGCCTGGCGACGGTGACACACGCGCTGGTGACTTCCCGCCTTGACTTCTGTAACGCGCTTTACGTGGGGCTTCCCTTGAAGACGGTCCAGATACTTCAATTGGTTCAAAATAGAGCTGCCAGGTTGCTGACGGGGACGGGGCGTTATGCTCACATGACTCCAGTCCTCCGACAGCTTCACTGGCTTCCCATTGAAGTCCGGGCCCAATTCAAGGTGTTGGTTATGACCTATAAAGCCCTAAACGGCTTGGGACCTGGTTACCTGAAGGAGCGCTTACATCCATATATGCCCGACCGCCCCTTGAGATCTGCGGGAGAGGCCCTTCTCCGGGAACCCTCCGTGAAAGAAATTAGGAGGGTATGTACTCGGAGGAGGGCTTTCTCTGCGGTGGTGCCCAATCTATGGAATGTGCTCCCCAGAGGGTCCGCCTGGCGCCGTTGTTATTTGTTTTTCAGCGCCAGGTGAAGACCTTTTTACTTAAAAGTCATTTTAATTGTTAACAATATTTACTTATTTATCTGGCCAGGGCGACTTCTTTTCTTTTCTTTTATAACTTTTTTCATATCATTTATATTTTTTATTTATTTTATATTATTAATCTTAATTTTATATTGTTATTTTTATATTGTATTGTATTTTATTGTGTTGTAAGCCGCCCCGAGGCTTCGGCAAGGGGCGGCATAGAAATGTTCTAATAATAACAACAACAACAACAACAACAACAAGCATTGAGAGAGGAATTACAGCAGTCCAAATAAATAATATTTGTGGAATTTGCACAAATAAATTTAACACTTGCCAAGATCTGAGCCCATGAAACATAATTTTCTTTCTGTGTGTGTGTGTGTGTGTGTGTGTAGGTCAGAGATAAGTATGCCTAAGTAAGTTCTAGATTTCAGGAATTTATGGCACAATAAACCAAGGCAGCCATGGGCACTTGATTTCCAGACATTGAAAAGAATCACAGAATTACTTGCAGCAAGATTTTGTTGACAATTTGTAGCAAAGATTTCTGCTTTTGTCACAAGTGCCACGTTCATATTGGTATGGTGTTTTCCACTCCAGTGAATTCCAGTTGCAGAAGCATTTTAGGACATTGAATGGCTTATGAGGCATTACACTATGAGGCTAATATACAGCTTGTGGTGAGACAATAAAATCCCAGCATCATTTTATGCATCACTTCTTGAATGCCTTTCCAGATTACATGTTAACTAAGTATACCTCAGATCTCTAGCTGGATAGGGCAAATGACCATAATTTTATCACTAAAGTTATCATGATGGATAATTTCTTTCTACCACCTATTCATCTATTGTGATGATTCCAGGGATCATGAAGTACTAAAATCTCTGTCCGGTTCTTACTTAACAACCTCAGTGTACCATCTATGGCCATCAGAAACATGAGATTTCAGGGCACCTCCTTCCAGAAATAATTTACCCTACTATGTAGCAATGTATGAATTTTTATTGGGGCGTGATCAGTCAGATCTTTGCCACCAAGTAAAAAAAAATGCAGCAATCAAAGCTGATAGAACAGTTTCTTAAATGCCCAGTATATTTTTCCTAATTTGTACTGCAATAAAGAAAAACTTTTGCAACTTTCTATGATATTGGATAAATCATCCCTTAAGCAGAAAAGGGCCACATCTTTGGGAAAGAGTCCTGGGAGAGTTCTTCCTAAAAGGAGAATCAGTTTCTTTCTGCAGTCCCAACACAAGTTACAGTACAGAAACGCTATTATTACTCATTTCTGCACAAACACAATCACTTGTTAAATCATCCACTTAATGCAGAGGGGAAGCAAGCAAGCATAAATGCTTTCCTATATTTAGGAAAATTTAGTCTCATATGAAGCTCTAACAATTCCCTATTTTAGATCATTTATCAGTTGCATTTCTCAAATACTGCAGATCTATAAAGAGATCTATTAATCTCTTTATAAGAGAGCTGTGCCTTCCCTTAAACAATAATTGCCCAGATCCTAAGGGGAAAAAATCTCAAGTTCTTTCTTCTCTATTCCCCTCATCCACTGACTGACAAATGAATCTAAGAGCAATAAGCACAGCTATCAGGAACTGCAGGAGTGAGGGGCAGTTAAAGTGACAATTTAAAAGCATTTATCCAAGCCTGGCATGTAACTGATTAGATACCCACTTCAAAATAGATATTTGCTTTTCTCACAGAATATTCCCAAGGAAACTAGACTGAACTCCTTCCACCTGAGAATCTTCCACCAGAGATACATATTGGAATGCCAGATATAAATCAAGCCAAAGACTTGGCTTAATAAACTTCAACTGCAAAAGGTATAATGCAATTTACTTGCAAAAAGAAAAACTTTGAGATAGTCTGTTGGCTAAAATTAGCTGAACCGTCCAGGCCAGGAGTGTCTATATACCAAGACATCTAGGGCAGTCCTTCTCCATGAACCACCTTCAAAAGAATATCAAAAATCATACTAAAGCTAAAACAGATCACTAACAGGCCATGTGTTACAACCATCCAAGTTATGAATAATCAATACTTAAGCTATACAACTGAGTACTTAAAAAAAAATACTGCAGAATATCATCACCATCTGAGAGCCAGTGTGGTGTAGTGGTTAAGAGTGTGGGACTGGAACTCAGACGATCCGGGTCCTAGTCCCCGCTCAGCCATGGAGCCAACTGGGTGACTTTGGGCCAGTCACAGACTCTCAGCCCAACCTACCTCGCAGGGTTGTTGTTGTGGGGATAAGATGGAGGAGGAGAATGATGTAAGCTGCCTTGAGCCCTTTGTCAGAAAAAGGCAGGATATAAATCGAGAAATTAAATAAATAAATAAATAAATGAAATCTGTGGAATGCGCTCCCCAGAGAGGTCTGCCTGGCGCCGTCATTATTTGTTTTTCGATGCCAGGCTAAGACCTTTTTATTCAAACAATATTTTAGCAACGTTTAATATTTATAGGTTTTAATTGGGCAGCCGGGGTGTTTCCGGGTTTTAACTGTATTTGTATGATATTTATTTGTGTGAACTGTTCCGAGGCTATATAGCAAGAGGACGACATACAAAAACTTTAAATAAATAAATACAGAGAGACAAAGCAAAAGTGGGGAGAGGGATGCCTCCAACACATGCCTTCCTGCCCTGCCCTGAATTTGAAGTCTACATAAAGCACAGATTTGCATTACTCAACTTAACTGACTAGGAACCAGAAGTGAAACTGGAAACATTATCAGAAAAGAGTGCAAAAAGACCATTCCTGTAGCCAAAAAAAGAGTATGCCTAAATGGACGATAAAAGAAACATCACAATCACTAACAAAAGGCTAAGGACTAGACAATAAAAGGAAAAGGTGACAGAAACAGGGTCCAAATTCTGAATGCAACTTTTCTGCTACTATCATATAGAGACGTAAAGAATTATTACAACAACTTTTGGAAAGAAACAGAACAACAGAAAAGGAAAAACAAGACACCTCTTCCAGAAGATCGAAGAAATCAAAGCATAATTCAAATCTAGCTTAGAAATGCTCGAAGAGAAACAGGGGGAGACTTTAACTGGCCAGGACAAAATAAAGAGAAGGTGGAAAGAATATGCAGCAGAACACCCATATCCACTGTCTCACTGTAGTTTCACTTAAGCAAGGTTGACTGTCAGCCATCCACATTTATGGCGGCTAGGAATGCAGGACCCCCACAAAAGTGGAAAAACTGCAAATATCTCTAGAGAACTACACCATCTGTTTGGGGATGCCACGCTCTTTGTCTTGGTATTAGCCAGCCTCACTTGTGTTTTGTCTCTCAAGGACTCTAGAGATACTTGCAGTTTTTTTCCTATAGATATTTGTGTTTTTCCCCCTTTTGTGGAATTTAATCACCATTTTGCCAGAACATTCATTTTTCTTCTTATTTTCAACACAACTTTAAGTATATTCTATTATATGAAAATACGTTTTCTCCACATCTCAAATTTAACATGCTCTAAGTTTTATCTCATTTTTGCTCAGTGTTTGTTGTACATACTAAATATTGTTTATTTTAAGTATTTTAAAATACATAAATGAGCTCCTAATACAAATTCCTAGAAATAATAAATACCTTTGCTGTGAAAAAACAGGAACAGGCTATCATGTGCTGAATACTCTCATAGCAGACTACTGGTCTTCTTTGCCATGTAATATTTGGGATTTCTTGAAGAACTGTGAGACATTTAATAATGATCTGAAAATATAAGTATAGCCATTTAGCATCACAGCTACAGAATAATGCATGAATGGTGTGCAAAAATATATCTATATGTAAATATTTACATCTGAATGTAAAATTTAAAAGTACTGCAGTTTGGAATAAGCAATAAATTTTTAGCATGATCTGTACTAATTCATTATTGCCTGTTGTATGTTTCTAAGCCCAAAAGATACACAACTGCATAATTAGTTGCTAATTTCTTCAAGTGCCTCAGGGAACACTTCGGCACATGTTTAAACCAAAATAAATAAATAAAGCCCTGCAACTCCCAGCATAACTACTGGCTCTATAGATGTCAACTGGCCATATTCCTCTTTTGCTTGATTATCTGTTCTATATAATTTGAAATCTTCAATCATGTCCAACAGAAGGAATTACTAGTAGTAGTAGTAATAGTCCAATCACTATTTTAATATGTTGCCTTTTTCTTCTTCCACTTAAGCCAAGACAGCTTATATGGTACTCCACCTTTCCATTTTTATTCTTACAACAACCCTATGAGATGGGTTATCATGAGAGTTAGTGACTGGTCCAAAGATGTTAGGTTACATGGCCAATAGACTACAACATAGATCCCAGTTCAGTTCTAAGTGAGTTTTAATTGATTTTTAACCATCTTAGTTTCTAATAATACTTTGAAGTAACACACTGCCAAGACTTTTGAAGCACTTCAGTTTCTACTACCTGTATTTTTGCCATTGCATTCCACACAACATTATATAGCCTAATATTTTAAGAAGTACTCTTACCTGAATAATTGGCTGTGAAGGAATCTTGTGATAGATCAGAGGAGCTATAAGGCCATAACAATGGACAACAGACTGTAGGGCATAATGTACATCATTTAACCAGTTACTGAGTTCAACTGCCACTAGCATTCGACCACATTCAGCTACTCTAGCAACCTGAAAAGGAAGATCTATTTTAGTCTACATATTTATATGATGTCACAGGAATAAGAAAAAGGAATTTATTTCCACTAATAGAAATAGTGTATGACACAGAATCTTTTAGCTCTTTCTGATTAGTCTTGTTATCAATGTAACAACTTTCATTTCAGGATCAAAATACTCTCTTTTGTCTATAAGAAATTGGATCAGGCTTAGGAAATTATTTGATAAGGTGCCATGACAGGGAAATAGAGTTAGAAATCAAGATATAACACCTAGCACACATGGCTTGATACATGTGTTCAGAAAGGCACATAATGTATCAATTTGTATCAAGCCTGAACACACAAGTACTTTGCTTTTGTAGGTGCATAAAAACATAAGAGTGGTGCTGGATTACTTAAAAAGACTATTTAGTCCAGCATTCTGCTTGCATAGTGAGCAACCGAAATCCTATGAGTCTAACTCATACAGTCTGATACTGAAGATAATATACAGTCCATGTTATTTATCCTCAAATAAATGATAGCTTTATCCTCAAATCCTTTGTAATAAAAAAGTTAAGAGCAAAAAAGCTAAGATTAATCCAAAATATACTCCTGCACCACACATACTTGTCTGTTATATTTAAGTTCATTGAGACAAATGGAATCACAGAAGAAAGCTCCTTCATTCACACTGATGTCACTGATAATAAAAATGCTCCTGATGAACAGGTATAAGAGGTTTGGAGATGCCCGAGAGACAGCTTCAGGAATTAATCTACAAAATATGTACAAAATATAAGTTTTATTACCAGACACTAATGAAGAGTAATAACACAGAAAGTTGTGGTGTTACCTCAGACTAAAAGATGCTGCTAGTTTTGTGGTGGCAGGTAAACCCTTTTGGATGGGACTCAAATGTTCCATGTCTTGTTCCCTCTCATGATATCACAGCATTTCTGTGCTATGCAACATCACCGCTATACAATCTATGATGAAGATGGCTGCTGCTAGTACAGTGGCACTGACACTGCAGCTAAGTCAGCACAATCAAAATAAGCCACTGTGTAACTGTGGCCTGTAGCAGCAGGAGCTATCTGCATAATCACAACATGGCCACAGTTTATGTTCTCTGAACCTGAGTGGCATGCCTTACTGGAAGATTAAACCACCATAAAATAGTACAAATACAAGAGCCCAGATTCAAATGACAAGATAAGCCACGGTTCATTGGCTATTATGTGAATAGTGGCCAGCATGCACCAGCTCATACAGCAGCAAACAATAAACCACCATGGTGGCTTGTTCTGCTAAGAACTGGGTCACTGATGCTAAACATGGGACCCACTGCTATGCTTCAGTTTGTGAAATTATGTTGGCATACTGTCCTTGTATCTGAGCCTACATAGGATTTGCCTGTACAAAAGCATTACAAAAGATATTCAAAATATAATTAACTAAGAAAGTACAAATAATAATGAGCTAATATTATGGTCTGGAATGTTTTGATAAATAATTTTCTTGATTATTTTTAGATACAATTTTAACAGTCTATTCAGAAAAAAATAACCATACATACATTCATTAATAATTTAAAGCACAGCTCTACTAATTACCTGTTCTGAGGCACAGTCAAAGCACTGCTTACAGAAGCAACTGATACATCAGCAGCAGGAGTGAAAGGTAATGTAACAAAATTATCCCAGAGTGGCTGAAATGCCTTCTTGGATAATGCATAATTTTCAATCTGGAAAGCAGACTAAAAGAAAATAACAATTTTTGAAATATCTCTTCAATGCATATTTCAAGATGCACTTAACAGAACTAAAGCTGTTAGATTTATTAGTAAAAATAATTATTACTTTTCTAAACAAACCAAAGTAGATAGACCACACAAAGCAACATCCTTCAAAATGGAGGGTGGATCTCCCTAGCGGCATGAACAACAGAAGAGAAGAAACAATATTACATGTTTCTTTCTTCTCAAACCTAGTACATGAGAGTGCTGAAACAGCTGAAAGGCAGGAATGCATTGGTGGTTGGATAAATGAGGGAATCCCAGATGACCATGAGCCAAAATACATCACCTTGGAAGTGGATGTAAAATCACAAGGCTAGAAGCTCCAGAGCATGTGGCTTTCTCCCATCATCTCTGACATCATCCTCCACCTGTTACCTACTCCTTTTCCCACAAAGAAACATTTTTGTCATTGGCAAGGAGGAGCTGATGGAGAAGAGTTAGTTGCTTTCAGAGATCATCATCCAAGGATTTCTGTGTAGTCAACTTTACTGTTCAAATAATGCAATGCATTTTCTGGACAAAGAGAAGATTGCTTACCTTCCCGAATAGGAGTTAAATATTTCTTGTCCATCTAACTCAGGGGTCCTCAAACTTTTCCACCAGGGGGCCAGTTGAAATCTGCAGGTGCTGGGCGCGGGCCGGAAATATGATGCCAGCGGTGTGCGCGAGCCAGCGCGGGGGCAGGGCAGCGCGGTGGGCGCGTGCGCTGAGGCAGGGGCAGTGTGTGCAGTGAGGCGAGGTGAGGTGAGGTGCAGGTGCACGCGTCGGTTGAGGGGAGGCAATGTGGGGGCGGACACATGCCGCAAGGTGGGCGCACGAGGCAGTGGCTTGCTCACTTGGGAGATCGTTTACTCCGAGCGAGCAAACCGCTGCCTCCCTGCACGTGGGGCATGGTGGGAGGCAGCAGGCGTGGACACAGTGGGCCCAAATGGGCATGGCAGGCGGATCCGACCCCCAGGCCATAGTCTGAGGACCCATGATCTAACTCATCCTGACTATTCCCAGGTACACACACTCTTGGTACTAAATATACAAAGTGTGATCTCAATAATTTGCTGGCTGCAGCTCGCATGAACAAAGGGAACACATAAATGTTGTCTCCCATTACTGTTGTGATTTTGTATATATAAGAAATTTAGGTCTGCTGTATCCACTGTTATTTTCATTTTGTGAGTACAGAATCTTGCAGATTACTGGAAAAGAGAAAAGTATGGCTGCATGATCCGCAATATTCCTCAAAGGCCCCAGTAAAGAAATTCTGTTTTGTATTGCTATCTAATGCAAATAATATTTCTAATTCCATAATGCCAACGATAGAGCTGAAGGACTAGCAATAGTTCAACACAAAAGGAAAATTATTTTTTAAAATGCCAAATAGGTCATTAATAAAATACTGTGCCTGAATTAGGTATGCTCGGACAGTAGCTGCTGAAAGAGGAGGATATGCAAGAATTGGCTTAGTTGTTTCTCCAATGCTATCACCAATAAGCTTTCCATCTGAATCATATGCAGCAAGTGCAAATATATATCTCTGGTTGGGCTCCAAGCCTTTTACTTCTAAAATACATGTTTCTTCAGCAGGTACCTGATAATAAAGAATATCTTTGTTAAGACCAAAGTAAAAAGAAATAAATAACATCATGCTAAAAATAACTGTTTAGCACTATGGTTAAAAGACAATCATAAATCCCGTACAAGAAAATATGTAGATTACACCTTATATTCAAATACCTTTGCAATTACCAGGCATCAATAAACTGACTAAGACCTGGATAATTCCTGATTGAATGCTCCACTTGATCAACTTCTCCACAGGAAAACTGCCAATTATCCAAGTTACATCCTCAAGTCTTCTAATCCCATCATAGTAGTAAGCAAACATCCTTCTAACAGACATTCCTCTTCACCTTTTTAAAATGGTGTTCTCGATAGTTATTCACATCATTAGGTCAAATATTAATTAGAGAAAAAGCCAGAGTGGAATTTTTTTATAAATTAGTATGGAAATTTATTTTTATTTATTTATTAAAACATTTCTATGCCGCCCCATTCGCCGAAGCCTCGGGGCGGCTCACAACATAAAGTTAAAATAAAAAAAATAACAATATAAAATAAGTAACAATATAAAATAAGTCGCCCTGGCCAGATAAAATAAGCAAATACTATTAACAATTAAAATGACGCTTAAATAAAAAGGTCTTCACCTGGCGCCGAAAAACAAATAAGAATGGCGCCAGGTGGACCTCTCTGGGGAGCGCATTCCATAGATTGGGCGCCACCGCAGAGAAAGCCCTCCTCCGAGTAACTACCCTCCTAATTTCTTTGGAGGGTGCATGGCATTGGTTAAATTATTTTATATGGATAATAAATATTCTAATTTATGTTGGAGATGTGAATGAAATATGGGTATCTATTTCCATATGTGGCGGGAATGTGAAAACATTAAGAAATTTTGGATAATGATTTTCAAGAAGATCAGTAAGATACTGAACTTAAAAACTGAAGCAGTTCCTGAAATAGCATTGTTGCTAAGCTTTTGTGAAAAGAAATGGAAATTGAATATTAAAGAATTAATAATAAATTCAGTATCAGCAAAATTGATAATAGCAAAGAATTGGAAGGAGACATGGAATCTCCAATTAATTTAATGGTATAAAGGCATTTGGAATATAGTGGTTAATGACAAGTTGACATGTGAGATAAAGATGAAAAAAGATTGGTAAAAAAGAAACATTTTAACAATATATGGTGTTTGCTTATTGAGCATGTATTAATGAAATGAGAGGGTATTAAACCTTCAATCAATGTATTGCAATTTTGGAAAGAAGGGGGTATATTTGAAATAGCAGAAAAATGAAAGGGGAAAAAATACTAGGCAGCCATGGATCTGGAGGAGGGGTACACAAAGGTGACTTTTTAAAAAATGTATTTTTTCTTTATTATATGATATTTGAATTTGTATCTTTTTAAAAAGATAAATGTATATAAGAAAGAGAATGAAACAAGACCATTCCTTTGGGTTTGAAGTGCCTACTCTACGATTTGCATCTAGATCCAGATAACGAATCACACTAAAATAGAACACTTCAGTCCCCACAAGCCTTTTTAATTATACATAAAGGCACCTTTAATGATTCCTTGTGCAGAATCAATTTTATCATCAGAAACAACGACCACTCCTATACGATATCAGCTTCCAATCATTAATATTTGATACACTACCAACTGTTTAAAACTCAGGAACACTAACTGTAGCTCTTAACCTTTAATGGTTTTGTCCTGTCAAGTTAGCACTGATGGAAATATCTTAGTCTAGATCTATCAGTTCCAAGCTCACAATTCCTTTACTCTGTAGATGAACTGCTACCTTAGCAATTTGTCCTCATATATAAAACTGCAGTCATCAGTTTGTACCATTAAGCTGACACAACTGCTGATGCTGGTCTCATGAAATATGCAGAATTTCACCTTCAACTCTTTCTAGCAATTATTTTTCTCACCACTGTAACTCTGGATTTCAGTTCAATCAGTGTGAGAAGAAGGTGGGGATTTGAACAGTGCTGGTGTCCCAAATACCTAAATAAAGCATATGAAAGCAGTGATATTTCCTTATGCAGTTCCTAAGGAAAAGGGGGATTTGAGTGAATTCTCAGGTATAAGGCTGCAGATTCCCCAAGCATAGTATTTTATGGTTCTCTACCTTCTCAGCTTTCAGACAGTAATTCTCCTGCTCATACCAGCAATACAGTTCAGAAGAAAATGACAGAGAGACAAACAAGCTTGCTGAGGATATTAGTGCAGATCACCTTACCGCTTCTGCTGTGTTCTTAAGACTGTAATTATTTAACCGGACTTTTGGATTACTCCCTTCAGCTACACATCCAAAAATACTATACCATGAAACCTTAAAAATAAAGAGAGATACCAGCAATTTTTTTCCAGATTTGAAATTGCAGTCCAAGCCTATTTACTAAGTAAATTAAACGGTAGATATCTGGGAAGGTATCTTCCAAATCAATATGGCTTGGATATTAAAATAAGTTCATTTTCCTGTGCCCCCATAGGGAGCTCACCTGAACAATATCGAATGAGAAGTGGGAAATTCTGATCATATTGCTAGCTTAAACCCACAGTTATATACTATAATCATGTTCCCTTTTCATAGAATTAGAAACATAGAAACAGAGTGAGTCAGAAGGGGTCTCCTGGGCCATCTAGTCTGACCCCCAGCTCCAGCCAGCTCCACTCACAACATGCCCACCATGTCCATGTCTAGCCTATCCTTGAACACCCTCACCGATGGGGCCTCGACCACCTCCCATGGAAGCCCATTCCATACCCTCGGGGTCCTAACTGTCAGGAAATATTTCCTGGCATCTAAATTGAACCTTGATTCCCTGAGCTTCACTCCATTGAAGCGTGTCCTGCCCTCCACTGCAGGGGAAAACAGGTCTCTACTTAATCAAAGCTAAGAAATAGCTTGATAATTTTAATTAACTTAAGCTCTAATATAGCTTATAACTGTGACAAACTTTGTATAGCATACAAACAGCCGAAGGGTACCTAGTTCTGTAGCATACAGATGCTGATACAAAATAGGCTGACTATTACTGCCATCTTATCTTCAGGTTTAAGGCAAAAGAAGGGTATGTGTTAGCCGCAAAGAAAAGCAAACTGACTGAGCCATGCCAATACCTATACAAAATATAACACATTGTCAAGCCCAATAATTCCTGGCTTTATTTAGATACTGAAGTCTTTTGTGTGTACGTAGCAGCCCATACAAAGGTCTGGTTCGAATGTCACAATAATTCAGATTAAACATTTATTCTGTTTGAACACTCCTGCTTGGGTCCTCCTGCCAGAAGCAGCAGCTACACAAGTCAAGAATTTTCCAGGGTGACATTCAAACCAGGAATTTTGGCTAGTCATTCCTCTAAGCAGCCACTGGTTTGTTCATGGGTGGTTATGTTGGGTTTTCAGGGCAGAGACAAGCTAGAGTCTCAGACCCAAACATCAAGCTAACCAAGCCAGAGATAATGAGTTCCTTGTTTATGTTTGTTTGTTTGTTTTTATGGCTGGGGCAGCCAAGTGGGAAAGTCTCAGCTGCATGCACTAGCATGCTGGCTTGCATATGGTAATCCAATTTTTAAAAACAAAATCCAGATTGTTATGACCTAGCCACATATAACATCACCAGGCCATATAACATACTTTAAAAGTACTTAAATAATTTTCAGTTAAAACACAGATGTAACTCCTATGTTGAACTGCACTAATTTTCTATCTAAATATTTTATGCACTTATTTTTCAACACAATTTAGGACTGTTTTATTTATTTATTTAAAACATTTGTATCCCGTCCTACATGAGAAAAACATCTCAGGATGGCTTATAATAAAACAATTAAAACAACAACAAATAGCAAGAATTATAACAATTAGTAAAAGAAAATGACCACCATAAACAGCAAAAATGACTGTGGATGTTAAAACTGATGAATTTCTAATTCTTAAAATGATGGGAAAATAACAAGGTTTTCACCTGTGCCGAAAAGCATATAACATTAGAACTTGTCCTTAATATTTTACAGTGCAGTTTAAGACATCAGATCATAACCAAGCGCCTTCTTTCTAAAAGTGCTACCAGAATGATGAATATGCTTCTGTACCATGTATATGCAATTTTTAAAAACTTTGAATACAGAAAAATGGCAAAACTGGTTAGATTGTACCACCTAGTGGTGAATTATTTGTATTTGTAAAAAAAAGTACTGTACAATAACAATTGTGCTTATGCAGAGAGCCCAAAAAAGCTTTACCTTCACATGTGAAGCAAATGGCGCAGGCTTAAATGCCATGGAACAATGTGACCTAAAAAGCAATATGGGAGGAGGTGGCACTTTGCTTTTCACACTACTTGCAGGTTGTGAGAAAGTGGCATATAACACATTTTGTTCAGCTTCTGCTCTCTGAATTAGTGTAAGTGCTTCCTGTGATATAAAGAAAAAGACAAAGAAATATTGTATTTGGATTGCATATATTTAAGATCCAAACAAGAATGCAAAAATAGACACAGAATCAAAGGGCTGACAGAAAGAGCATCCCATTAGTAGGGTTTGATGTGCCTGGACCAGACATTTTCCATTCAAACTTCTGTTTAATCAAGGAGCACACATACCATCTTCCAGTGATCAATCACTGTTTCTAGTTTTGGTTTGTTTTACGGAGGTGTGTTCCTTTATCAATAGGTACAGAGCATCTTTGAACAAACAGCTATCCCTATCCCTCTTTCCAGACTTTGTCTTGTCCTCCCTCTCTTATATTTAGTGCTGAATTTGTACGGCTACTTTTCTGCGTGCAGTTTTGGGAAGAAAATGTGTAAAAATCAGTGCTGTACTGAAATAAAATGCAATGCAATGCAATGCAATGCAATGCAAAAGTTCTGATATGAACACACCCCCACACTTCTACCTGGAAAATTAAGTGTTTGTCTGAATTCACTGGGTAACCTTAGGCTAGTTACCATCTCTGCCTATTCTCAATCTATAAAAATGATGACCTGCCCATTCCAATTGTGTTAAGTACTCAGTTCATGAAGACTATAAAAACACTTCGTTTCTCAAGCTGCACATAAATTAACAAAAACCATTCTGGAAAGAACATTCAAGTTGCCATGGATTTTAAGTACAAAACATGTAAAAACTTAATGCCTTTCAATTGTCTTTTTTCTGTATAATTACATATAAAGAAAGCTTCTCATATTGAATTGAAAATTGTATAATACAACAGGCCACGAAATTAAAGCAAGATTCATTGTTCAGGTACAGACATGTAGTTTTGAACTAAATTGCTAAATGTTTTGAGCTAAACATCTTAAACGTTCTGGTGGGGAAAAAAATTCATAAAGAAGTAGATGCTAAAGTACATTTCTAATATCCCGCAAGAAAGGGACATTATGTATAAATATATAGGGATTTGGTGCTTCAGAATCAACAGTGTAATCCTATATAACCAGGTGGAGAGTGTGGAGAGCTCCTGTACAAATTTTGCCTGTACTGCCCTTGTCACCTCCTCTCTCTGGACAGAGGGAAAGAGAGAGCAGTCACTACATGGTGAACAGTGAAGGGGAAAATATGGGAATGAAAAAAACACTGATTCGTGAGCTACAGGGTAAAGAAGCAGAAGAACAATCCAGCCAGAATATCCATTTTAAATCTTAGCTCCTTCATTTGATACAAAACCAAAAGGGTGGTTGCCACTACTGCCCATTTCAATATCCATTGCAGTGGCAAGCCTGGAGAACATATCCAAGCTCAATCAACATCTACTTCAGGCCCTCTATCCTAAACACCTCTGCAGTGGCGCGAAGCACTCAGCTGGTGGAATTTGTCACTTCTTATGCAGGCTTGACTGGTGAAAGAAAAAAGGAGCATCCTTGGCATGATGTGACACTGCAACTTTGCCTCTCATGAAAGATAAACTGCTCAGAATGCTTCAGCTATTGCATAGTTTAGAAATATGAGAAAGTCTCAAAATTATTGGCTAATTCTGGCTATGCAATGTGGGGCAGTCAGTGGTAGGATACATCTGGGTTAGCAGGTTCTGGTCGAGTTGAGGCTGGGAATGTGAGATGGAATACCACAATGAGAATATGAAGTGCCCTGGGTGAGGAAAAGGGAGGCAGCCATCAATGAAGAACTGCTCTTGTGAGATGAGACTGTGACACCTGTCAGACTGCCTTTCCCAATCTAAACCTACCCAGACATTTTGCTCAACAACTCAGCCCTCCTTCAAGTGCCATCTCTGAGAGAGGCCTGGCTAATGGAAACAAGGAAAAAGAGATTTTTCAGCACCCCCCATTTTGGAAAGTTCTTCCCACTGAGGCAAACCTGGCACCAATTCTGATATGCTTTCAGTGATATGTTAAGAGTGCCCTCTATGTGGAGGCATTTAATGTAATATGGGGCTTTATGTCAGTTTTTTTCTCTTATCAGCTCTATTTAATTGTTCAAATTGTTTTAATTTCAGTTTTAAATTTTGGATTCAACTTCTATGCTGTTATTCTATTTTACTGTATTTTATTCTTTGGTACAGATTGTTGTTAATCTCCAAGAGAGCTTTGGCTGACAGAGAAATTAAATATTAATTGCACCAAAAACCAGAGCAACAAGCAAGCAAACAAAAACAAAGAATACTATGAGAACTTCCATCTGTTTATGTATATTACCTCAAGGAGCTGGTTTGCGGAAGAACCTGGTAATCCTACAGGAAGTAACAGTGTTGCTTTCTGCATCAGGTAGAGAGCTTTGGATAATTTATTCTTTTTTATTTTGTTCAGTACATCTGTCTCTGTAAAGCAAATGTTGAAGCTATGTGATAAATCTTTAAACAAAATATGTTTTTTCCATATGAGATTTTTCAAGTATGTAATTGGTTGCATTACCTGTTAAATTTTTGCAATGTTTTGCATGTGTTGAAGTCTTCAATTTAATATTTTTGCAATCAGTTTGAAAGTCTACAAGAAATAAGGTATTAGTTTATATCACACATAGTTACTAATACAAACAGACACAAAAGGATAGATTAACAGCATAGTATCAGCCAGGTGCATCCCCAGTTATCCTGTTACACACTGGATGAATGTTCCATGTTGTAACAGCCTCCTGGAGAACATACATTATTTATGTAAAATAGAAGTTCACAGATAATGTCATTAACATTAATCATTATAGATCTGTACAAACTAAGAAATAAGTATTCAAATAAGTATTCAACCATATTACACACAGAATAGAAACCCACAAATGCTCTAGCTGGATGAAAGATACTATTTTATATTAATACTACTAAAACTAGTATATAATATATATGTGATGAATCTACAGAACTAATCTGGATCCACCACAATAATCACAGTGATAATCAGAAGAGCATTTTGTTAATTATAATATGCAGTGTTTTGTGACATACAGTTAGAGATCTGAAGAAGTCATGTTGGGTGAAATTTTATCAAAACTAATATTTTACAGCATCAGTAAAATGTATTTAATCCTACCTTGTGTCAAATTAAGTATTTTAACAGCTATTCTGTGCTGGGCCTGAATAAGATCCACATGTAAATCCATAATAAAATTGTTTCCTGTTGTTGATTTCTCACTGGTATCAGAAGGGGAAGATGTATTTAAATTCTTGTCATTTATGGTCATCTGAAAAAAAAGGAATTAAAACTCAATTCTGAACATTTTAGGAAGTATTGTTCAGTATGATTGTTTAAAAAAAAGTTTTACTGTTCCACAAAAATAACATCACAGAAAGTCATTTCCACATCACAGATAAAGGAAGCCAGAAGCAACAGGTCATGAAACAAAGCCTAATAAGATTAATAACAATACACATACAAGATATTTCACAAGATACATAACAGAGAAAAATATCTCTTCAGACCATTTATTCTATTCCAGGAGACCTCAACCGCACAAACACATTCCATGTTTGCCTTGGCCACTTTAATTTTGTCTTGACCCAGAAAACATCTCAGTTCTTACCACAGTGTAATCATCTATTCTCTTTTCCCTCCCATCTTAAAAAAAATACAAAAAGCAAAGGATCATGCAGAAGACTTTACTGGATCACTGCCACTGTAACTATTATTTCTCTAGCACAATAAAAGTTGACAAATTCATCCACTATTAAATTCAGCACCATTGCCATATTACTCCCTCCAACACTAGTGCTATCTCAGTCCCTCAAAGACTGGGCAAGGGGGAGATTTTCTTTCTAAAGACAGAATCTTTCATTTGCACAAACAGATTGCTGTTACACTCTTATATTCTGTACAGAATGTAAAAATGTCATAATTTCAACAGAAGCTCACCACTCAAAAATATTTTTTTTTATTTTTGACAATGTCTGAGGAATGCAGAGAGTTGCAGGTTGATCTGGAATCAGCAGTTCATGATTAGAGCCTGACTTGGATGGCAGCTCATACAAAAGAAACAGTTTCTGCAGTCACTGATATGACTACAGAAGGTCTTAGCTCCTCCGTGGCCTTCATCCACAAGCCAGCATGAACTCCATCCAATCTGTTCCTCCTGGTCCAATTGGGAAAGACCTAGCACTAGGGACTTGTATTCATGCAACCATTTCCAAGGCCGAACAAACATAGGGAGTGTCCATCTGTCAGGAGAAGTTTTCTGCCACAGTTGCAACAGTTAGGGAATGGCCTCTTCAAGACCATTTACACCAACAGCAGCTTTGTAGTCTAACTGATCATGAATAACAAAATGAAAATTTGATTAACAAAGAAAAACATGAAGGTGAGAAGATATAACAGTACAAATGAACAGAACAAAACAAAAAAAATGAAAGCCTAGCCAATAAATCTTTTGTCAAAGATGAGAGAGAAGCTCCTCCAAGGCAACCACAATGGCACCCAAAAGGGAACACAGGGGAAAGGTGGGAAACTGCTAAGGACAGCATAGTAGGATGGTAGGGAAAGGGTTCTTACCTAAATTCTTCAGCTGCTAGAGAAGTTTCCTGCAATGAGTCTCCACACCGGCACAAAACCCATGTGTGGTTATGCAGAGACCAAGAAATGACGTCTACAGACTTAAGTGCTTATGCAGTTTAGAGGTGATGGGAAGACAATAGGATAAGAACTAGAAAGGGACAAGGTTGGGTTCTTAATGGATGAAGAAAATTGGTTTGTGATTGTCTACCTTCCTACTTGCATGTATTATCTTGAAGCCCTTACCTTTTTGCAACAGTTATCAAGCACTGATGTCCCATCAGGTAAAACTGTTACTAGGCGAGCTTGATTCATTGCACTAATTGCTCTATCCAGATATTCATAAGCCAACTTTAGCTGTTCAGCAGGAGGTTTCTAAAAAGAATCCATACATTAAATTAGAAAAGGGAAAACTGAAAAATGATTAATTTCCATTCTAAGACTCAAGAATTACACAGTCATTTTTAGCCAAGCTAAAGACAAATCTGAGATCTTGTAAGGTGGAACTCTTCTTCAAGACTAGCACTCTTCAAGCTTATTTCCAGGTTCAAGTCTAGCAAGATTTGAATCATTCCTAGTACTCTGTCTTCCTTGGAAATATATTTTGTTTTCTATCATGCAGTAGCAAATACAAAGATTCTATACTTTCATATTTGTATACCACATATATTTGTGTGGTGCCTTATATTCAAAATTATATATACATTAATCAGTAGTAACAAATATTAGTCTAGTGGAAAAGCAGATCATACCTGTATTAACGAAGGCATATCACGAATACAATATTCTGAAATGTATACAGAGGCGTTTGTGTCTGCTAGTTCTGAAGAGAGAAAATAGGGTCAGAATGGTTTTGCTGTTCTATATTAAAATCACTAAAGTCTCCAGCAGCAATGAAGTCCTCTAATTCTTTAAGTTAATTCTACAACTGTAAACTCTGCCCATGGTCCAAAACTGTAATATATTTCTTTCAAAAATTAAAAGTTATATTCAAAAATTGCAATTTGTTATACCAGTTTAATTGTATGCCACTTTGTATACAAGATAATGATAAAAAGATTACAGACTCAAAGAACCATTTCATAAGCTGTTGATTGTTTTATTTGGCATGTAATGAAAAGCCATCTATTTGCAAAATATGATGATGTACTCATTAGATATTTAGGACATCAATCAAGTCCTCTGGACAGTTAATAAAACACTGTAAATCAATACAACACCATAAAAATCCAGTAACATAAAATCAATAGTCTAGATTTCAGAGGATAGTGATCTCACCATGACCAGGTTTCAGAGAATCATAGAATAGTAGATGGAAGGGGCCATGAAGGCCATTGGGTCCAACCTCCTAAAGGACACCAATTTACACTTTCCCACTCAGATGTCTGTCAAATTTCACTTTGAATGTCTAGTGTGGGTGAGCCCATGACCTCTCTAGGCAACTGATTCCACTCTTCTATTGCTCTGAGAATGAGGAAACTTTTCCTGATATCTAGCCTGAATTTGGGTTGTTTCAACTTTAATTGATTAGTGTATGTTCTACACTCTTAACATCAGCAAGAAGAGATCTTGACCTTCCCCTTTGTGACAGCCTTTGAGGTACTTATAGAGTGATACCATGTCCCCCCTCAGTCTTCTCAAGGCTGAACATACCCACTTCTCTCAGTTTCTTCTCATATGGCAATGTTTCCAAACCCTGGATCATTTGTGTTGCCCTCCTCTGTTCTAGCCACCATACATGTATCAACTGTTTCTACACCTGGCTGATACAGAGGAGTCAGATACTGCAAGGTTAGAAACAGAGAAACATAGTGAGTCATAAGGGGCCTCCTCGGCCATCTGGTCTGACCCCTGGCACAAGCCGGCTCTGCTCATATAATATAGTAGTGTTGTTGGAAAGTATGCATGTTAGTGCTGCTAAGTTATCTCTCTTTAAAGTGTGGTGATTTTCCTTTAACTTTGGTGCTGAGATCATATAGGATTGTTAGTATACAAAGCAATGTTCAAAGGCTGCCAGCAAAGAGGTAAATAGGACCGTCCTATCCAAAGCATATGTCATACTTTCAAACACATACATAAAGGCAAGTTCCTATATGGGCTTCTCATCTACTTTCTCCGTGAACTTTAGATAATTAATACCAAAATGTCTTTAATGCATTATTCTGTGAACCAGTCTGTAACAAACCAAAGCTTTTTAACTATACCTAATGTGGTTTCAGATTTGATTGTGAAGTCTGCCATAGTCTCCATCACTGAAGCTAGCCGTAATGATACTTCAGCCATTACCACAGCATTGACATCTCCAAAATTAATGGTGTGAATTACTTCATTAATTACATAAAGTATATGGACCCACTAAAGAAAAAAAGTACGATTCTTAGAGGTTTGCTATAAAATACACAGTCTTATGTACAGCTTAAGAATATTGGTTATACTAAGTAAAGACATGTTGCTCAGCTGTAATGATTACTCACTTACTTATTATACTTACGTCTCACCTTTTCTCCTTCCAAGGAATTCAAGGATTCTTACATAATTTTTCCTCCTCTCAGTTCTATATTTGCAATGACAACCCTGTGAGGTAGGTTGGGCTGAGTGTGCATGAGTGTCCTGATATGATGCAGTGAGTTCCATGGGTGAGTAGATAACCCAGTTCTCCTGCATCCCTGAGCTTCAGGAAAACCCAGTTCTCCTAAGTCCCAGTCCTGCACTCTTAACCACTGCACCAGACCTGCTCTCAATTATTCTTCAAATGGTCTTCTGTAAAGTAATGTATTAGTTCTGTGCCTGTGAAGAATTTTCTAGGCTATGCAAAAGAGTTCAGCTTGGAAGTATGCATAACTGTTTGAAGCTTTTATGCTTTCCACTCATTTAAACTGACTGCAACAGCAGGGGAACAAGGAAGCACCTTGTAGTTGTCAAAAAATACATCACCTGTGAATGCATGGAACAACATTTTCAGTAAGCAACTTGTGTTTCCTTTATGATTTTTGTAAAGTTCCACATCTGGGAGACTATCAAGCTGACTCACCCAGAGGCGGAAGAGGTGAAATTAGGCAACCACAGAACTCCACACAATCCATCAGAAGGCACCAACTGATCCTCAACACCTAGTGCATAGTATCTGACACATGTCAGATACTATTTGGCTGTAACCAAACAGCAACCACAATCATCATATTCTCTGGCTAGAATCCCATTCCGTCTCACGGGAATCTCAGACATGGAGACATCACCCAGTGACCCATCAGCTGCTACTCCTAGAACTTTCAGGCCAGAGCGCTTAGCTGTGCCATACTCCTCAGACATCAACTGGCACAGTCCACTGCACTGGGGCCAGCCCCTGCATATCAGGCAAGGGCCAATTAAAGAACACAGACAACTCTTCAGATATGAGAGAAGGTAGTTAATAGCACATCCAGACTAGCCAACTTTCAGAAGAATTACTTTACTGACTCAACAGTCTCCCTGTGTTCCCACTAGGATCTTCCATAGCAATATAACCAAACTCCAGATCAGCTCTACCAAGCCTTGCCTGTTGTGATGCTTCATGGCCTGATCAATCCTTGTTCACTCAAACATGGACCAGCCTTCCACAGAGATAGCTCATGAATTTCTTGATGTGTGGAGCTGATCTTAAGATTCATATACATCCTGAGACTGTCCAACAGAAGCATCTCACAAATGGAAACCAAAAACTTCTTCCAACCTCAATGCTTTGAAGTCAAATCCACCCATGTATCTCAGTACCTACAATCAAAATTCACTCAAGTACTACTACTAGCCTAGTCACACAGAAGAGGGAAAAATACAAAAAAGTCAATCCTATCCAGTACCCAATGAATCCTGTCCTACCTCCTCCATACACCCTTCCCAGAATCACAAGTTTGTACTACAAACAAAAACAACTTCATGTTCAGCTGACTGCTTGAGCTTTGCCCCTCCAATAAGCTGCAGTAGCTCAAATGACAGTGTCAGGCTAATCAATGCAACTTGACTCATTAATATATAAAATGTATCTTAGAATCATGCAATACCAGATAACACTATTTTACTGCTTGTCTTTTGGCTTTCAGAGCCCTGTCTACCCATTCTATTGCTCTGGGTCCTCACTCATGTATGTCACCTGTTTGTGAGCTGTTCTGTTTTGTTTCAGCTGCTATGTAATTCAAACAAAAACCCTTCTGTGACATGGGCATTTATTATGAATCAGACATGACACCTATAGATTGTAAAATAATAAAAAGCTTCTGATAGTAGGATAAATTAATCATTACTATGCAAGGACAGGCCTGGGAATGATAACTGGGCATGGGCAGGTGTTTTACTTTCTGCCTGAGATGTGGGCAGCTTGCAAAAATGGTAAACTATGCTTTGCCTACATGTGCACGTGGGAACTCAATATATCTACTTGCTGTTACAAGTAATAAGGAAACTGCCGCAAAATATTTGACTGTGTGAGCACACACCCCCTGTCCATCACCAGTCTCCAAAACATTTATTCTTATCTTCTAACTTCCAATGCTATACCACCTCTTCCATCTCTGGAACGCACATGAAGTTTTTCCTTAACTCCGCATTTTCCCAGTTTTTTCAACTTTTCAACTTCTGATTCTGCCTATCTTTCAAAATTCTCCCACCGTCACTTATACTGCTCTTAGATGCTTGTTTTTCAACCCATCATCTACTCTGCCCATTTTAGCCATTCTGCCTCTGAACTCGCTTCAGCCTTCCCTGTTTCTGCCCATCTCTTCTCTACTAATTGCACCCTCCTTCACATCCCTATTTATTTTATGTGGTTTTACACTACCTCTACTTTTCCTTCTAAAATTCCCTCAAATCCCTGGTTCTATGTACATCTTCCTTCAAAAACTAAACTGGAACATTTAAACTTCAAATGCCTTTTTATCTCTCAGCTGCACTTGCAGGACATATAGAGCCCCCTCCAATTTATATAACATTTCTCACAGCTGAAGTGTCTTTCCATTTCCCTTATCAAAATTGTCCTGTTTCACAAGATTGTAACTCTATATGTTGCTCAGGCAGAATACATATAAATACATTTCATTAGTAGCATCAGAGCCAGTGGCTAATAAACACTTGCAGATAAGCAGACACACGGTTTTGCTTAATTCCATAAAAATGTATCATACCTTGGGTGTTTGGTATTTAAAAAAAGACTTTAAGAAGTTGCTTCCACTCATTTGGATCCTCTGAATTCCCACTTTACATTTTTTCCATAAAAATATTGTTGCATCTATTAACATCTCTCTGTCCAATACAAGAACCTGAGGGGAAAGTTATTTTCAGTAGTTTCATAAACAGATAATGGTTAATGGTAATGGATAATGATAACTTCTTTCTAAGTTTTGCACTATTTTGGTAGCTACCACTTCTACACAGTTGCATCCCACACCAGTCTAGTAACATTTGAAATTGGGAGACCCTGTAAGTGAAGCAGTTGTTAGGTTCGTTTCTCATACTACCACTTCCCCTTGCTGCAGGCCAAGAACAATAAGATAGAAAATATAGCCTACCTACACTGCTTTTTCCTGATTTGTTCAATAAGATGACAAAGAAATTGGTTAAATATATCCCTTCAACAACCATTTTACTTTTCTTCTATTTCTGACTGACTGCCCAAGACAATGAATCTGCTTTAACTGGAATATATTAAGATGTTTGGGGGGGCGGGGGGAGGTTAAGTAAAATTAAATAAATCTGCATAGACAAACTGCATTTCAGGGAATTCAAAATGGCCTTTAAGAACCTCCTGAAACTCCAGAGGAGTCATTCTTTAGAAAATCATCATAACCAAGCTCCTAGTCTCAGAATTCAAATCTCTTGTTTTGGTATTACCTACATAGTCAGATATTCAGACTATTTTTCTTTCCTTTTCTTCCAAGTAATGGATGGGCCCTGAAATTCTTGAGTTTACTCCCTAAAGCTTCAAAGTCTGACATGATTTCTTCAAAGTTCTACTTGGCACTAGGTATCATTTGCTCCTAGATGGATGAGAAGGAAGAGGTATGTGCCAGTGGGATGTATGAGCACTGACATCCCTTTGTTCACATTTCTAATCCCTCCTTCGGGAAAACAGCATTACTGGGTGGGTCCATGGATCTTTGCAAAATACATAGGTTTCCATCCCATGCAGCAGGGAGTGTTCCACAATTAGGGCTTTGTATCATTGCCTCTGTTTGAATTACCTTCAGCCTCTTGCTTGCTGCTGCATAAGATGCCCTGATGTTCTTTCACTGTAAGCTGCCCTCCAATCTCATCAAACCCTAAAAGCAGTTCCATAGTTCTACTGCTTTCAATGGCATTGAGGATCTTTTGATTCTGCTCTGAACTGGTACCCATTTCTAGGGAGTTTTCTCTACTTCATTTTTCTTTGTTTCTGGATTCTCCAAACTCTTCATATTCCCACTTCTGTTAGTGAATAAACCACCTCACAACTACCTTCTTGAAATGAGAGAGGTGGGGCACTCTCCTTCATGGCACACTGGCCTTTCCTTGCATTACTGCCATTGACTCCAGCTGGGAAGAAAGAGGTGAAACATCCTCATCTCAAGAATATTACGAACAAGCTTTGGGTTCTCTTTTTAGATTCTGTATGTAAGCACCTTCCACTGCCATTCTTTTCCACAAGCATCCAGTATTTCAGAACTAATCTCTGTTCTCTAGTACTATTCTTTCTTGAAGCATTGTAACATAAGCTTTGCTTCCTTTGTTTTTTCTTACACATTATAAAGCTTAAGGTATCAAATGTAGTTCTCTGCAATAATTACCATTTATAATCAACTTTCTTTTGTAATACGGTATTTCTTCTTATTTTAATTTGCATTTATTTAACAAAACTATGTTACATGGTTCACACACAAGTTCAATTTTACTATACCTCCTCAAATGTACAGATGAAAGAATAAAGAATCTGTGCCAACAGAAAAAGATCATCAGGAGTTTTTCCAGTGTGTGCCAATCCATCTATAATCATCATTTATTTTAAAAGGAAAAATTAAAGTCAGTTGCATTAAAATATAATTTCAGATTATCAGTTGATATAGTTGTAAGATGATGCAGGAAATGAATCTAAAAATAAAAATCAGTTCCCATTTCATATATAATTTCTTTCTAAACAAAGCACAAGATGTGCCCAAATTGAAAATGTTCAAACAGAGTGATTATTTTATTTCATTTATTTATTTAGCATCTCTATCATCCAATAGTCAACACTCTCATGCCTGGAAAAATGACTGCTTAAAAAAGGAATCTACCTTTTATGATGTAAGAACAACACATATAGAACTTGAAAAATTGACAGATTTTCCATCCAGTATATTTCTTCCCCCTTCTGAACATCTGTCTGAAAATAACTATTCTGACTTTGTTCTCTGACCTTAAACTAAAGTAACAGCTTGATCCAAATCTTGGTGTACAAGCAAATAAAGTTCATAGTGCTTAGAGCAGCCTATCCCAACCTTAGGACTGCAAGTGGCGCAGTAGTTTAAACCACTGTGCTGCTGGGCTGGTTGATCCAAAGGTTGCCGGTTCAAATCTGCACAACAGGGTGAGTTCCCGTTGCTCCATCCCAGCTCCTGCCAACCTTGCAGTTCGAAAGCATGCAAATGCAAGTAGATAAAAAGGTACCACTTCGGTGGGCAGGTAACAGCATTCCGTGCACTTCGGGGTTTAGTCATGCCGGCCACATGACCACGGAGACTGTCTGTGGACAAACACTGGCTCCCTCAGCTAGGAAACAGAGATGAGCACCGCCCCCTAGAGTCAGGCATAACTGGACTTAATGTCAAGGGGAAACCTTTACCTATACCTTTTATCCCAACCTTATGCCCTCCAGATACATTGGTCATGTTGATTAGGGATGATATGGACTGCAACCCCATCCCGCAGGAGGAAGGTCAATCTAAAGTAATCATTTGTGAAGCAGTAAAATGCCACAAAGTCTACTAACAGCACTATAACAATACTATGCTAACATTGCAGATAAGTACACTACTAACATTTAATGATGTTAGTCACATACCAAGCAGTAGATTGATGCTTTAGCATCAACTAGAAAACTATACAGGCTGGTTTCTAATGTCTTCTTATTTTGTATTAAAACCTTTTTATGTAATCATTAACTAAAATAACTTACTATAGCTGGTAACTCTACTTAACTATGACTCACCTTGAAATGCAATTGATTTCCTTCCTGGATTACGACAAATCATTGTTTCTCTGATATTACCTTCCTGAATATACAAACCATGCCTTGGTTTTCTTGTAGACATTAAAGGTTGCATGGCTAGAAGTAGTTTGATCTCTGCTTCTGCTTTCTTCCACACTGGATTTTGAGACTAATCAAACAAAACAAAACAAAAACCCAAGTTATTACATAGTCTATGATTTAATTTAACAACTACAAGTACTGTAACAATAACAAACTGGATTACCTGAAGAAAAGAATAAAACAATGCAGTTGCATGATCAAATGAATCCCACTCCTCATAGCTGAAGGCCATCTTAATAAACCTCAAGACAGCATCTGCAGAAACACCATTCCTGCCTGTAAGAGCATCACAAAAGGTATAAGACTCCAGCAGTTTTCATAAAACCAAAGTGATCCCTTACATAACTCTTTAAAAAAGAAAACTTCTGGATATTGCATGCACATGTTAGAACAATATAATTCATTTGAATTCCAATGCAATTGTATAACTCCAAATACTTTCAATTAAGACTAATACAAACTTCTATTAAATACATTTCCATTCAAATTTCTATATAATGAAATATTACTTTCAAGAAAAGATAGAAAGCATGGAAAACATATGCATGTACATATATGCATGCATGCATAAATAATACCCCTCCTGTCTTTTTGTTTTGTTTTTATAAACAAAAATCAGATATGCACAATGCCTATGGCCAACATTCCGTTTCTATCTGTATCTTGGCTCACTCAGTTTCATAATACTAAGCACTGCTGTAAGGCATTCTTCATGCTGCACATTAACAATCTGTACAACCCATGAGTAAATAAGGTCCAAATCCTCCTCTCTATGATTAACCTTTTCATAGTCTGCAAATCTAAAGGGAAGGTTTAACAAGCCAAATCTGGTCCAGGCAGCTCCCAATCCATTACACAAGGCCACAGTTCATGGGAATACCCCTTTCTTAAACCACCAACCATTTCCTTTGATCTAAACTAACAGTCCAAGCAGGAGATCCTTAAGGCACTAGCCCAGAGGTCGGCAACCTTTAACACTCCAAGAGCCATTTGGACCCGTTTCCCACACAAAAGAAAAGACCAGGAGCCACACAACCCTTTTGACATCTAAAATGAACACTGCACGTTTTTTACCTTAATACTATGTATATCTTCATTATGATTTAGCTGCAGCTCTTGTTCAGTCACTAAAAACTGTTATTTTTAATCTTACATTATAAACTAGTAGGACTCCTTTCATATGTTTTGAATAGAACAGCTTCCTGAAGAGTCAAAGTCAGTGCTAAAGGGCTGTATGCATTAAACAGCAAACCCCATAAGTTTGTCAGCAGTAAATCTACCCAAGTATCATTAAACATTTGGTTTTCTTCAGAAACTTTTCTTATCTTTGATTTATCCAAGTGCTGTGCTGGCCACGCCGCTGTGCCAGCACAGGCCACAGATCGGCCAGCAGTGGCCGATGATTGGCCGGCAGCGGCCGCAGATTGGCCGACATGGGCCTCGGACTGGCTGGCACAGGTCTCAGATAGGTGGCAGCAGCCACCATGCCACCCTGCCGGCACGGGCCTCGGATCAGTGGCAGCTGTGATGCGAGCAACGGAGCCACAGCAGAGGCATTCAAGAGCCACATGTGGCTCCAGAGCCGCAGGTTGCCAACCCGTGCACTAGCCCAATCAGGAATGACAAGAGGCTGGTAACACCAGCTCCAGACTCAGCGAGCACCTTAACAAGTCATTCCTCAAGTCACTGGCTAAAAGGGTTTCAGCCAATGCCTGCCTTTCCCAACTGAGCACAGTAAAATGCAAAGGAAAGTGGCGCCACAGCAGGGCTGCTCTTCTAAGTGCATGCTGAACCTAGAGCTGGCTTTACCCACCTTTTCTAGTGCTGATCAAGGAAGGAGGACAGCTGAAGTCCACCATGTGTACACATATGCATACGTAAGTGGGGTGTGCATGAACACAGATACATGTGCATGCATGAATGGAATCATGCCCCATGCACTATGCAAATGTTCCTCTTCTGTGCCACTTGCAGTTGCTGAAATGGTGGGGATCCACAGTCTTTTCTACACCGCATGTAGCAGCCATTTGGGTTACTGCATCTGACGTGGAAGGAAGTTGGTCCCATGGGGTTTGCCCGGAATGGAGGCCCACACAAGTACTATATAAGCAGCACCCCCCCCCCCGTACCACCTGCTGCAGCCTTTTGCTACTGCACACAGCATAGAATAAGGTGGCTGCTTGCACAACCTTCATTCCACAAGGGTTCACAGACTTCCTCTCCGCTCCAGTTGTTTTGCAAGACTGGGCCAAGTGTGACAGAAAGTCTATGAATACTAGAGGGATGGATTCTTCTAGTGTTCTCTGCAACCCTAACTACATCTGACAACAGCCCAAGTGTTATAGAAACAAAAAACATGAATTTACCTGCTAATATCTGCTCAATAAGTGGCGATGTAACTATTACACCAGAAAAACTGGTGACTGCATTACTTGTAACGCCACCTGTAATAAAAATCAATTTGTTAGCTATTGCATAGTACTTGAATGGCTTTCAGGACATTTTTTTAAATAATTTGAAATATTTCATTTACATATTCGTTGCTTAACAAAGCATCTCAATGTATTTTGGAATGAAGACATTTATTCTAATAGTTTATTATATTCTGATCATTATAATCCTAACAGTTGTAAGGTATTAAAAGAGCTTGTTTTCCTTCAACATTCTACTCCTTTCCTACTGCTTTGAGATTACGATCTCTCCCCATCTAGTTGCCCCTGAAAGAGGTGGGAGTCGCTCCTTAACTTCTCTTAGAATCAGAGTTAGTTCTGAGCTCAGCTTATCTGAGCCCAGCTGGCAACATTTATGGGATAAGCAGAAAGTAAAGATTTGTTAATAGCTGTCAAAGAACATACTGCTGGATCAAGTCCTGTGAACCCACCTATATTTAAGCCCGTCTGCTTATTAAAAGATGACTATATTTACTTTTCTGCCCTCCCTTTTTTAAAGGTGACTAGGATATAGGACAGTTACAAGGTAATTATATGAGATAATTCCATTGTCTTATATATGGTTCAATTTCTTGTACTAGCACTCAAAACATCTTTGCATAAAAGAGCTCTTATTTTTCTCCCACTCACAGGGCCTGGATCCCAGCTAGTGAGTGCTTTAAAGTAGGTCAGGTTTCACCCCAATACAGGTTGAATTTTAAAAACAAAATAAACATACTTCTTACTCAGCTATTGCTGGACCAAATTCTCCTGGGTTAGTAATTATACTGTGATGTATCCAGAAATTTAATTTAAGTACCTGCAGTTTTTGTAAGGTAAGAATAAAAGGCTTAAGTTTGATTTTCTTTATACCACTGTTATTATAATTAACCAATCTTTATTGCTAACTTTCACAGAATGAGGAAAGTATTTTATTTTTTCTTTTCCTTTACAATATAACTTTAATCTAATTACCATCAAGAATATCCACGCCTGCAAAAAAGAGCTCTGAAATGACATCACGAACTTCAACTTCATCAGGAACAGGAGGCCCAGGGATCAGTGTTCGTCTATTTTTATCAAACAGAGCTTCCACAATGGCAAAAAAATGAGCTGAACCGCAATCAAAGATCTCCATCAGCAGCCGTTCTGTGATTGTACGAGGCCAGGGTAGCTAAATAGCAAGTAAAAAGTCAAGAATTACATAAATCACAAACTCATAAATTATCATAAGGTGAATCATTTCCTATTAAAGAATAACATGTCAGAGTTTACACAGTAGTCAGAAGTTACTTTCTGCACAGTTTTGTTGAAATCATGGCAATGAATGCAAGACTTAACTGGTGGTAAGACCTTGGCAACAGCAGTCTTGCAGCTGGATACCCTGAGGAAATTATCCTCTTTACATACCGGTCTCACACTTCTTAATGCAGAGGGCAGGAACTGACAGAAGTAATGGAGTGCTAGCGAACTGCTCAAAAGATTAGCCCAATAAGAGTCTAGATTTACTCTTCAGGATGGGACAGAGACAGAGAACATTAGTCCAGCCAATAATTCTTGTCTGAGCAAGTTGTCTTCTCGGAGCTATCCAAGGTCCTGCAACCTCAACCTAAGCATATCTACATGCCTGACTGCAATCCTATACACACTCACCTGGCAGAAAGCTCCAATGCGCGCAGTGAAAGTTACTTTTAAGTAGACATGAACAAATTTGCATTATAAACACCACTCACAAGCTCCCATTCCTGGCAAGATCAGGCCAAAATGCCCAAAGCTTACATGTTGTGCCTCTCGTAGATTCATTTTCATTCTTGGTCGAAAAACCCCTTTTGGTCGTCGTCTTGGTTCAAATGCTGATCTTTTGAAGATCATTACTGCCATCTGACTCAAATAGAAAAAATACACAATGATTAAGTTATCTCTGTGTTCAAGTACTATAATATTTATAAAATATACATACCCTCACAGTTGCTTCTTTGAATTTTTTCTTTGTTTCCATACTTAGTGATGATGAACTCATGCTTTCCATTTGCTTTAGTTCATCAATTTTAATCAAGCCACGGCGTGCAAACAGCTACAGTATAGGAATATAAGTTTAAGAGTAAGTATTTCTGAGACTGGAGTAGCTATAAGAATAAATTATAATATTGCCTGCCTATGCCATCCAACTGACATAAGATTGCAGAATTCCAAAGACCATCCTAAAGTTAAATCCCAAGTGGGAAAAGAAGCAAAGCAAAAAGTTATTGTGGATCAGGTGCCATCTAGAGTAGCAAACTTAGGATCCAGATGCCCATCCTATGGTTGAGTTCCCAAAATTCTAAGAATTTTGATTCTAATAATGATTCCATACGTTCTAAGATGACTAAGAATGTAGTGGTAGGAAGAACAAGTCTGTAAGTATATAAAGGAAAAAGGTGGGGATAGAATGAGCATGGAGGCCGAATAGAGCAGGCTGCAGTTACATCAGGGTAGAATGGTCTAATGGGTTTGTCACTTATTGCAGCCACTTATTGCTCATCAGGAAAATTACTACAATAAGCTCTGGCAAGCTAAGTATGGTATTAAAACTTACCAATTAATAACTAAAATTTTGTAGATTGCATCCAGAATCTGCTACTTGCTGACATAAAGGCTCTGCTCACAGAAAGTGCCTCCATAAAATTTTGAAGAATAACCCTTCCCCTCTGCACCACAGCTCTACCTATTCAGTTGAGCCCTGATTTTCAGTTAAGCCTATTCAGTTGAGCCCTTCCATCACCCTGATTTTACAGGGTGATGGAAGGACTGCGGTGAAAGAGAAAGAGGAACAGGAGAACTCCACTTCCACCAAACCAGTTATACATGCCTACACCAGGATCCAGCCCAATTTTTCTCTTGCACAAGGGACACAAAGCAAAGCAAACTCCCTTGATTCATAAGAGACTTTCAAGAGCAATTTGCTTACAAATAGATCCTGTTTGTCTTTAAGCTACAATTAAGCATGAATAATTATAAACTACCTCTCCATAGATGCCAAACTGGCAGTCATAATAACATTGGCAGACAGCAGCATACAGAGTAGATCTCCATGTCAAATAATGTACAGCTAAAAGTGGAACTGACGACTCCATACATGCACAGGCCCACAGTAAATACTCAAGTACCTATAAAAGAAAACCTAATTAAAAACTAAGCCATACATATTTTATAATCAACTTTATTATTAAGCTTCTGTATAGTCTGAAGTGCCTGATCCCACCTAATCTTGGAAGCTAAGCAGGATGGGGCTTGGCTGAAATCTGGATGGGTGACCTAATGTTGCGAACCACCCAGAGAGCTTTGGCTATGGGCAGTATAGAAATATAATTCATTATTATTAATATCAGACTGCATTATATTTATAACATAGTATTTTAAAATTGTTACAAGTAATGTTTGTGGACTTATTTGCAAAGCTGAGCTTTTTTTCCCCCTTAATCCACCTTCCTTATTGATTTTTTCTGCATAGTGTTATTCAACTAAGTGACATGATCTCACTATTAAAAAGAGCCACAGGGTGGCACTACAGTTCAACTTAAATAGAAGTGCATTATTTTTATACTGCAAATTATCTGTATTAAATATATCTTATATATTCAGAGATATACATAAAATGTAATTAAATGAACAATGACAATTAAACTGCTTGAGCATATAAAGAAAAATATGCCAATTTTCATCTGACTAGAATGAATACTATATTAATAAGATATACTTTTTGTATAATGAACCACATATTTAAAGCACAGTATCTAGCTTACCTTTCACTTTTAGCTCTTAAGGCAAAACAATGTTTGTTCTTAATTTATTATGATTTGAGCAAGAAATTTGTTTTTTAAAAACATAACTTTAACACAAACTAAAGTTAAACTTTTACTCAAGCATAATAAAACATCAACTATTTTCAAGAAACTTGTTTTGAAAGGCTATCTTAAGAAAAAGAAACATAATTCTAATTTATCTTGCCATACCTTAGCAGATTGACCTACAATCATCAAATGTCTACATATGGTATACATATGAATCGTACCTGTAAGGGAAAATTAATTATTTTAAAAACACATGAAAAATATTCACAAATATCCTATGAATAGGAATGAGATTATTCTTCGCCATCCCAGATTGTAGTTTTTCTCTTTATTAATAAATCAATTTGTCCAATATAAATTACTTGCATGTTTGACATGCATATTCTTCTTTAACCTTTAAAGTAAATGCAGTAAGAACAGGAGCCATGGCATTATTTTGACTCCTGGCTCTAATATTCTGTGATCTTGGAACTGGGACTCTGAAGATTAAGCTCCTGCCCCCTTGCAGCTGATACAAAAGAACTCTGCAAGCTGCCTCCCCCAAGGTTACAAATGTGCCTGCTTGGGGAGAAAAGAGAGTGTACCAGATGGGACAGGAGCAAGCCACTTAGTGCTTAAACAATTCCTGTCGGTGTCCCAGCTTTTTCCATCTCCCTCCTCAGTGTTTTAACTTGACAGCCCAAACTGGCCATCCAGGAACAAATCAGGGGACAAGGTGCAAGACAGGTCCGCTACTGCGCCTCATCTGGGTCAAAGGTCACATCTAAACGTTCAAAGGCTTTCATGCATCAAGGGCAGGGGCAACATGGTGCAATCCTGAAGATGCAATCATATAAATATTCAGAACAAAAAAATCCTTCAATTTCTAGCATTCCCAGCCAGATTTTTTCTGTTGTTCTTTCCTATTCAAATGCACATAAAATTACATCCTAGGAGGGTATACAGAGCAATGGGTTAAATGCACTATATGGAGAAAACTTACATAGAATAAAATCCTTCATGTTCAATGATTTCTAACCTCCTCAGAAGATTACTGAAGAGTCTACGCCAACCATTTTATGATCCAAACTGTTCTTTGGTTTCATTTATTAATTTTTAGAAACAGAGCCACCATTTTATGAAAACTCTTCCCTCTGACATTCAAAGGAGTGGTGTTTTTTGTCCTCAGATCTCAAAACCCACCTCTGGTTTTTTATTAGATTTTTGGACAAGTTATTCTTCCTTTAGGCTCACAAGTTTGTTTTCTAGGAAATACATCTTTGTGACCAGCTATTTCCACTAGGCTAGTATGAAGGGTGAAGCCCTCCATGGCAAACCATTTTGAGAGCATCCACAACACCCTCTCAAAATCTAAGTATGCTCTCTAACACAAAAGGTTTGGGGACCCCTAGAATTTCAGATAGAACTGCTGAAAGAAACTTTCAAGATAAAATTAATCTTCAGCCATGCTCCAAAGGGTTTTTTTCCTTAAGGCATGAAAAAGTATTTAAAATTGCATTTTAATTTTAAGTTAATTATTAAGTTAATGAAAAAAAAGTTAATGGTATACCGTTATAGACATGCCAACACAAATGCTCATGAGGTAGAGTCATTTGCATGATGAGCTGAAATAAATTCAAAATTCTGAAACATGTCTTCACAGAGTCCTGATTCAGGAGATCGATGTCATTCTCACATACCATTTTGTAAAGGCAAATATTTCTTGCATACAAAACGTGGAGCTAAAATGAATAAGCAAAAATTTCAAATCCAGATGCAGAATTCACCCTCTTGTCCTACCACTTTTACCTTCAATTCCACTATCACTGAAATGCAGCCCGAGAGCCTCTCTGCCCCACCTGTATACCTTCAATTCTCTAGAACCTATGTAAAGTTTCCCCACAACTACCCCTGCTTCTTTAGCCCTGTTTTCCTCACTAGTTTTCTATCCTTTATATCAGATCTTTGCCTTTCAGCAAATTTGCTTTCTCCCCCACTATTTAAAATATTTGTCACTCTTCTACCATGCATAGCTTAACTTGAGGAAAGGCTTCATTGACCGGTGCTTACCCAAGCAATAGCTCAATCAGACAACCTCAGAACTTGCTTTCAATCTCTGGAAAAGGGTTTTTCACAGAGAAAAGCCAACATCCCATTTCCTACTCAGAAACAGCCCATGCAAGTATTTCTAATTTGTTGCTTATTTATTGTGAGAGGTTCACATTTCTTTCCTCAAATCAGTGCTTCTGCTCTAAGATGCTCTTGCCAGGTCTCAGATGACATGTGAGTGACAATCAACATTATAGATTCAACCCACAGAGATCTAGCAAAGTAATATGTTAGCAAGTTTGGGGAGAGTCAGAATTCCTAATGGTGGGTACAAGGCGGCAGAGGAGTTGCTTTGGGGGTGATGCAACTCATGGAACTGGTAGGGTAGTAGAATGAACTAGCCTCCATTTAATGGAAAAGACTGTTTGGAAGCAAAATTAAATAAAATAGCTGCAGAAGTCAGCATCATTCTATGAAAAACTGCAGATATAAAAGAGAATGTGTTGACTCTTTTAGAGAGTCAAGAGAATGTTTTAAACAGTTAGGAAAAGTCAAGGAATTCTGTAGCATTGAAAATCAAACAATTTTAGGATACTAAAAAAGTTCCAAACATCTAATGAAAAGAAAATCCAGGTCTTTAAACAGAGGATATCTTAATTGAGGATTGTAGCAAGAAACGCCAAATTCACTATTTGAAGAACAATATGAAGCATATTTATTGAATACTTAATGAACCCTTGCTTAATGCCAAATTACAAGAAAATTAAAACAATAAAAATATCCACTTTCAGCATTTGTTGGGTGTACTTACTGTACATACAGCACTTTGATCTCTAAATCCATTTGGGAAAAAATTAGAATTAAGTTGATCCACATCCAATCCAGATTCGTTTATATTTACACTACTAACTTGCTGAAGATATGATCCATAGCAATGTGAAACTGCTAACTTATATTCCTGAAAACAAGCAAACAGTAGGCTGCACAAACATTTGTATTTTTATTTTCCGTACAATGGATAACAATGCACTATAATACATTCATTGCAGAATCAAATACATGTCTAATCACAAGTTACTCCACCATTTTCAATCAGACAACAAAACTTACTTCCAACTTAATGACTATTGTTTGTTTGCATGAAGTAAACTGGTCTGATCTGCGATATAATACAAAATATGTTGTGATAGTCTATATACTTGTTTATTTCTTTGTTTCACCAACAGCAACAGTCGTATTATGCAGCAAAAGTTAAACACTTTTAGTTTGGTTTCCTATGTCTACTAATCTAGGAATAACCTCCACTGAATTCAAAAGGATTCACTTCTAACTAGACATGCACAGAATTTTGCTGTTAGGTAATTTTACTGAATGCTTAAGCATATGCTTAAATCTCTTCAACAGCAACTCACTGGATTTATTCAATCGCTTAACTATGGTTCATATCCAACAAGGATGGCTTTGAAGATATTCCAAAGCATGTCAGAAACATCAGAAGGAATTAAAAACATTGTATATCAGAATAATTCTAAGTAAGTCTCCCTCCCCCTTTAAAAAGTATTTGGTACGAACAAGATTTAGGGCACAATCCTACTGAAAGTACCCTTGCTGCTCAGTAAGCCTCTGAAACAGCTAAGCTGGCAGAGGCAGTAGAAGTGGAGAGTCACCTTCACCTCCCTATCCTCCATCTCTCACAAGTTTTGCTCTGTGGGCTCTTCAGTCTATCTTGCAAGAACACTTGAGCGGAAGAGGAATCTGGAGGAGGCTCTGTATGTTTCATATTCTAACCTCTTTAGCCTTTTCCTCTTCCTGCCTACTAGTATGCACCCTTTCCTCCCACTCCAACTTATAAGATAAGCAGCCAGCATGGTAATTTCCATGACAGCTGCAAGTGTGCAGAGGAGTGGGGTCAAATGCCTGATTCCCCTTTCCCAGGTTGATGCACTCAGATGTTGGAAAAGTCATCTCAACTTTACTGTGGTCTCCAGAACACTCTCCCAGGAACCATAAGGTTATTCTCTAAATATTGATTGGCCTCCATTTCTTTCTGTAAAGAATATGACCACCTCTTCTGTGCACTATGATCAAGAGGGGCCCTCCCAGTTCTTCCCAGTGCTTTAAAAAGATTCAACCCACTGCAAGCAAAACATTTAGCATCACTTTTAGAAATGAATAGGGATAAAGATTAATTCACCAAAATGCATCAAGCATCAATTTTTCACTGCCAGAAAACACATTCATATATAGAGGGCAAATGTTAACAGTATTTCACAGGGATATCACTTACTTTCATTTCCATAAGTTGATCGCCAACTTTTACAAGTTTTTCATTGAAATACCAATCTGGGAATCGAGACTTGTAGTTGTTCCATATATTAAACAAAGACGTTGCTCTAAACCAAAATCACAACAAAAATTATAATTTGAAATATAGGAATACATTTATCATATTTTAAATGGAATAAATCACATTGACCTGGTACACACATGGAAAAAGCCACGGTGGATGAATTTCCCTGCAAGGTTTGCTATTGCAACAACAGCCAATGTGGGAGCGTGCGGCAACTTCTCATTATTTTCAAACATGGAAAGGGTGGGTTGCTATAGTTAGCAAGCCACCCACAACCCTGAAAAAGCCTGTGGATTCTGGGTGGCTTTTTGCCTACTGTTCAGCCTACAATGGCATCAATGTTCAAATGATGAGAGTCACCAGAATCCCTACAGGGAAATTCATTCATAATGGTGTGTTGCTACATTCAAGTCACTGTTTGGTATTTTGTTTCAGAATTTCCTGAAATTCCCATAATTAAAGGCTAAACAAATGTTACCATATTGCAGTTCTAAGTAACCCAGGACCATATTTTTATCATAAGAGCTTAGCATGGGTTTGTTATAGGTATTAATATACATATCTGTTTGTC